AATGATATAATGTCATTCAAATAACACTGTATATAATTACTAATGTCGTTGGTCCAAGGAAGTATCATAGCAGTACAAAAATATTCATGTGTCAGACATAACACAACACATTTTTTTTTAGATTACTGTGTATATCTGATATTAACTTGTATTTTATATAAATTGCTAAAGAATAAACTAGGTATTTAAAAATGTATTGAGACGGTAGCGTAAATTAATTATTAGTGATACAAGTTTTTTTTAACTTCTCTTCTCTATTCTATCCGAAAACAATTCCAATTACTTCGTGTGCCATTAAAAGTTGGTATTATAGGGCAAATTTTACTAATATAATAATAATAATAATACTATTATCAATAGTATGATCATCAAATATTACATTAAGTTGAGAACAATAACTACTTGAGGAAACACTGGACGCAAAAAACACGAAAAAGTGGTATGGGAGTTTCCACAAATTGGCATCAATACCGTTGTAAAAAAGACCTATTACGAAACAAGGTAAAATTTTCAAATATCATCTCAACGACCACTAATTTTGTGGATCTAATAGAAAGTCGATCTTCAAAAGCGCGATTTCCATCAATCAAAACCCGAACACTCTAATAATTAAAAAATATCTCCGGCAAATGAAACGAATGTGAATGTTGTGTGTGGTTACGCCCAATTTAACATCAATTCTTGTCGGCAATAAAAGAAATATAATAAACAAACCGCGCCGAAAAAGATAAGATCGCATCGGATTAAAAGCGCTGCCGCACATCAATTATTGTTTCAAGTTCAACTACCAGCATTTTTTTGCAGCTCTCCATTAAAATTTCACCTTCAAGGACATTATTTTCACCGAGATCGCCCGCGGATGAGCGTTCTGGACGAATTCCTGAGCGTAGATTTCGATTAAGTGATTCACCGCCAACTCCCCTCTTAAAGTTTTCTTTTCATCTTTTACCTTTCACTTTATTGCGTAATCTTACACTTGTACTTACAAAGCGTTTCGACACCCTATCCATTGATGAGAACGTTCTCAGTACAGATTTGATTTGATACGTTATGTAATCAGCCATACAAAAAGTCATGTCGGAGTGCCACCGTGCTCCATCTTTTAAAAATATACTTATGTCAATTAAGCAAAACTGTCAGGTGTTTATTTTGACTTCACATTTTTGGTATATTTTGGCTAGAACTTTTGAATGGTTGAACTGGTGAACTTAGCTACCGAAATGAAATTATTAATCAGCACCAAAATCATTCGGTCGTTAAAATTCGGGAGCCAGATTGTCCGCCAGGCCAGGAAGAGCACCCTCAATGAAAATTGCAATACAGTATTCTAGCATCTCCTAAATAATTTCTGTATTATTATATGAGTTTAACAACTAAACCTTCTTTTGGTATATTTTTCTTTAACTGAAAAACTCTACACTTACAGTTCATGTTCAATGTCGGTATACATAAACTGTTATAACATCTTTGTCAGTATGTCTTTTGGCTATTAATTTTTCATCTTGACCAATATTCAAAAAATCGCATATCTTCAATCTGCGGTAGTATTTTGGGGACAATAGTTCGCCTGATTTCCATAAACTTTGCGCTGCCTTCACTTCATTTATTATTACTATACAGTCACTTTCCAAAAGAATTGTAGATTCAAAGTCTTTTATAAGATCTTCAATGTTTTCATCCATATTTACACTGACAAAAGCGAACCGATGTTAAAGATTAGGATAAAGGTTAGAATACTAACAATTGGCGATGTTTTTGCAAATTGCATTGTATCGTATGTTCATTTTTTGTTTGTCTTATTGTATAGTGACCTGAGTATTCAGCGATTTGAGTATAAATTTCGGCCAGTAGGCGAATTCAAAAATTACGTACAACATATATATTTTTCATGTTTCATGGGCATGTTTTAATGGTGACTCGTTTGCGTGCAAAAGTTATTCATGACAGTAAAGTTTTGCACTATGATATTTTCCTGTAATTAAGAACATAAACTATTAATATTGTAGCTATTATTATCATCATGATAATAATGATGCCAAAATTTATTACAATGACTAGTATGTTAACAGCAAATGAGCCGTTTGAACGATGTTATAATATCGTTTTCTTTGTACAAGTTACTGCTGGTTAGAAAGACTCAGTGTACTAAAATATAAAAGAAAATTCTTCTTGAGAAGCACTGCACTCTATAGTTGGCGTATCACCTTTCTGGAATGACGTCAAGCTGGTTTCATATAACGTATCCTCATTTTCATATAATATCTTTGTGATTGTTGTATGGATAAATTATGTCGTGCAATTATATTATCGATTTGCGGAGGAATTCCATTTTTAGTTTGATCTTTTTCCGATTGAAAAAAAGCTAATATATTCAAAACTATTAACCTGGATTGCTGATTATATCTTCGCGGCATCTTGCAAAAGTTTTTAAAGTAATAAAAATCAATGTCAATTTTGACGACAATATCCTGAACGACACACAACCATAATTGGTATTGACTGTTATACAGAAACGACAATGACTTTTTCAAATTTGTCTCTGCCAGTTGACATAAACAAAAATTACCAAAAATGACGTCATTCCAGAAAGGTACCACACCACTACTTCCTTACCTAAATATACGCATTCATTTTGTCATTTGTCAAAACTTACCTACAGAAAACGTACGCTTGGTGTCTTAAAAGCGGCCCGAATTGGTCTCAACCAGTACCCAATTTACTCCATATGAGGTCTTATTATAAAATTAATATACCAACAACACGAGACCCACGTTGCGGTAAAATCTGAAGATGTACGGCTGAAGATCAAAAGCCAATTACGAATAAATTAGGTATTTTAGATGCAGACTTTCTATTAAGTTCACTTCTGATCTAGATTAAAATTATTGATTTATTTTCGCCTAAATAGTTTTTCATGAATTATTTATTAAAGATAAATTTCACGGCTGTCCGATATTAAACGCCCGTTAAATAATATGAAATTTAATTTATATCGCCCTAGGAAACCGTTTCTGTTCGCTATAAATATACCTGAAGATAGATTCAATATTTGTCGATCCTGACAGGCCTGTATCATTATTAGCCGTAAAATTACACCCGGGCAATCACTTACGTAAATAATTATTACGAACGTCTAAATTTTTCCGTTAGCGCTCGACGCAAATTGCTGTTGGCTCTACTGCACCTTGGTGCTATCGGGGCAAACATTATCCAAACCACAGGATTAGGATTCAGAATTTATAGTTGAAGGTCATTACACCAGATGCTTAGGAGTTTAGTGTTTCAGTCCCAAGCTTGCATTACCGTCCTCAAGTATCGGCATAATACATGCTCCGCCATTTTCTCAGTTTGCAGTGTTCGTCCATCCCGTGGGAGATTCCATCAAATCTCTGAAACCAGCAAAAATGAGTGAATTTTCTTTGCTATTTATGCTTCCATCACGTTTCTTGTAGCTTAGGAACAGTTTCACAGAACAGAATTTTGACTGCTTAGTTATGAATTTCTTAGGTATGAATTTTCCAAATAAGGACTGCTTGGAAAAATTAATAAATAAGTAATCGACTTTATTTTTTCAAAACTTCGGCATTACATTACAGAATAATAGATCTTGTCTAACAGGCATTGGTAATTCCAACTCAACCTGCCAATCATACATTTTAAAGCTAAATATGAGGGCATATCGCCGTATGTTAAGAATATCCTGGATTTACCACGCAACTAATGAAGAGGTTTTACTGCGAAAAGGCAGACTGCCTACCTCAGGCACATAATGAGGGGTAATAGGTATGAATTTCTAAAACTCAAAATAGAAGGCAAAATTGATGGCTCATGGCTACAGAAAGTTAGAGATTGCACAGGACTGAACTCCCATAGGTTGCTGAGGAGTGCGCAAGATAAAAACAAATTTGCCATGAAAGTTACCGGGCTTCATTGAAGCGAAGAAAGTAAAATATAAGAAAATCTAATCTAATCTAATGGTAATTATTATTATTTAAATTTTACCACATTCAAGGAAAGCTGCCTGAAAAGAAATTACCCTTGGCTCCGATTGTACGAGTCTGCTAAACAGTAATGAATTTTATTATGATATTTATATGGTTGCCTAACTTTTTATTTGAATTATACCTACAACGTATTTCTTTTAATTCTGTTCACGAAACTATCAGTTTTTTCTTATAACTGGTATTTACATGATGGATATTACAGTCAATTTTAATAAGGAATATGAATATTGTAAACTTTCATTAATCATTTACAATTTAATATATAACTTTAACTGTTCTTCTTGGTTTGTGTTTATTTAATCAAATGAAAATGTTTGAACGTTACAATTCTTAGCGAACGAAAAATTACAATATCGTTACGGCTAATAAAAACTCAAACTCTATGTTAAATTAGTTGCATTCAGAGTAAAATCTAACTTCTAGTTTCACTTGTTTCAGTCTTTTTTAGCATCACCGAAAATTAGAAATAATACCCTAAAGTAATTAAGGTTGGGTGGAATATCATTTGAACAAATCCAATCCAAAAACCGTGAGCATAAATGCGTTAATCAATATTAAATCAACAGATTTCTTTTCTTTATAAAACTAACCAAAAGGCCTGCCATTAAACCTAATTATCCACATATCATTTTGCGGTTTTTCAACTCTCATTAAGTATATTTTTAGTGCCCTCATACTAATTGCCACAAAGTGATTATATTGTGATTAAACTTTACACGTGTCTTTTCATTTGAATTTTGACAGATTACGTCAATTTTACAGTTTAATTTTTCTTTTGTCACTTGGAAGATCACAAAGCGACAAGTTTGATTATTATTATATTTTAAAAAATGATAACAATAATATCCACTCTGTCGTACCCAGAGCGTTAAACTTTCTCAATTGACACCACTTTTTTGAAATGTACATTAATAACCGAACTCGCAAGAGTCTTTTTTTTGTTACGTCAAGCACAAAGGTCAATCCAAATTTTAACAATTTCACTTTCCGTTCCAGCTAACGACCAAACGGCCGAGGCTTCCTGGAACTCATGGGACGCTATAGATTTTGGTAACAACAACGACTTCTACACGCAGCAGTCGATATTACAAACGCACCCCTCCGGCACGAGGGGCGGCGGCCCTATCAACTATGGGCTTGCGCCGGCATCGTCGGGGCCCAGAAAAAACAAACACGAACATTTTCGTACGTCTTCTACCGCAGAGCTGAGGAAGCATCCAGCATGGTCGTCTCCGGACGAATGTGCTCGAGCATGCAGACAAGGAGAACCGCCCAGAATATGCTATTATCACTTTACGATAGAATATTACACCGTGTTGGGAGCGTAAGTATTGCAAAGCACCAGTACTTACCCCAGGTGATTATTAATACTTGTCCTACCCATATCGTTTTCATATACAGGGTGATAAGTTTTTAGTGTCGAATTTCAATGTAGCACATTGCGAAACTCTGTTGAAAGTTGTGTTCGGGGTTTCTTAGCATATACTTTACACTATACAAAAAGTTCTTCGTGTAATTATCACGAAACATCAATGGTTTGTGGAGTAATTTGCCGTGTCGGGTAATGCTTCTAGGCCCCCACGCTCGCCAGCTGTATATCTGAATGCGACTTGTTTTTGGTGGGCCTACCTTATAGTGTATGGTCTGTTCATAGATATAAGAAAATGTGGTCATTAACATACAACGCAACAAGATTATTACCTAAAGTTTCCGAATTTAAATTCAGGTAAAATTATAGTCCGTAATAGAAAATAGTTTTATACCTAGCTGTGCTGAATATTATTTGGTTTGGTATACTACTTAGTTTAAGTTTATTAGTAATCATTCTTATTTCGTGTGTAATATAGCGTGTGTGTGTGTGCGAATTATGCAAAATATGTGCGAGTCTAGTGTATCTCAGGAGATGCTTCCGCCCAAATGTAGAAAACACTATTCTATTGAGACTAAGGAAGTTATAAACAATGTTTATTTGACTCTCATTGAACGTGGTGCCAGCAAGCAAGCATCTTTAGAAGAAACGGCCACATTGACGAAAATTCCAACATCAACTGTATGGAAAATTGTGAATAATCCCATTTCAGCAAGGAAAAAAAGAAGCGATGCTGACATTTTCTCGAGTGTAAATGAAAGTGATCAAGATAAAATACGGCGTAAAATTTACCACTTACACGAGGAACAAAGCGTGCCTACATTAGATATCTTAATTAATATGCTTGAAAAAGATGAAACCGGTGTTAAATGTGGCAGAACTACCTTATGGAAGTGCATTCAACACATGGGTTTTAGATTTAAAAAAAAAGACAAAGGGCAAGTTTTAATGGAATCTTTTACAATTCGGAAATGGCGACTGGAATATCTAGAAAAAATTAGGATTTACAGAGAACAACAAGGGTCAATTATTTACTTGGATGAAACCTGGTTCGACACTTATGATACCCCGGAAAGGGTTGGGTTGACTCAACTGAGAAGTGTCAAACAAACGCGCCATCAAAAAGAGGTAAAAGAATAACTATTTTGCATGCTGGCTCTAAAGATGGTTGCATTCTAAATGGATTTTCTCTGTCTGCGAAAAATATTAAAGATTAAAGTTGGTTTAAGGAATACGTCTGTAATAATTATGCAAAAAATCTAGGGCATGCAGTTTTAAGGCTCCATTTTGCCACTGTATATTTAATCGCATTGAACATGTTTGGCACCAACTGAAATCTGCCATTCGTCGTAACAATGTTTTTCCCCGTGTTAACTCCAATGTCCTCAAACTTATAGAAACCGAAGTTTTTAACATCCTTCCACAAAGTTGGGCAAATTCTGTTAAACATATAGAAAAAGCAGAACAATCGTATATCCATATTGCAAATAATATAGAACAAATAATAATTAGAACAAGCGATGATAGCGATAGTGATACTGATATATTATGTGAATAATTTTAAGTAATTTAAGTAGGTAATAAAAATAATTTGTAATTTTATTTTAGATTTAAGCATAAATACATACATAAATAAGTAACTATTGTTAAGTATCTTTCATAACAAAACCCCAAATAATTAAATTCTAAGCAAAGTAAGGACCTGTTCGACCATATTTCATTCTTACAGCATGATATTGTGTACTATTCAATTGTTGCTCTGTAGGTATTAGAATTAGAAACGAATTAACTAATTTTGTTGAAAATTATTGTATTAATGTGTTTTCAGCATATTAATTAATTATCTAAAGGTATTATTTGACAGTGCCATTCTAGTAGGGCTGTCTGAATATTAGTATCTAACAGTTCATGTTGGTCCTCAATCCTCATGGCAGAACCGAGTATAGGACTAGATACAACGAATTTTTAAAATGCCAAACGAACATACAGAAAAGAACACCTTAAAATAACATAAATTAAAAATATAGGTACACAGAGAAAAAAATTAGTTCCTGAAAATAAAGCACATTTGTTCTAATGAAATAATTTAATTCGTATCTCACCTAAAATATATTTGTTGCACGAAAATTCTATTTGCCAGGATAAGTCTTACACTAATACAACAAATATGTTTGTATTATTACAATTCTACTTCATTTATTGCGAGAACTTTTTTTGAAGTAACAATTACTTTACATTATAAGAAAGCAGCACCTTGCGAAAAATAATATTTAAATTTACTAAATGTAGCGAAAGTCGACGTTTTGGCTAAATCAAATTTGCTATCTTCAGGCCGGTTTCTTCGCGTAGCTACTTGCCGGTACTCGATCGATCACCAATGAATTGCGAGGCAGTAATTTTACAATTTCGGCAAAATATGGGCAACTTTTATAGTGCTTATTAAAAAAAATATTCTCTATAAAAAGTTGTGGTGCATGATGCTCTAAAACCTAAAATATCCAGAGATATTAATTTGCAAGAGCAAGAGCGATGAAGGTGTAACCTTAGTGACTGTGGGATTTTCTACAATGGCAAAAGGTTATGATGTGCCATATTTTCTTACTGTCTCCCTTTTTTGACTTATGACATGTGAGCAGATGTCTAAAATGATCCATACTTTAAATTTATTTTCTTCAATAGAAACAACGTATGTAATTACCTTTACTTGAAGAAAAATAGGTTCCCTGGACTCAGCAATATTCTGTTTCAAGTTTTTAAGTTTGAGGGATCTATTACATATTAAATAATTTAATTTCACGAATTCTGTTAAACAGTCTCTGACCGTTGAAACTAGAATGCGCAGTTCTTTTTCACTTTTTTAAGCAATGCTTTTGCGTAAATCCGACCAATTTTGCAAACCAAAAGTATAAGAAAATTGACCAAACAGCTGAACTAACCAATAGAAACTTTATACTTGACAGCTGCCGCAATAGAGACGGGAGTCTCTTTATTTTTTAAGAATTTTTAATTTCAAGAGCTTTGAACGTTAAGTTTATTTATTTTTAATGTTGAATTGTCGCCGCTCCGGATTTGAACAAAAAAATAAATTAACTAAATCAACGTAGGAAAAGTATTTATTGTTCAGCGAACAATGAGATTTTATTTTCCGTTACACGTGAAACTCAAGGATTAATTTCTTAAACTTGAAGTATTCTTTTTAACTTGGCGGTTTCAGGCTCTATAACTGTCAATTAGAAGCATTACTTATTATTTTCCATATAACATATAGTTCGTTAAGTGCTTTATTACAACAAAATACGTGCCTATTCGTAAATGGGTAGGCGATTATTGCGCGTTTTCTATAAACGAACGCTAGCAAAAACTGTAACGAAGGACACAAAAAATGTTTCTTTCAATCGAAGTAATCAATTAGGGGTATTGTAATATTAATTGGAATTCGCCAGATAAGTATCTAAGTATATTTCGCACGTTTAAAAGAATTATATTAAATAAATGCGATATGCAGTTACGGCGCAAACGACTTGCGGAAAAATGTTTATTCAATTTGCGGGGATATGTTTGATTTTATTCAATAAATTGTTGCGGTTTCATACTTATAATTTTTCTGAAGGCGGCTGAAAATTACATGGACAGAGATATTTTGTAAATTATGAAGAAATATTCTGTAAAAAATAATAATAATTACAATATTTAATGAATCAATACTATATTTTTTTATATATTCTTACGTTTTAAAATAAAGAGGAAAGATAATTTGCTTGAGCAAATGGCTTTTTATTAATTTATATCAATATCGGTAAATTAGGTGCAAAAAAATTTTTTCCAATTAAAGAAACAAGAAAAAACTGCTGAAACATTAATTTCTTTAAAAAAAATACATGTATATTAATAGTTATTAATACTCATAAAGCTCATAAATATGCATTTTATGGGCAGTTGTGGCTTTATCGTGTCGCGCGTATTTTAAGTAACAATGGATTGTCATTCGTAGCCGCCTTATCGTTCGTTGTAAAATTAAAACTGGAAATTGGAAAAAGTTAGTTATTCCACAAAAACAATCCAGGAAATTGAATCGGAATCCGCAAACTTATTAATATTATTATTATTTCTTTATATTGATTAGAAAGTAATTACGATTTAATAAAAACTGATATCTAATTACATCGGTTTGGAATGAAACATATATGGAATTTTTGCATTTACGCTTGCACGGTAATATATGTTATATTCCGCACAAGTCATTAACTCGCGGAAAAATCGCGCTAATGTGTTGCCATAACTTATCACCGCATTCTTTAGCGAATTATGAAAATAATAATACCACGATACCAGAGAAAACCGCTGAGAACAATTATTTATGATGTGTTAAAAATCCATCGACAATAATTTTTAACTCTTGATAAATGTTTAGACTGCCCCCATATGAACCTGTGAAAATTTTTATTAATAGAATATAACACTTTTTTGAAAATCTTATTGATTTGGAAAATGCAATAACTAGTCATCCGATAATTAGATCAAGGTATTAAGGAATTAATTTCTTGTACAGTAATTATGAGTTTGCTTTGTAAACATAAAAATCGTATTTATTTTCTGACTACCATTCACCATTTTATGTACATATTAACTTACATTATTCTAACTGCGATATGACGTTCAATCTAGAAACATCTAGATTTTTATGTGATTCGTAAAGAGGAATTGAGCATGTTTTAATTAAAAAGTATTTGGGGTATTTTCTTTTGTAATACTTGCTTTTTTTTAAAAACAGCTTCATCGCATTTTCATTAAATACTTAAGGTTTTATATAGGATCCATCATTATGTAAATGCTAATTTGGCTATGTAATGAGATTACCACCAACTACCACAAAAAAAACATTTTTCTCAAAACTATTTTGCAAAAAATATTAGGTCCGTATTTCACAATTTGACTTTATTTAATATAAAAGGGTAAAATCAAAATATCTACATTATACTCCATAACTGCAATTGCGTTATACTTTCCATTCCTCAAGAATCAAAAAAGTAATGTGAAAACGGCCCATTGATAGAACACCGGTACCATTTTATTTAGAAACAAAGCAGAAGTGAAACAAACAAAAAACATATCAAAAAATAGTTCTTAGCAGCCAGTCAATTATATTGCATTTAAAATAAAATATTCTAAAGACATACGTTTCAATATTGATTTTTATTAATTTATTATTATTGTTGAAACAGGGCGTGTCAAGTATGTACCCCGAACGCCACCAACCCCATTTGGTCGCACTGCCAGTGTATCTTAGCTGACGGAGTCGAAAGAGGCATCCTAGCAGTAAACAGGATGCTTCCCGGCCCCAGCATTCAAGTATGCGAGAACGATAAAGTGGTAATCGACGTTGAAAATCACATGGAAGGGATGGAGGTGACCATTCACTGGCACGGGATTTGGCAACGAGGTTCCCAATATTACGATGGAGTACCCTTCGTAACGCAATGTCCCATTCCGCAGGGAAATACTTTTAGGTAGGTGCAATGTATAGTGTGTCTCAAAATGTATCGCCGTAACTATTGACTCTCGACCCAAAAGTAATTACGACCTTCATACCTGTAGGTAAGAGACAAGACAAGAGTGAGTCAGGTAGATATCGACCACGCGTCTGCTGATATTGGTGGTAGTGTTGAACAATTTGTGTTAACGTACGTGTCGAAAAAGGTTCTAAACAAATTGTGAAAAATCTGTATAAATGATTAATAAGTAGTTGCTAGAGCACCAGTATTCTCGATAGATGAAGGAACGATTAATTGGATCGGACCAAATGGACAATATTGAACAAGAACAGGAAAATAGATTCCCTTCATCACAACCAGAGTGTATCACCAATTTTTTTGTTATATCGCGTTGAAATCGCTTGTCATTAGATGCAAAACAAATTGTGAAAAACCTGTATGAATATTTCATAGGTACTTGCAAGAGCATCTGTATTCTCGATATATGAAGGAAAGATTAATTGGATCTTACCATATGGACAATATTGAACAAGAAATTAAAAAGTATAGACACGAAAATAGATGTATAATTTACCTAGATGAAACTGAATACCCACGATACAATATCCACAGTAATGTAAAAACGCTGAGACCACAGTACCTTCAAATAAAAGAAGTCACAGATCACCATAATTCACGCTGGACCAGAAAAAGGGATTTTTTTTCTAAACTGGATTTTTTTTACCCCTAATTAAGCTCATCTCAAATTAGGATATTCACCCATTTTCGGGCATCCGACGAGGAAAATTCACCGATAACAATTTTTCACGCACACAAACACCCAAGGCTCCCGGTGGGATTCGAACCCACACCCTCCCGCAAATTCGAGTTGGCTGGTCAACGCCTTACCAACCGAGACATCCTCGGCCGCTTTATTTATTATTTATTCCAAATAGTCTGAAAGATGATGAAAATTGCAGTACAGCATATTTTAAAAATTGAGGATTAATAACGACTTTGAGAGTGAACAGAATTAGATTTTGAATTAAAACGTATTTATTTAGGTAATTATTGATGTGATTTCGTTATGTCTATGTAAAGTCCGTCGTTGATGCTCCGTCCGCGGGTTATTTCGATAATTGTCGTCAAAAGTCAAGAAAATATACCTTGAGACACAGTATATTTATAACTATTGTTTTTGCAATTTAATTGTACTTTTATTGTTTTTATATTGATCTCTAACGTGGACATTTAAGTAAATAATATAAAAAATATATTGTATTATTAAACGCAGATATCAATGGATAGCTGGAAACGCAGGTACCCACTTCTGGCACGCCCACACAGGTCTTCAAAAAATGGACGGTATTTACGGCAGCATTGTAGTGCGACAGCCACCCAGCATGGACCCAAACAGCAACCTGTACGATTTCGATTTAACCACTCACGTCATGTTGATTTCCGATTGGATGCATGAAGATGCCGCGGAAAGATTCCCCGGAAGATTGGCGGTAAACACAGGCGAGTGTTGGTAACCTTCTTAGTTAGACTACGTGGTAATAAAAAATGTAATTTCGTTTACAGGACAAGACCCCGAATCAATCTTGATTAACGGAAAGGGCCAATTCAGAGATCCCAATACCGGATTTATGACTAATACTCCATTGGAAATTTTCACCATTACTCCAGGGAAGAAATACAGATTCCGTCTCATCAATTCCTTCTGTACGGTTTGTCCAGCACAGCTGACCATTCAGGGGCACACCATGACAGTAATCGCAACTGATGGCGAACCCGTACATCCCGTACAGGTTAACACGATTATTTCTTTCTCTGGTAAATATATGTGTATGTATGGCCTGTTTAACCTCCTCGCTTAAGGAGGACCAATTACTTCTGGCAGTTCTGGCACTTAAGAATTTCACAATCGCTCTTACTGGGAGATAGTAAATATGTAATGCCAGGATGGGCCAAATTGTACACCTTTAAAGGAAAGCTCCCTTTCTAAAGAAGACAGAAGGAAAAATTTTCATAAAAATATCATACTAGTAGAAACCACACATGGATATCACTTATTTTTAAAATATGACTGTAACTTTTTTGCTATGCAAAAATTGTATTGCACGAGAAATTCAATATTTTAGGATATCAGTTTTTTCCAAAATATCATTCTAACTTTTTTACTATGGAATTCGTGTTTCCTTGAAACCACTACCAATGCAATATTTTATTGGTAACTATATTTTTAATACTAATCGTTTCATGTTGTATATTTTTGAACCATTGAAAAGAGCTTTAGCTTAAATTTTCGAAAATATATCACACCTTATTTATATGTTCTGGAAACAACAAAACCTCTTAAAGTAGTTTGTTTGAGAAGAAAAGGCCAAAAAACCATACATCAAATAGCGAAATAGAGAGGTAAAAGAAATAGTAATTTTTTGCCCAGTCCAGGCAAGACAGCGACACAACAACAAAAATTTTTGTCTTCTTTTTCTTTTGTTTCAAAATTCACTTTTGCAAGTGACATCTTGAATGGCTAAAGATCACAGGGTCACTGTTTTGTTAACGAAAGGAGGATACCAGTGAATTAGTGCAAAATCATACATATTCGGTTCTATTCTGTTGTACTAGTACTAGCGTCCTTGTTAAAAATGTCGGGGGGAAAATGTTGAACACAGAATCTACTTAGAAATTAATAGAATTATAAAGACATCTATTACTACGGGGCCCTAAAAATAAGGCCCCCAAAAATCGTTACAAGAAAATCGATGCTTTGAATGAGATTTATTTAACATTAAATATAAATTAAGTGGATGATGATTAATTGCCCGTATACGAGAGCAAGACTGTTCTAGAAATCGTATGTTCCCAGAAATTTTAAAGTTATTGCCAACCTACAAGACTATGCTTCGTTATTCGTTTATTTTGTCTCTTTAACACTTCATTATGGTACCGCTATAAACCTACTTATTAAATACTCGAAACTATGCGTTAGCTATATTTTTGAAAAAGCAATTTTAAGATCTATTCCATTCTTCAAAAATATATAGGGCGCCCCGTTCAAAAATTCGACTTTTTTGTTAATATTTATTATTAAAAAATATGTTTTTAAATCATTAAATTCTGTCACAAGGAAAATTTTCCATAGCAAAAAAATATTTTTTTTTAAATAAACATTTTTGAAAAACTCCATACAAAGGACGATGTCAATTTTCGTCTCTCCTGAAATTTGAAATTTTATATATATTTTTCTTCCTTAATCCATTTGCTTGATTTGCGAGCCAAACTTATGAAATAGTGCCTATTTCCTCCGAGCGCTTTGTTGAATAATAACCTTGAAACTTTATAAATCTGTATTTTCAGGCAGTCGGGAAGGTAACGTAAATAATTGAAAATTTCATTAGAAACCTAATAAAATAGAACACCGTACGCGTGTTTTATATAAAAGCAAGTAGCAATTTGGTGTGTAAACTATTTTTGCGATTGACTTTCGACACCGATGTAATTTCACGAAATTATATGCCAGTAGATTTACAACTCATTTGAATAATGAGTAACAATGGGCGCTGAATTCACAGTGTTATGACGGAAACCACTGGTTTTCTTTGGCCGTACGCACACGCTCAATAATTATTAAAATTTTACCATGCATTTAGCTTGCGTACAAAATAGGTATCGTTTAAAATGTTATGTCAGTCTGCAAAACGCTATTATGAAATCGGTCTGTGGCAAATAATTAGACATGCTCGTTATATTTTTATAACCTTCATATACGTCGCAAGAAATAGAGCGCTTTCAAATTACCTGCTGATACGCTAGAATGCAAAAATATACCAAATGTAACTACCAGAAATGTCAGAACGCAAAAAATTTTCCAAAAAAAGGGCAACAATTGCTAACATAGTACACCTGGGACGGGTTTTGAAAGTCAACAAATTCCTTGTCAACACGAAGTTTTTTTTCAATTTTCTCAATCTAAGAACCGGCCATGTTTTGATGTCTTCTGCGTTTTTATCCTCTGCCTCTAAAACGATAATTTTTAAACATCTAATTATTTTCTCTCAAAAACTATTTTTGATTTTTCGTGTTGCGACAAAATTAATAATTAGTTAATTGGCAAATCCATTTCTTAAAAACTTTTTTCAATTGCAGTTCCATTTTTTGTGAGCAACGATACCACGAGGATTCAGACACCAACTCACGAATATCCGCTGCAGTTTTTTATAGGGTCATTTATGGGGTCTAAAGGATTATACCGTTTTTTCTTAAATAATTTTTAAAATTCACTTAATTCATATAAGATATTTGTACAAATTATGGCTACCCTAGGTTTAACTGGTTGCGTCCTATTTACTACGCAAAAATATTTTATGAATGTTAGTATACACAAAGTTTGTCTTTGGAAGAGTTATTTCAAAGATTCTCAACTAAGTGCTATTCTTCAGTCTTGAGTATTTTTACGAAATAAAAAAGTGTTAGATGACGTTATTAAAAATACCAGCAGTGAAAATCAAAATTTATTGTGATAATATATATTTAAAAATAATTTCACACTTGTGTTGCGTGTTCTCAATAGGTCAAGTCATATACTTATTGCCATTGTGGAGACATAACTTCTAATATAGAAAAAGTTAACAAAAACTAACCAAAACTGTTTTCTGTATACCCTTCACTAACTTGTACTTGTACCGCGTTGTGAATCTGTTAAAAAATACCATATAAAATGCTAATACGTTTTTAACATCAGAAATAGTCTGAAACAAATTGTTTTTTCTAGTTTTCCACCTTGGTATTAAAAACACTTCATATCCTTGTTAGCTAATACTATACTATAATACTATAATAAATATCAGAACACTAAGACAATCTAAATAATGTATAATTAAGAACTTTAAAAATGTTGCGACCCAAATTTGACAACAACTTACATAGTGAAAAATTCGAAAAACTGCAACACAAAATTCCAAACCAGCCAGTGATAGCACTTAGGTACTTAAAGTATTATATAATGTAAAAAGAATACAAAATTCTAAACACCATGGGAGGAACTTGAATATTGAAAAAATATTGATTTGAAAGTTGAAAGGTGTCAATACCCATCAATAAATTGGTTCGTATCGCTATAAAATTATGCAAAAATCCTTCGGATATTTAATATACCACTCTGCCCCACGTAGTACACGAATAGGCACTCCACCCACTTCGTAATACTAACGAGTTAATTAAACCCTAAGTGTTCATTAAAAATTCATTCAAGTCACTGCCGGTGCACTATGCGCACGTCACTATATCGCCTTGCAATTTAATTTGATTCAATTACATGCAAAATTCGAGCTTTCTATTATCCACGCGTTCCGATATATCAGCAAAAGAGAATTACTCGAAGATAATTACTATCGAAGCCGACATCTTAAACTCCGAAGCTGTATCTCTTAGGTAAAGTTCTCCAAACAATATACCTTTTTACGGCTTAATCGGGTATTTACCTTCGGCAAATTTTTATGAACGTCTAACCGCAGGCCTGCCTCACTTGGGTTTCTCTCTTTGATTTGTGTACAATTTCATCGGTGAGATTCCTCGATTATGCAGTGAAAAATCGATTCTTACTTTAAAATGTATATTATAAATATAAACGACATGTTCTACACATTTTTTCCAACTAGAAGCAGATATTTTTTCTACTTCACTTCTAATCAATTTTATTGTCCCAGAACTAAATTTCGGCGAGGTGTACGAACGCACGCAAAATCTCTTAAAAATAGTCAATGTTCAAAATACTACGCAACTCTTCATGTAAAGTTTTAATTGTTAAAAAAATATTCTTCTGATACGCATCATATATGAACTGTCTCACTATTCCGGCATGATGCACGTCAAGTAGATTTTTGAGACCCCACGATATTTCTCGGACGTTAATTTTCACGATTTCACCAACCCCCACAAATCAACTAATACCAAATTGGGAAAACATCCATTATAAATCAATTATCTCTATAAGATTTTGTATTGCTTTCCTAGGAAAATATTATAGTAAAGCCTTAAATTGTAAATCAGTTTAGGAGATCGACCTATATAATCGGCAAATGCAACTTGAAATCGACCTAACTCAATTAGGGACTGTTTTAGTTTAGTTTTACTACAACATTCCGCTCGGCACAGTTCTTGTCGGCTAGCATCTTAAATACGTCCCTGTACTGAAGTACTGAAAAGAATGGTCCCTTCCGCTTTACAACAGACGGGTCTTAAACTCGTTCCGACGTCATAAAAGGTTGTAAAAACGGTATATCGTCTGGTGAACTTTATATTTTCCAATATCCGGATTTGGAGCAGACTACCATGAGCGGTACTTGGTAGTTAATGTCCGCCAGATTAAATGAATATTTATCAAATTAATATGAAGTAATTCAACAGTATATGGATATGTAAACTTTGCGTTTCACAAAAAATTCATTGGCAGAATGTTATCGACATCGTCACACACTTTGATTACGCTTGGTTGTTTTTTTCTCTAGGTGAACGTTACGATTTCGTTATCACTGCCGACCAACCCGTTGGTGCTTACTGGATTCAAGTCAGAGGACTGGGCGAATGCGGAATCAGAAGAGTACAGCAACTTGCGATTCTGAGGTACTACCAAGGACCTTACGAACCATTTACTCAAGCTCCAACCTACGATTTCGGTATACCGCAGGGTGTGGTAAGTAAATTTTACGAAAACGATTTGCTTTGTATATATCTATCAATTTTGAAACTCTTCGACGCCGAGCCGTCAATACACAGACTGATCATCCGCCATAAAAGAAGTAATTAAGAGTATAAGCCTTTCAAACTGAAATCGCAAGTTAATAAAAGTGTGGTCCATGTCAACTGTTTGCCTTACCCTATAATTTAATTATATTATATAACTGTGTTTGATAAGTAAGATAAATATACTAATATTCATATTTTTGTTAACTTGTAGTCTTAGTCCTGATTTCGAAACCGAAACCGACGATTTTCACTCAATTTGACCTAAAGTTATTTAATTAAAACTGTACAGTGTGTCTCATTTTTTATGGTTTTACCAAAATCGCCCTGTTGCTGAAAATCCATCTTGGATTTGCCCCATGAAAGAGTAGCTTGGGTCTCGAAAGCCGCAACGCGCTAGTCGTATTAATAATGGAACACACTATACAATTTTCGATTTTTTCCCGTTGCATACCAAATTTTACTATTAGCAAGTATACCGTAGTATATACATATAATTATGTTGATGTAAATAATTTGTATATTGTGTATTAGCTGTTCCCGGGAATTATTTCAGTGTGTTAGAATGAAAAAAATAACGGTGTGAGATAAAAAAACAAAAGGCTTTATGTATATAATATAAATAAGATTTAAATTCCCGAATGATATCTATATCTGCAAAGTTCAATAATGTCATTGTTTAGACTATTTTATAAATAAGATTATCTATTATAAATGCCACTGAAGGCAATTTTTTCATATGGCAATTAGAAGGAAAACACTTGAAGCTTGTTCAAAATTCCCTTTCGCCGTTTCCACTTTTCTGTTCGTTTCGGAGCGATTTTTAAAAATCTTCCATATTTACTCCGTGAAATATCTATAATCGGTCGAGTTGAAGAAAAAAAAGTAAGATTGAAAGTTTAACCGTTTACGATAGGTATCGGTGACTAAGTTAATTTTTATTCCTATAAATAATTAATAATAGTAATAATTTCATTATATGGTGATTGTATAATATGTTTTTTAAATATTTACTTTAAATAAAATCTAAAAAAATCTAACTTTTATTTGGAGATGTGAAAACTAATCTCACGTTGTCAAAGAAACTTTATCTTTTCTACAATCGTCACAAAGAAATACAAAAATCATTTTTGGAATGTGCAAAGAAAGCAAATACCGAAAAAAAAAGCGGTGCAGGTAATTATCATTCGAGATCGGAATCCCACTTTAAATCGAAATTTGCGAATAGGATAGGCATTGGCTTGCTTTTAAAACCCAGTATTTATCGCTTTACCCAAGTCGTACATACACGCTCAGACAAGCGAATTTATATGGAGAGATGGTTGGCTTCTCAACTAAGCTTTAAATCACGAGCTTGATCGGAACTTACGCAAACACGTGTGATACACTTGAAAATGTATATCATCCATGCCGCTACGTTTTGCAAAATACCGCGTCAACGGGATTGTGTAAAAAACATATTTTCTTTATATTTCATATAAGCTTTGCTCCGCTGTACAGTGTAAATAGCAAAATAAGTGAATCTCAAAATGTAGGTACTTAACCCGTTGGATGCTATATGCAATGAATCGAGGGCAGATGCTGTTTGCATCAGTCAACTGAAAAATGCAAGAGAAGTGGACAGGGGACTGCTGACCGATACACCAAATGTAAAAATCTTTTTGCCATTCAGGTTTCACGTCTACACTCCGGACGATCTGTTTGCCCCAAAATCCTACAACAGACACTTGGGTAAGTTTTGTAAAATAATTTTGCTAGAGTCAATCCTGTGGCCATTAGTTAAAGGCATGTTGTCAAAAATGTTCAATGATTTCTTATATGGAATAAGTTATAAGCCGTGAACAAAAAGCTAGGCAAATTTTACAATATAACATTAATGGGGATTGTTTTCTCTCTCTTGCTTATTTATATTTGACGATATATTCTTAATTTCATTATTATTTGGTGATTGAATAATGTATTTTTTTAATATTTGTTTTAAGTAAAATTTATAAAAATTCAACTTTCGAAAAAACTGCATAAAAATTGTTATAATTAAATTAAACAAAGAAATTAAAATTATTTAAATCTTATTGAAAAGTTTTAAAAAATCTGTTGGTCCTACAATAGCCGTTATGTACTTTTAAAGGAATATTATTTCAAAAAAGGCTGAAAATGAATACTCACAACAATTTGATAAAAATATAAATGGTATCTTTTTACATTTTTGGACGACTAAATAGATAAAGAATACCAAACTAACAAAAATTATCATGTCATACAAACGACAAAATCAAATTAACAATTTTTGTTATTATACGAAAATATTTATATAATCACATTTATAGATTTATGTATTAAGCGGTAAGTTATTATTTAGGTTTAAAAAAAATCAGATTATCCAGTATGAGGTATAAATGTTTTTACATACCATTATATTATATTACAATTATATTCAATTCTCAGCAAATATTTTCATACACAAAAGTGTCACCTTCAAAACACAGTTAATATTTAATATTTCATGAAATATGACCAACAAAACAATTCACATCTCTATGACTGAGTAGAGTTCTCCATACTATATACAATATAAGTAAGAAGGAAATTGAGAGCTGAGAATTTATTTATTTATTTATCAAAGCGAGGTAGGTCTGAGATTAAAATTTACCAAAGTTAAATACCGGATTATGTCGTAAAAACGGTATGTCGGAGAAATATATATATATATATATATATATATATATATATATATATATATATATATATAAAATATAAAATATATAAAATATTAAATGGAACTCAACAAAGCAAACAAGAACAAAACTTATGGCGTTAATTTCTAACTAAACTTATAAGGGATAATTTTTGCGATAATTTCAGGTAGCTACATAAGAAGAAACAACAACAAGAACACTTAGTATAACAATGAATAAAACAATAATCAAAGAAAAGACAAATTCCCTTACTAACCAATTATATTAAAATAAATATTCTAAAATTTATTAGAGAACTGTTTGGTAAGTAAATCTTTCATATATGTTCTTTAATAATTATACCAAATAATTTCAACAAAATCGGATTATTTCGTCTTAATAAGATAGTTAAAAGCAATTCCACAGAGAAACGTGAGGGTGGGGGAAACCTGCCTAAGATATAGATATTTAATGCCAGGAAATATGAAAGATATATTGGGAATTACGGAAAATATCTAGATTATATAAAGGAAAATATAAAGAAACATTGGAAAATATTTATATAAATATTGGGAGGACGTCTCCCCCTGCGTTTAACGGGACCATATGTGACTAATTGAAAACGTATAAAACTTGAGACCGTCCTTTTTTCTTTCATTTTCAGTGGCTCCGAACGGCGACCACATCATAAGTTTGATCGATGAAATTTCGGATCTGACTCCACCAGCACCCCTTATATCGCAGTACGACGACATCGATCCTGAACAGTTTTGCAACGGTGATAACAGACCGCCCGATTGCGGACCAAACTGCATGTGTACCCACAAAATCGATATTCCACTTAACGCCGTAGTAGAAGTGGTACTGGTCGACGAAGGTAATTTAAAAAAATATCCCTAATATAATAATCTCAATAAACTGACGTTATCAACACGTTATAAATAAATATATAAAAGAATTTCAAGAATCATTACCCACCTCGCCCTAAACTCTAGAAATAAAATATGAAAAACTGAGATTTGGATTTACGAATTTCTTTATCTAACTGCGATAATGGTAAAACCCGTGAGTGTGTGTCACTAATAAATATAATAAATAATATAATAATAAATAATATAATAATATAATGATATTTGATAATTAAATACTATACACAGAAAAGGTTAAGTCTATGTTTCAACTTTGTTGGTGATAGGCACTATATGCAAGGGGCATTTAGAAAAGCGTTTACCAAAAAAAGATTTTTTCTAGCAACCATTTTGACATTACGAGTTGAGAAATAAAAAAATATATTCTTCTATGAAAATAGGTTTTTCAATCTCATGATTTTGGCCGTCACGATGAGCTAGCGATAAATACTACGATATTTTTGTTTCCTTTTTTCCAGTACAACAACCGAACTTGTCTCACCCATTCCATCTTCACGGCTACGCGTTCAACGTAGTCGGTATTGGCAGATCGCCCGACCAGAACGTCAAAAAAATCAACTTGAAACACGCGTTGGACTTAGATAGACAAGGTTTGCTGCACCGTCACTTCAACTTACCGCCCAGCAAAGACACCATCGCCGTTCCGAATAACGGTTACGTAATTCTGAGGTTTAGGGCTGACAATCCCGGATTTTGGTTCTTCCACTGTCACTTCTTGTTCCACATTGTTATAGGTATGAGCCTGATATTGCAGGTGGGTACCCAGGCTGATCTGCCGCCGATACCACCCGGTTTCCCTACGTGCGGTGATCACGTACCCGAGGTCCCATTAGATCCAGCTCAAGTTTACTAGGCTCTTATCCAAATTTAGGACTTATTTTTCTCTTTAACTTTGGTTAGTACCACGATATTTGGTTTCCGTCATTTTCAGTGGACGCGAGACAGAAAAAAGTCTGTTCCGCAAATTTAAACCAAATTTTATTTTCTAGTTCGAGCTATTTTTGTTGAAAATCCTTTTAAATTCTTTTTAGTTTCGCAAGTGAATCCGCTTGAAATCATAGAACGTAACTGAAGACAATTTATACCGGAAGTGTGCACTATTAATCAATTTTTATAAGGTAATTAAATGCTGAAAATAGAAAAATCAATTTTATTGTTATTAGTCATATATTTGTTTCCTTATAGTCAATTACAGCAGAATGAAATGAAAAATAGTGAATTATATTTTAGGTAATTTTCGAGCTTTAAGAATTAATTGATTGATTTTATTGTGTTAATTTAATCTTTAAAAGCAATATTGACAAAAAGCTTTTCGTTACATTACTATTACAATAAGCTTACAAGGGGTTATAACTTATTTGAACTAAAAAATAATCCTAAATTGACATATCCAAAGAACATTTTTTTAGAAAACGCTTCCCCTTCAATTTTGTTGTTTTCATGGACTTTGAATAAAATATATGGCACTGTAATTGTTAGTAAACAAGATAACAATGCTACTTTTTTGCGTGATAGTTACGATATAACTATATTAAAACAACTTTATGAATAAAACGCAAAGTAAATAATATGATTAAACATGATTAAACGATACAGCTGCCAATTTTTGTTGTTAATCTCTTTACCTGTTGTCACCAATTTTATCTGTTTGTTTATTCATTTTACTTCATTAACTGTTTTTTAATTTTTTTAACTAACCAAAACTAATATTTGATTTCAATTTGCGTGAAATTGACATTTATATAAGAATTTAATAATTGAAACAAATTGAAGCCACCCAAATGCGGAAACCAAATTTACTCAAAACCAAATTTCAGTATTTGAGTTACCTTTTACCAAATCGACTTCAAATTAATCTTGCCATTCTGAATTTTATATTTTGGTACTACGTTAATATAACTGATGGCAGTTTAAATTCTCCCAGTTTCAATACGAGGCAAACCCCTTCACCGTCAGTTAAATTAACAAAATTTTGTATATTTTTCTTATTTATGTATAATATTTATCTATATTTTAGCGACTTAAAATCTATGCAAACTTCTTGGGCAGTCCGAATTTCGCAACGCAAGGGCCTGAGGCTTCATTCATTGTTTATATCCCAAAAAATTTGCATAAATATTAAGAGGCATTAGAAAATTTTCGCCATAATAATTTAAGTATTCCTACCTCTGTCTTCTCTCAAACCTTTCCCTATTCTACAATGACGTCCCAAACAAATCTAACAGAAGCAGAATCAATTGACGCATTCTAATTCTAGCAGATTTTGTTACGTGAAACTTTGTACTGGTGCTCGTTAATGGAACCATAAGGCTGCAATATGTAATCGTCATTGACACCAGAGATTTCCTCTGGCCCGTGACAAGTGTTATCCCTGGGAAGATATTGCGTCCTCGCTTGCCCAAACGAAATTATTGTTAAAACCTTTTCGATTTCATCAAAAGAAGTTTGCAATTTCTTCCCACCATAAAAATATCTTATATAGTTCTCTTAGTTTCTTTTAAAGCAATGAATTAGGATAAGATGTTGTAAAAATGTATAGAAATGATGCCTATACGCAGTATTGACAAGTGTTACCATGTATAGTTATTATAGGATTGTACTAGTCTTCCGCAGTCTATAATAACTTTCAAAGATTGGAATGTTGTAGCAATAAAATGTAATATACAACGTAATGGAAAATAAATATTCATATTTATGTATATATTCATTTGGTGTGGGCTAGATGAGGCTTTTATCCTACTCCCGGTTGTGCTTGACATTGGAAGGTGTGCAGAAAAAAAATGCTTTGAATTACGTCCACTGTTTTTAAAAGGAAATCGCATTGCATATATATAATTAGTCGTGTACATAAACCTAGGTAAGTTACACATAGAAACTTTGCTGGATACTGCTTATTTAGTATAGCAAAATTGCGTGGTATTTTTGTACAGTTATCTGTACATAGTTTGGTACCAATACTTTTCAATAAAAAAGGGCTTTTTTCATTGTTTAGGATGGATCCGTTAATGCAACGTGTAGAGCATAACTTAGGTAACAGGTGATCCATTATAAACTTTACTAACTTTTTTATATTTCATTTTATAAAAAAATATATATAAAAGCTGCAGGGTTTAATGTGTTGATTAAATATTATATACCTATTTATATACAAGGTGTAACAAAAATGCATAATTACCAAAGTTACCTTTTTTTAAATTGGTTATATTATTTCTTAAAAAGAAAGGTCCTCTTACTCCGATTTTTTTATTATATTTTTTTACATTAAGGTCAGAACCCATTGTCTCTTGTTTAATTATGACAATTAAATATTATTATAGTTTAAAATTCGATAAAAGAATATTGTTTTCAATTAACGAAAAATTCAAAACAAAATAGAGTCAGACACGAATAAATGCAAATACACAGAGAAGAGACCACTCATACCTGAAAGTTTAAATGAAAATAAACTCTCGGTAACTTATTAAGAACAACGATAGCTTGTTGTGCAGAGTGAGAATTTTGATTGGTGTTTGGGGATCTGGTCTGAAAGTAGATCCTCAAAGATTTTTTACGAGCTTAAAATAACATTAAAGCTAACTTTGAAATATGGAACAAATGAAGAAATAATCAAGAAGAATATATTCTGATTATCGTGAATCTAGTGGAGAAAATAAAGTCAAAATTAGGATATAAATTAAAAATAAAAATAAAAAAACTTTTTCTTTTCCTTTATATCGGTGAATGTTTCCTTACAATTGTTAACATTAAATAACCCGCCCTCGTATATCAGTAAAATAATCTTGGAAATCAGTTATACTGGAAATATGGGAAATGCAGAAAATTATTCATTTCCTTCACGCTATGAGAAAATCAATACTCTGAAAAAGTTTTGTTGACGTATTTTATAAAAAATTTGCCTTTTATTAGGTTTCCGAATGTCCGCCGATTAAAATAGAGTATTAACCAAACCAAATTTCTTTATATATTAGTTAACCGTACTATGCGTATGCATTTCACGAGGATGCATCCTTATTCCACCAATTACTTATTTTAACAACAAAAGTAAAGACACTGAAACAAAATTACAAACTTATAAACGCCACTAAATTTTAATGAGTGAAAATGGATATACTACTCATTCTACGCGTATTATAGAAATCGAAAACAATGTTTATAAGCAATGTACATAGATCACTCAAATATGGGTAAGATGGTTAAGTCAACAGCGAGAATTTCACAAACAAAATTTTGAAACACCTACATCGGCAGGTGCTGAATCCGCTAGACGCAATTTGCAATAAGCCCAGGCGGGATGCCATTTGCGTCACACAGTTGAGAAACGCTAAAAAAGTAGACCAAGCGATACTGCAAGAGCGACCAGACGTCAAAATTTTCCTGCCATTTAGGTTCCTGTTTTGGAAACCACAAGATTTGTTCAAACCGAACACATATGGTCGTTACCTGGGTAAGTGCTGTTATAATGTAGTCGCCGTAAGCACGATCAAAATTTAAATGCTGCGATGATATATTTATGCCATTAAATTTCACACACTAACCTGCACATTGCGTTATTTCCTTTCTAAACAGCCATCTCCACTCCACTACACATTTAACTCATTGTTCTTGAGAAAATACTGCCATAAAAATGTCAAACGGCATACTGTCGAATTGACAAACTGTCAGCGGCCATGTTGGTGTTGACAGACGCTAATTCTCATTGGTTGAAAAAAAGATTTGAAATGACAGCGCAGGAGAATATAGAATAGCTCAGATCAACATTTTCAAGTTCAATTGAAATATTATTGGCAGGGCCTCTACATATTTAGTTGCTATATGTGTAACCCTCATCATTAAAGCCACCATCGAATAAAATATGTTCGCCTATTCCAGCGTATTTAAGGAATTTCATATTTGGAAAGCAACAATTACTAGATATTATGCAACAAGTGCGGTAAAAGGCATTTGACTCACCAGTTTATTTGACACGTGCGGAGCGAGTTTTTAATAAGCGAGTGAGTTAAAAAGTTTGTTGAACGTGTTGCATACTATATTTTTTCTACGCCCGTTAGTTTTTGGGTACATTTTCGCAAAACAACAGTAACATATGACCGTCAGAATTGACAAACGTTAAAATTCAAAGCGTGGGAAATATCTCCGAAAACATCCGATTGCTCCCAAAAACGAAACTGGACGTGGTAAAGCGACGCTTCCCGCACGCTAGATCGGTGCGTAATTAGGTATTTTACTGACGGAAGTAGAAAAAAGTATTTATATTCACTTTATTTTTATCGGGAAAATTTGAGATATTTTTTGGTAAAAAAAACAATATAATTAAAAAAAAATACTCATATATGAAAAAAGTCAATTTTTCTTTAAACGACATCTTGGTTAGGTTAGGTTTGCGGCTTGTCCACGTTTTGTTTTCTCTATTTGGTTTAACATTAAGACGTCAAATACAAATATTTGCTTTATTTGGCTGGAAGAAAACATTTCACATTTTCAATTTAACAAACCTGCTGCATTGTAAACTTCTGCCGACATCATTTTCGTTATATATCAATATCGTTTGTTGTTAATTCGCTAGATTCTATTTTATCTTTTTTGGCGACTTTTTCGGCGTTTTCTCGCCTTCTATATCCAAAAAATTCGTATAAAATACCTACTACCTAAGTAAATTCATTTGGTACCTATTTTTCAAAATCGAAATTATTTCACTAAATACTAAGTAATGAAGCTTTTCAAATAAGTCAACTCGAAATTTAATTTTTGTTTGTACGTCGCCAATAACTTCAGGTTTTGTGTACACCCACCAATTCGACTTTATACTTTCAGCTGCATTGGGAGGAGATCACGTTCTTAGTTTAGTAGACGAAATATCCTTCAACTTCCCCCAGTCTCCGCCGCTATCTCAAATCGAAGATATTCCCCCAGATCAGTTCTGTAACGGAGATAACAGACCCATCGACTGTCCAGCGGCCTGCATGTGCACGCATCAAGTTGACATACCATTGAATGCCATAGTCGAAGTAGTATTGGTAGACGAAGGCAAGCAATCAACTCAAGTTTCGAAACGCATAAATGAAAATCAAAAACGTAACTTTCTTGCAGTTCAATCTCCCAACTTAAGTCACCCGTTCCACCTTCACGGCTACGCTTTTAACGTAGTCGGAACGGGAAGATCGCCGGATCAGAATGTGAAGAAAATCAATCTCAAACACGCATTGGATTTGGATCGAAGAGGATTGCTGACGAGACAGTTCAATTTGCCGCCCTCGAAGGACACCATTGCGGTTCCCAATAACGGATACGTTATTTTTAGGTTTAGAGCGGATAACCCAGGTAAACATTTCATTGCAAACGATTATAATCATCTGTAATACACAGGACGCATCAGATTGGGTGTCCTATTAAAATTTCTGGATGAGTAACAAAGCGAGTTTCCAAATTTGGTATACGGCCACAAGTGATATTTTGAAAATGCATTGGTAACCGTTGTGTTGCCAAACCTACACAACACTATTTTGTATTGCTCCCATTGGCGTTCGTGCGCGATTTGTATCGAATGTTAATGAAGAAAAAAATGGCACGCTGTTACCATATTTTCAGGTGAATATTTTATTTCGACGGTCTAGTCTGCATAAATGTCACGTTTCACTTGTCAGATGCACAGTACTTGAAGATCTTAATGATTACGTTAAAAGGGCTTCATTTGATAGCGCCGAGTAATAAATATACTTTTTAAGGAACTCCATATGGCTTATATGCACTAGTTTTTGCTACTAGTACTAAACAAATTATTATAAAAAAATAATCCAGGTAATTCCATCAAGTTGTCCTGCTATAAAAAATGTCCTACCCAGACATTAAACGACAATTTTATGGGTTTCCGTTGTGGGAGTCGACCACCACATGATTATTATGGAAATTCTGAATAGCATTCTTAGAAAAATTTTATTTTTCTATGACTATAATTAGTGATTAGTGTAATATTCTGAAAGTACCACAATGTAGAAAGTCTCTAGGAAGTAATGCCTGCAATCTTAGTATATAATACAAACATAACATACCTATCAGACTCCGCAAACAATTTGATGACAGGAAGTTTTTCGTGACAAATACGCCTAGTTTCTAATTCACCATAATAAAATATTTTTTTCACAACCGAAAGAAAAACTATAAAATGAATTAAAAAGTAAGTTATGAGGGTTTTCAAGACTAGCAAAAGTAACAATTACGTTTAAACACTTATTTAAACCCAGACTTACTAGGGTAGTTGTATCGTCAAAAATTATTAGCCATTGTAGTAAAATGTAGGACTTTTTTTTTAAGTATTTTGTTCTTCATAAACATGCGACACAAATCACGCACGTACGCCAGTGAAGCGTCTGAAAATGCGGTCTGATGCACATGCGCATTACTAGAACCGTTTCTTAGACGTTATTAAAAACATTCTAAAAATTTTACCACCTCGTAAGTTAAAACATTGAGGACATGTTCATTAGGTATACAACGTGTGTTCAAAAAGTAAGTTGACTTTTGAATTTTATCATTAAAATTAATGGTGTCCTGTTCAAAGTAACCCCCACCCCCCCGTAGATATAATACACTTATACAAACGTTTTTTCTAATCCAAGAAGCACATCTGGTATAGCTTTGAGTTCTTTCAGCGACTTTTTCTTTATCTCCTCAATTGTTCCAAACCTCCTCCCTTTCATGAGTTTCTTGAGTTTTGGGAACAGGAAAAAGTCGCAGGGGATCATATCCGGTGAATATAGTGGCTAAGGCATAATTGTGGTTTTGTTTTTGGCCACAACCAACGATGAGTGAGCAGGTCCATTATCATGATGCAAAATCCATGAATTGTTTTCCCACAATTCCAGACGTTTTCTTCGCATTGCTTCTCACAAACGGCGCATGACTTCAACTCTTTATTGACCATACGACCTTGTGGTAAAACAGTAAGCAAAACTTTGATCGAACTTGAAGTGCTTTTTTCGGCCTTGGCGATTCTGGGTTCTTCCATTGGAACGAATGGATTTTGGTTTCGACGTCATAACCATATACCCATGATTCGTCACCAATTTTTGAACATATCAGGATCATCATTGAACTCGTTTAGCGATGCTCCTTCCACTGTCCTTTTGTTCAAAATTAAGCAGTTTCGTGACAAATTTTGTTTCATTTCTTCAACGCTTATGGGGCATCCAGAGCGAGTTGCTTCATCGGCGTCTTCTCAGTCATCTTGGAACAGCTTGTACCACTTATAAACATTTTTTTTTACTCAAAGTAGATTCGTCATATGCCGCTGTCGACATTTGAAGTGTTTGTATTCCATTTTTTTACACAAAATTTTTGGCAAATTCTTTATTCCATTTTTTACAGCAGAAAATCGCCGAGCACACAAAACACGTCTAACGCTTGCCTCCCGACAAAAAAGTAAACGTACAATCTGGCTGAAACTGTGAACACATGTTAGGGACATGTGTACCAACAACAACAAAAATATCGAAGATGGAATGTACGTAGTCCGCCAAATTACAAAAGTAACCTTACTTTTTGAACACACCTCGTATGCCAAATCGGAGTCTTATACCTCACACTTAAGGCCCCACACAAAACTTCCAGGAGGAATTGAAAAAAAAAATGTATGCCAAACCAAAAATTCAATGATTACTGCACGTGGCTCTTTTTGTTAAAAATAAAACAAGGTTTCTATCATCAAGACGTTTGGTAAATTAAAAGGTCTTTTTAAGTGGGACCTTTATTTATATCCATCATATTAAAAATTTGACGGTGAAGAAGAGAATGTAAGAAAATCATCACCTCTCTTAACTTTGCAATTTTGAACACCCATTAACCCATTTGGTTATTTTTTTACTTTTAGGATACTGGTTATTCCATTGCCACTTTTTGTTCCACACTGCCATAGGAATGGACCTCGTAATACACGTGGGGACCCAGAAAGATCTACCGCCCGTACCGCCCAATTTTCCCCGATGCGGAAACTTCCTACCTCCAGTTTCGTTACACTGATATCGACTGAAATAACTTTGAGTGAATGCGCGGTGTAAAAGTGTTTGAGTTAACCATTTCTGTTGCCGAATCAAGATTACATATCTGAACGCGAGATATATTCCGTTCCAAAAGGTATAAAAAACGCGAACTCAACCCAAAAAGATTATGAACGTCGTGTCTCCAAAGTTCGAAAGTTAATTTATAAATCGACTTTCTATTGGGGCAATCTTTTCTAGATTGACTGATATTTGGGAAACAGCAAAATCTGTCACCTTCGCGTTTTCTTTTACTAGTATTTGGGGCCCAACGTATCTTTGTGTTCAATTTATTGGCCTGGCATAAGGAATTGGTTGACATTATTTAAATGGATCCGTTTTAAAAACGGGGATACTCGAATAATACCGTTTAAGCAAAAACCAATCAAGAAATAATATTAAAATCTTTAATAAAGTATACCTTGTAATTTGTTCAGCAATCATTCTGATAAATTAAAACGACCATCTTTCTATTATCTTACTAGTTAATTTAATAATAATAGTCTACCAAAGTGCCGTTTCACATTGGCTATTTTCCAGGATTTATGCGACCACAGCTATAGCGCTTTTGTATGCAAATAATGGTTTTTAAATAAATTTCTAATTCCCCGCAATGAAATTACCCCCCCGTTATTTATTTAGGTAAATAGATGTTAATTTTCTATGTACATAATATATTTAGAGACCTGTACCGGACTTGCATGGTTCCAACCATATTACGTAAATTTAAACTTTTGAACTCTTAATATTTTGAGCATTGCCCATCTAGAATTTAATTACTAAAATGTCAATGTTGTACAAAGGAAGAAATAAACCCGAAATAAAAATTGTTTACACTTTTTATTTTATTTTTAAGAATTGCATTTCTATTCGCAAAAATTAAAAATTTGCGCTGGACTTAAAAAAAAACTTTATTTAACAAAAACAGCAACAAACAACATATTACAAATACAAACTTGCCGAAAATATTATATCCCTCTTAATAAGTATTATAGACTTATCGAACATCGCTTCCAGATCAGTATTACCTATAATTTTACAGGCCTGTACCATCTGCCTTAAAAGTTCCTCTAAACGTCTTATGCATCTTATGATGGAACCTTCGAATATATCGGTCATTTTGCATAACTCGGCAAAGGACGAGCCGCTACACCAAGCAAACACCACATTCATTAAATATGGCTTGAATTGTTCCACATATATCTCCTCGTCTAAAGGCAAACCAGATTCCTTACTAACCTTTGCGATTCTCCTTGCCAAATCCTTTAAAATTTTGTACATGTCACATTAGAGAATCATTAAAAAAATACCCTGCTTACCTGCATCTGTCTAAGGGGACCAGATAATTCCTCGGATAACTTTTGAGTTTCATTGGTGCGTTCGTCACACACTAAACAGCTAAGTAGAGCGCATATTTGTTGAGAAGACAACTTACCAAATAGACCGTCATATATCATCTCAGTTAATAATATCTCGTCAGCGCTACAAAATCCAAAACATTTAAGTTATTAATTGGAATTTGCAATTAATTCGAACTAAAATTACAATATCAGAAAATCAAAATACAGACCTGCTCAACTCGCACGCTACTCTGCCTTTCAATTGAATAACATCAGTTTCCGTACAGTAGCCCAATCTCCTTAACACCTTCTTCCTATTTTTGAGCTCATCAAGATGTAAGACAGATTTGGCATTTGTTAACTTCTGTTTAGCTACTGCCAATTCCCTATCGCAAACCACCTTCTGCGCATATTTTTCCAATTCCGATTCCAACATCGGATCCGCACACAGTGGATGTTTCTTCAATCTAAAATCACAATTGCAATAAAGAGAATTTGTCATTAGGATCATTCACTTGTTCTCTAAGGTTTCCATCTTCTTAACGATTTCCAAAAATCTGGGTTCTTGTATTTTCATGTCCTCGATAGGTTTAAGCAGTGGCGGCTTTCCTTTGAAGTGATCCTTGACAAATTTTAAACTTTTATACATCTTTTTCCGACCATCCCTAAATTCCACATCGTCTGCATATGGTAAACGTACAGATGATATCTCAGTGATGAATTTTGAATCCAAGGAAACCAGCTGAAGCTCTTCTGAACAGGGACAATTAAGATCTTGCCACTGTTTTGCAAACATTAATACACTTTCTAAGGTAACATTCAAAAACTCCCTCAATGACAAATGTGCTTGCAGAAGTAGAACATGACTACTTACTCAATTTTCACAATTTTTATTTTCATTATTGTATAAGATCACGAAATGAATTGAAAATTTTAATATAATAAATACCTAACATGCTCAACTTACCATGCACGGTTTGGGAGCCATACTCTTGTCTGTTGAATCTACAATTACATGTAACAAAACATCCATTTGCACACTTGCATCTTGCCTAACGCCGGCCTTAGTTTCTTGGGTTTCCTCCACTTTCTTAAAGTTCGCAATTACACCCCAATTGTATTCCCACTCATCAGTCTTAACCTAAAGTAGACTTGACCGACTAATTCATAATATGAAAATAGATATAGTATACCTTAACCAGACGACCAGGCTGTAAAAATCGAACCAGGTACTGAGGTTTTGTCAAATAAATACGAAATTCAGCTAACAGAACATCCAGCGCTTCTTTAATATCATAGTAAGAAGCAATTTGATCCTCCCTGTCTATTTTAAAAGAGTTGTATTTTTCCAAAGTTTTGCAAAAATCTGCAAAGAAAAGTGCAATACCTGATTCAAAGTATGCAAGGAAACCTACCATCATGTAGGCCCGGAATACTAGCCTCGTTCTGAAACTGATAAAAAGATCTTTCCAACATGTATTCTGGATTGATCTCCTCAACCCTAAGATGATTTAATACCATGTTGTAAGTTAAATGAAATGCCGAATTAAGTGGATCGGACAACCCTTGAACAAGGTCTCTAACAACTGAAGCTCGGATTTTCTCATCAACCATCAAAATTGCTGTACCCTTTTTATCGCGACCTCTCCTACCGGCTCGTCCAGTCATTTGGATATATTCTCCAGAAGTCATCTGCAACTCTTCTATACACAAACCCAATTAAATGATGAAACGCCAGTGTGTTACCCATCTATGATTGTGACCATCAAATTTTTTTATTCCTGTAAACAATACAGTTCTGGCGGGCATGTTCAATCCCATAGCAAAAGTTTCAGTGGCAAACAAGACTTTAATCAAACCTTCTCCAAAAAGAATTTCAGTAGTTTCTTTTAAAATCGGCAAAAGACCACCGTGATGAATCCCAATGCCTCGTCTCAATAGAGGTAATGTACTTTCAACCTGAGGTAGGTGGCGATCTTCTTCGGAGAGAATAGATAAAGCATTATTAATCACTGTATCTACTAATTGCTTTTCAGCCCCTGTTAATATAAAAAAAATATAAAATTCATTCATGGAAGCCATTTGTGATTCACTAACTTTCATTAAAGTCCATCTTGGTCATATGCATAGCAAAAACTTCACAATCTTTTTTACTAAAACTGAAAATAATCACCGGCTCTAGATCGTTAACCATTATCATATTAACAAGTTTAAAGATGCTAGAATGACTCCCATCACTTTCAGTACCATGTCTTTTTGTCTTTTTACTATATTTTTGATTGTCACCTAAATTTTGCAAAATGGCCATGGCATTATTAAAATTATTTTCTCTAAATGCACCCTACAAATTAGCTTAAGATAGACCTAAACCCCAAGAAAGCTAACAAAAATTCCACATACTGACTCGTCAACCAATAAATGGATTCCTTCTGCTCCAGCAGGATAAATATAGTGCTCTAGAGGAGTTGGTCTATAATCTGTATATACAACATGGCACGGCTGTTGGTGCAAATATGCAACCCACTCAGCAAATTGCCTAGCATTAAGAATGGTAGCCGATAAAAATACAAAATGGACATTATGGGGGAGTAAAATCAAAGTTTCTTCCCAAACTACCCCTCTTTCTTTATCCCTCATATAGTGAATCTCATCAAATATAACCCAGCCTACTTCACGCATGACTTCGGAACCACGATAAAGCATATTTCGCAAAATCTAAAAATTGGCTGTTAATGCTATAACTGTAAAAATAATAATTGTATTGTAATAAATACAGGGTGGCCAATTATAAAGGACGCTCGGTCAAATCTCCAAAAATAAACTAAAGCGGCGAAGAAAAAACATTGGAAATTATTTTTAAGTTTCTAAAATGACCGCCAGTCGACGTAAATTCATTACTGAATTTTAAATCTTTTTTTTTTGAGAAATAATCTTAGAATACAGACAGCTAAAATGGACACAGTTGTAAAGCTCAGATATATTAAATTCTTTGTCGTTAAATGATCAAAATGATCAAAGAAAAGTAGTGGAAGGCGTTCGAACATTTTCCGAAATAAATGAAATAACTTGAGAATGGCGGAACTCATTTGGAGTGGTTGAAAAGGGTTCTTTTAGAGCGATAGAGGGCGTTTTGCAATATCACTATAAATATCAGTAATAGCAATCAAAATTTTTGGAAATATTATCACTATACCTATACCTGTAAATACTCATTATAGTCTATTTTGGAAAAATATATATAAATTTACTGTTAAATTACACCAATTATATTTAAAATGTCAATAATAATGAATACTCATTTAATATGACTGAATATTGCCCATCTGTCCACAAGAAATTTGAAATTTTTAAAATGCATAAAATACTTTGGTAAAATGATAATTTTGATATATTTTCAAAACCTCCTGTAGCTATCCTGAAAATTGCCAAAGATGAGGATATTTTGTTTTTAATTCTTTTACTGATATTATAGGTCATGAAAGAGGTATTGATGGCAAAAGAGCTCTTTTGACCCCACCATGAAAAAAAAATGTCCCAACTTCAATATGGTGTTCATTTTAGTTATCTACAATATAAGAATAATTCTCCAAAATGGAACCTAAGATTAAAGAATCCAATTACTCCCCTCTGGCAGCCCAAAGTTTTTCCAAAACGCAACGAATGATGAATTACTTTTCGAGATACGGTTGACTGCCCCTGTAAATGGGACACCCAGTACAAAACTTACTAATAATACCAATTACCTCTGTTGTCATTATAAGACATGAAGCACTTGGGTTTAAAGTTACATCACCTGTCACTAAACCGACGTCCTTAAATTCTTCATTGAACTCACGATATTTTTGATTTGAAAGTGCCTTTATTGGCGTTGTATAGATTACACGCTGATTATATTTTAAAGATTTGGCGATAGCATACCTACAGTATTTAAAGTTCTTAGTGAGTTTAATAAGTTAACATTTTCCACAAACTTACTCTGCAACGACAGTTTTTCCAGCAGATGTGTGAGCCGATACCAATACTGACCGATTATTATCAACACACAATATAGATTCATGCTGAAAAGGATCCAAAGAAAATGAATAAATTTTTGCAGGTTCCTCGATTCTGGGTTGAAGAGGGATAAAGGCCTGGTCTGAGGGACGAGCCACTTCATGGGTGCATGATCCCATGGTGTCAATATTATGAACAACTGTTCTATTTTTTAAGTTTTCCAGACTAAAACAATTACTGAAATTATGGAAACACAGACATCACACGATGTATACTCAAAAACGTTTAGATTTATGTCATCTCGTTTGATGCGTTTAGAAAGAGTTTCTTTGCTTTCTCCGTTGCTCCTCTTGAAACAATATTCTGAAAGTCTTAACAAAAACTTTGTTCCAAGTACACAAATTTAAATTTGTATGTGTAATACAAACCCTTCATCCTCGCTATTGTCAGAAAGTCTCTCGCCTTGTTCGAAACAGTGAAAAAGCTCGTCAATCGATCCTGCCATTTTATTAATGCGCTTTAAATAACAATATTCTGTTGTTTACAAATTTTTAAAAAATACATAACCTCTCTCAATAAGCACGTGTAATTTGACAGATCCTCCTAATAAAGAAGGCTTCAGATTAACCAAAACTAGGGCGTCGTGGACAGTAGATGTGGCAGGGTTTGAATAAAAATAACTAAGTTATTGCTGTAACAAGTGGAAGTATCTCCTTTCCCCCCACGTACAAACTACAATGTAATATTGCATTTAGTAATATGTTGAAGTTTATAGGAAACCGAGTAGAAAACGCAATAGCCAAATCAAAATAAATGCCTGGCTGGCAATAATTTGTCTTTATGATCTAGCACACCTTTTCGAGAAAATTGGAATTTCTATTGGCTTTGTTACAACCTACAAAAAGGAATAACTTTAAACATATTAGAGTCGATTTGCATACCGCTACCTACGACCCAGGTAGTATTTCCCACTACTTAAAGGGTGGTTATTACTATCGCCTATACTTATGACGCCCGTAAATCCAAGATAATAGGAATTTCACCAATTTCATATCATGAAAAACATTTTGAAATTAAATTAAATGATTCGCCAAATTCTAATTAGATGTCCAAGATAGTGGAACAGTTTGTAAAAATATAGGTACATTCAAAAGTCTTTAAAGGCAACCACGCATACAGGTCATAATTCAAAATTACTAAACATATACAAGGTGGTCTCAAATTAGACGGCAAATATTTTAAAAACGCATTCTAGGCTCTAAAATGAAGACCTCACTTATTACTGTCTTGGGTTGTCACCACCGTCGAAAAAAAAAGATCTTTGTCTCTGTAACGAATTTAAAATCGTTTTAACTCGGCAGTCGTTCTGAGTTTCGAACAAAATTCCGAAAATTTATCAAATTTATAAGCCAAGAAAAATAAAAATAAATAAGTACATTTTCAATTTTGTGAAAAAATTTTTCTTTCTTTCTATTAATTTAGAAATGCTACCTTTCTTAGAATCCAAAATATTATTGAACTGTAAATGTTTTCAGATCGCGCTTTTGGTTGGCCATACACATGCAAGTCGGCCGTGCAAATTATTAATTACTTGAAACTTGTCAATTTCGTATTAATTTTCTCAACTAATTTGTTGTTAATTGCGTAACTTGCAACTCAACCATAAATTTTTCAATGGAAAAAATGGGATCTAGGGAGAAAAATAATTATTCCGATAGAAGGCAGCGCTCTAAAAGAAGTCTTGAGAATTTCATTAATCGTTTAACTCAAACTGGAAGTTTTGCTTATAAAAAGAACGAACGAGTCAAGGCCGTAAGTGAACCAGGAAAACAAATTTCAAGTATTACTTATTGTCAAAGAAAATCCACTTGTAAGTGTAAGACAAATGTCCCAAGGCTTAATCATTTCTAAGAGTTCTGTGAATAGTTTGCGAAAAAAGAATTATCATGTACAACTTCCCCAATTACCGCAAGAAAGAATCTTTGAGCAAGATGATTTTTTCGAATATGTGTTAATTACGGATGAATCGACATTCCACAAAATCGGTTGTGTTAACAGGCAAAATTGTGACTATTGTATAATGACACACTACTTAGACTTCTTAGAGCAGAGGTTGCAAAATATGTTAATAAATGTTCCAAACGAAGTGAGACAGAGCAAGTGGTTCGATTAGATGACCACCTAGATCTCCTGATCTAACAAAGATGGACTAGTTTCTGAGGGGATACGTTAGAGACTAGGTGTATAAAACTGTATGTATAGGAAATGTCTAATATTTATTTATATAAACGTCTTGTTCTTTCTGTCCTGTTTTTATATATTATACACTGTTTTATATAATTTACACACTCTTTATATAATTTATTCACTGTCTTGTTCTTTATATACATATTTTTCTAACTATTGTATTTATGAATTGCCATAATTGTATCAATAAAACGTGGTCAATAAATTCTATTCTATTCTAAAAATGGAAGTATAAAATATGGGATGTTCCATTGAATTTTTTCACGAAAATTATTTTTTCCATTTTGACTCGCTCTGTATAAACGATTCGACCTAACTACAAGTACACAAATATAGGTTAAAAGACTGTACCATTTTATAAAATTGTTGGCATAATAAAATTACAGTTGTCGCAAGCGGCGTCAAAAATATAGGGTTTAAACGCGGTGAATTTTTGACGAAAAAATGTTCAAAATTCCGAAAACACATTATAGAACCATAACAACCCTACATTTGGTGATTAAGTATAAACGAATAATTAATGAGACATATAACTTTTAGACACTATTTGGACAACCTGTATAAGTATCTCCGTATTTATGTTATATTCGTCCCAAATATATTATAAAACCCCTTCTACTATCTGTCTGAAAATTGATAGTGTTTATCTTTTTTCATTCAAAAAATATTGATTTTGTTTACTATTAATTACAAAAGTATCTTCTACTGTATCGTCCACGTTTCTTGTTACCGACGAAACAAATGTTTGAACATCATTAGAGCGTTACATAAAATTTCCATTATATATCGCTCACACCTTTAGCTAACGAGATTCAGGCATGAGGGCGGCATGGGTTATAGTTTTCGGTTTTATTTTAAATGCTTTCGCAAACGATGATAGATATTTCAGCTACCGACGACCATGTATAGAAAAGGTTCTGGAATTGTACCCGAGAACGAAATACACCGTGCTATTTACAAATTTAAACGGAACGTTTAAGGGGTATCCCACAATAAGGACCAACAATTTTTCATATCTTAATTGGTTAAGAAAATCGGAAACGCACATCTATATATTGAGAATAGATCCAGACGAAATGCAGAAGTTCTTGACTTGGGACGCACAAAGGCGCGCCTTTGACCCCAAGTCTTTGTATTTAATTTTAACCAAGAACGCATCCAGCAAGATATTCGAAATGTTTGTACGACATTATATTAGGAACGCGATAATCATAAACGACACTTTGTCGATGTTTACGTATTTCCCGTACATTTACGAAAACGCGAACAATCCTGAAACTACGCCAACTCTCATCGGAAATTGTGAAAAAAATTTAATCGACCAATCGTTCTTTAAAGATAAAGAACAATTGTGGAGAAACACTACGGTAAGGCAATGTTATCGGTTGATAGGCCCATACACGGATGATAAAGATGGAGGTTTGGAAAACAAACTGCTACTTTCGTTGAGGGATGTTTTGAAATATAACGTAAAAACTGTTATACTGGAAGACGATCGTTTGCTCGAAGAGCAGGTATTGTTACTGTTGGTCAATGAATATTCTTAACTAGAGTTTGCAAATACAGTAATTGTGTCAAATATTCACAAATATTTTGATAACGGGTCAACCTATAACCAGAAGCAATACAAATTATAGAAATTGAGTCATCCATTGAACCATATCAGTGTTCCATATCTATATCAGGTTTTGGTTCTTATACCGTATGATAATACATCTATACATCTCTCGAATCATAATAGGCTCCCCCTATCTAACTCTTTTTTTTATGAATATTTTTATATATTCGAAAATTTCACACAGTTTCCCATCAAGATAAATGAATTTTTGCTGTATATTGGTCTTGTAATATAAAACGAAAAAAACACTTAAGAAAAATTGGCTTTTGATAGATATTTTTATGCAAAATATATATATATAGTAAAACGTTTATAATTTTACAGGATTACCTAAGTGAAGAAGGCCTGCGTCAGTTAGAAACTCACGAAGCTGATGTCATGGTAGGTTTCAGTTGTGCTAGTGTGACCACCATTCACAGATTCGACGTGAGTCATGGGTATTATATAGACACCACCCATTGGATAGCACCTGGACCGCGAATGCTCAGCTACTGGACCAGAATAAAAAACATATACTCCGTACTTGTGTGGATCTGCATATTTCTCGGCATGGTGGTATGGATTTTATTAACTCGACGATGTCTTCAGGTGAACGTTGTCAAACTGATCATGATGCTCATCCACTTGGCCCTGGAAAACTCTATCAATACCCATCAAATCCACCAAAAATTTTCAATGAAAATTATGATATCCGTCTGGCTCATGGCTTTTGTAATACTTAACACAGTTTTTAAGAATTCGCTTCTAGTGATTTTGGGCACCGACCAAACGGAAACGCCCTTAAACTCAATGAGCGGCATCCTTAAATCAAACCTAACGCTAAACTCCAATTTTAACCTAAGCGAGAAATATATCGACCCCAAACATCGTCTCGAGTACCCAATAGCTTTTAATAGAGTCGGAAAGTGCCGGGACGTTTTGGAGTGCGTTAACAGAACCGCTTTCCAAAGAAACAGCGTGACAACGGCCCCAAAGGGTATAGTTCGATACAGCTGGATACCAAGGTATTACATAAACCTGGAAAAGCGGGAAGTGTTGGTTAAGGTGACGGGGGCAAGGATTATGAACTTGCACGTACAGCTCTATTGTTCTAAGGGTTATCCGCTTTTCCCCCAAATGTACAAGTTCTTAATGGATAGCACGTCCAATGGATACTTCGAAAGGATTTATGCCATGATGCAGCGGAGAGTTAGGGGCAGCACTAGGACGCTGATATTGCAGTCAGAAAAAATTGGATTGGATAAATTTAATTTTGTGTTCGTTATCTGGGGAATTGGATTGGCTGTTTCTCTGGGGGTATTTTGCGCCGAAATTGTTGCGCACAAACACCGATTTTACCGAGCAAAGCGAATCCCTATATCAGCTACTATCGGGTGTAAATAGTAACCAAAACTTAAAAAAACACAAACTAAATTTATAATCAATGAAAACGTTTATACAAATCTACGTGAAGATTACCTTGGCAGGGACGAAACGTAATGTTTTTGGTTGCTTAATAGATTACAGTAGTTAAATTCACACATTAATCCGGAAGGTTTCCAGAAATAAAAAAAAGAATCTACATATAACGTATAATGATAACATGAAAACCTTAGTAGCGTGCTTTTCATTATTGTTACAGTTGGCAGCCTGCGATCAGTGAAATTAAAAAAAGCGATAGAAATTTTAAAATTTATTTCCAAAAATTATATGTAACTACATGTTAAAAACTCTACGACTATCCCTCATTTTTTCAGATTGCTGACAATCCTGGACAATTCGGTTGGAAATAAACCATAATGTAATCTGCAGAAAATTTTTACAAATTTTCTCGGGATTAAACAATTGATAAAATAGAACCAATAGCAACCAATAGCCACAAAGTGAGGCGTTTATTAATCCACCATTTCCACAAACTACATTTAATGTGCTTAAATAAATATACTTTACGATTGAGAGTAAAAATGTATGTCGTTCGCCTGTGATTGAAATAAATGCCTACCTGCATACCTTATTTTGGTGATCTCCGACGAAGTCTGGCACATAATTAATTGCTGACATAGCTTTATGGATACTAGAACTACCATTAAGGCCACATCAACAACTAACTAGGAGCCAGCGTTTTCTATTACGTTTCCCTATAAAATGTATGTTACGTTGCAAAATTCATATTCCTTCCGAATGTTCGATCTAGTCACAAATGCAACATACTGTGACTATAAACGAACACCCGTAGAAAATATGACATGAATATGTATTACACAAATAGGCATACCTCAACAAACACTCAAAATTTGCTGGACGTAATAGCAAATGAAATAAATTCCATCATCGTCGCTTGTTGTCTTAGAAGCACCACAATGAAGTAACTAATGGCTGTGATATGAATTGAAACACACATCACACCAATAGTTCCTTCATCAGAGCGTCTGTCTCTCAGGGATATTACGTCGATGTCGTTTCCCATCCTACCTATCTTGGTGATCAAACGCCGTGAAATATCAAATCCATCACAGGGCTAGATCACCAAAGATAGAAGGTTGGGCCTCATGCTAATATAATTTAAAAAAGAATTGAATACTCAAAAAAAACATTGGAAAATACATTTACAAACATGGCAAATTTTGCGACGCTAAATTCAAAGCATTAAACGTGAGAAAATTCCGTACTACTGGTCGATAACATACAGCATCTACGAAACATTCCCTCGTTCAATACCTAGAACTTCAAAATTAAAAATGCATCAAAATCTAATAACTAAACAAAAAACGATAAATACAATAAAATCAGGATTAAAATAAAGCGCTTGTCAAAAAGCACGCCTTTGCGCGCAGAACTGTGTGAAAACTTTACAATAAATGGTAGTTACTTAGAAATGCAAACACATTTTTTCCCGCCAAATGCACTAAAAACCCGTCAAAACGAGACTCCCGAACCGTACCCGAGCTGGAACTCAACGGAAATGAAAATTCACATTGTCGGTGGTCAACAAGAGGCAGGTACATTTATATTCCAAAGCTAAGGATTAGAGTAATTGCACATATAATAAATGCAAAGACTTCTCGGAAATATTAGCCCAGGTACTTGGCACTCTGAAATAATCGATATTTGGCCTGTTCACTAACTTTTGTTAGACACAAAGGAAGTTGCTGTACCATTATATCATGAGTATTATTATAAAATTCAAACTAAGATATATAGGAAAAGTTTCAATCGCAACCTAAAAGAAAAAATACAAAAATCTTTTTATATGAGTAAAATATAATTTAACATCGAAAAAGTACTCACAACTTCAATATTTAATATTCACAACTAAATTACATTAATGAAAAGTATAGGGGACGGGATTACAAGGGGATCGGGATCTACCGCCAATATCCACAGTAAGTGATTACTTGAAAACTTTCTCGCAATCTATTAAATTTTAATAACAATAATAACTTCCCCAAAATATTAAAACTTCATTGTTAATATAGATTAAAATTGTATTTACGGTATACATTTGTTCTCAAACCTCGTCTTTGCAGGTTTTAATATTTACAAGTATAAACTTGATGAAAACACTATGTCTCTTTTAATCATTTTTATAGCGGTGTTAAATTTGTCCTCTAACTCGACATTGCCGATAGTTTTTGACGCTTGTACCATCTGCCTCAGAAGCTCTTCCAAACGCCTCATACATCGCACGATCGAGCCCTCAAATATTTCCGTTACCTTACACAATTCGCTGAAGGAAGCACCGTTACACCACGAAAACACCACATCCATTAAGCTCGGTTTAAATTGCTCAATGTATAAATCTTCGTCTAACGGCAATCGAGCTTCCGTACTAACCTTTGCAATTTTGCGTGCTAAATCCTAACAAAAAAGCCGACTTTAGCTATTCTCATTTTGTGTACCGGGTCATCGATCACTTTTGGAATATCCGAAACATATTTTAATATGTTTCGCCGTTTAATAAAGTCATTGCAAAAAAAGATTTTTGTAATAAGTAAAGATAGTTTTAATCTAATACTGTATGTTTTATTCACTTTTATTTTCAAATTTCAGCTTCGATACACATACAGGGAGAGTTTTTAGAGCCTGTAATGAAAAGGCTGAGACGCCCTGCACTAATGCTTGATTCAATTACAAATCGAAAGTAACTCTTTGAAAATTGACTTTTGGGTTTGATAAGTGATCACCCTGTAAGTCGTGTAGCACCGTTTCTAGTTAAATATGAGATTTGTCACTATCTATTAAACATTAATTTTCTGAGTCATCTATAGAACCAGAATATCACAAGGAAGGATAAAAGGTGCTTAAAATAGCAGGTAAAATTTTCACCAATTAAGCTGTAATAACAATTTGCCGACATCAAGTGACAATAACTGAAATTGGGCATCAAATATAATGACACTGAAAAAAATTAGGGTAATTACAGTTATGACAGTGGCTGTAGCATATATATTATTCTTTGAAGCTATTATTATATTATATATCTTATAAAACCGCTCCATATTGAAGGAAACTGCCTATGGAAAAACCAGTGTTTTCCAGGAATTCGAATATTTAAATGAAAAGCCCAGGTTAATTTTTACCTTACATCTGAAATTTTAGAAAAATAAACGTACTCATTGACGCAAATGCGATGGAATGATGGAATTTTATTTTAGTGAAGTCACCAGTAGTTTCATTCCCAATACTGAACTTCATAGTCAGTGAGCAGGTGGATAATTTTTAAACCCTTAAAAATGGCGATGGTTCCAATTTTTTTTTTCGTCTCAATTAAATAAGTTAAATGTAATATTATTACTATGATAAATACTGTCACCATGAAAGTAAAAGTTTTTAAAACTACGAACAAACCCATTTATTTGCATTTCCAGTATTTTACCAGAAAAGCCATAAACATTTTTTTTCTTTATTTTGTAGTAATCTGTTATAATACAGATAAAAAATGCACAAATTATATCACCACACTGATAGAGGGTTTTAGAGTTTTACAATATCTCCAGGTTCAGTATCGCTGCACCTATTTTCTCCGCAACTCGATTCGTAGTTGTTATGAAATCAATATCCCAATAAATTAACAAAAAACTTGAAATATAACCCACCTGCATCTGTCGAAGGGGTCCGGACAGCTGATCTGACAGCGTTGGAGCTTCGTTGCTTCTTTCGTCGCACACAAAGCAACTAAGCAAAGCGCATGACTGCTGTGGTGTTAACTTCCCAAACATACCGCTGAACATCATTTCCGTTATCAACAACTCGTCGGCGCTACATTTGAAGAAATAAAATGAGTAGAAACAAGTAGAACACATTCAAACAGTAACGTTTCTTTATCGAGTCTAGCAGCGCTCACCTACTCAATTCGCAAGCCACTCGTCCTTTGAGCTGAATGACGTCAGCTTCAGTGCAATACCCCAATCTCCTAAGCACCCTCTTTCTGCATTTTAGTTCGTCAAGTTGCAAAATAGATTTTGCGTTAAGCAATTTTTGCTTAGCAACAGCGAGCTCCGTCTCGCAAACAACTTTTCGTTCGTATTTGTCGTATTCCGTGTCTAACAGTGGATTCTTGTGCATGGGGTGCTCATTCATCCTGCAAACAAGAATAACAAAGTTTCTTTACAATTTATTAAATGGGATGAAACAAAATGACCACCAAAAAGATCTTTTGTTAGAGTTGGTTGGTTGGCTGATAAAACATTTGAAAGCCAGACCAAATAATTTATGACCTCGTGCCACTTACTTTTTCTCAAGTTTTTCAATCCCTTTTACGATTTCCAAAAACTCGGCTTCCTGTATCTTCATGTCCTTTAAAGGGTCTAGCAAAGGAGGTCCATCCGGAAAACGTTTTTTAACCTCTTTTATGGCTTTATACATGCCTTTTCTACTTTCCTTGGATCTCAAATCTTGGGGACAAAACAAGCGCACCGACGAAATATGAGTGACAAATTTTGAATCGACCGAAACAATTTCAATCTCTCCTTTCTGGAATCGAGAATCTTAATATAAAATTTCCAAATCTCTTTTACGCTGAATGTAACTCACACTTGAATATGACGAATCAACTTACTTGTTCATCTGTGCAAGGCTTAGGGATAACGTTTTCGTCATTAGAGTCTGGAATAACATGCAACAAAACGTCTAACTGCACTTTTGTGGTGGGTTTTGTGCGTTGCTTGCCGCCCCTCTTTGGAGGTTGGATTTCCTGAACTTTTTTAAAATTGACCACTGCACCCCAATCATATTCCCATTCTTGTGTTTTGATCTAAACATTTTTCGCTATTACTACGGATTTTATCGGCAATAAATAACGTCACTGACCTTAATTAAACGGCCTGGTTGCATAAACGGAATTAAATATTGCGATTTCGTTAGATAAACTCTAAATTCGGTACCTAACGCATCGAGTTCCTTGCGAATATTATAATAGGAAGCGATTTGACCTTCGTTTTCCACTTGAAAGGAATTGTACTCCTCTAATTTTTTGTTGTATGCTACAAAATTACAATTCAACTGGCAGTTTTTGTTTTACCAATAACACTCACTGTCATAAAACCCTGGAATATTTGTTTGGTTCTGAAACTGAAAGAAAGATCTTTCCAACATGTACTCCGGATTAATTTCTTCAACTCTGAGAAGATTGAGCACCATATTGTATGTCAAATGAAACGCGGAATTAATCGGGTCGGGCAATCCTTTGACTATGTCTTTTCCCACAGAAGGTGGCACTTTTTCATCGACCATCATAATAACAATACCTTTATCGTCGATGCCCCTTCTACCCGCCCTGCCTGACATCTGAATGTATTCTCCAGATGTGATCTAAAATTCACCGATATCAAACTAGTCGACGCACCTAGGCGAAATTCAGACCCATCTATAGTCACGCCCATCGAATTTTTTTATTCCAGTAAAAAGCACAGTCCTCGCAGGCATATTTAAACCCATAGCAAAGGTTTCGGTCGCAAACAAGGCTTTGATCAGTCCCTCGCCAAACAAAATTTCAATAGTTTCTTTCAAAATGGGCAAAAGGCCACCGTGATGGATGCCGATGCCCCGTCGCAGCAAAGGTAACAGATTTTCAACTTGCGGCAAATGGCGATCTTCGTCCGTAAGGACGTCCATTGCATTATTAAACACTTCGTCCACTAATTGTTTCTCAGCAGCTAGCGGAATTTGTCGCGAGTCGTTAACATTAATGGGAAGCATAAAATCGAAGGAACGTACTTGTGTTAAAATCCAATTTAGTCATTTGGGTGGCATAAAGTTCACAATCTTTTTTGCTAAAGCTGAAAACTATAACAGGAGCAAAGTTACGTTCCATAATCATTTTGACAACTTTAAATATGTTTGTTTGACTTGGATCCTTGTTTGCAAATCCACCCTTTCTACCTCTTTGGTCGCCTTTTGCTTCGTCGCCAGAGTTTTGCAAGACTGCCATTGCCGTGTTAAAACTATCGTCCTTAAATGTTCCCTAGAAATGTACATGTGTTACATTTCCAAGATTCCAGTCTATATAGTCTTTTAAAATTAAGTCGTCTAATAGGATAACCAAGAAACTTCGGCATCAGATCCCCTCCCACCTTCACAAATCTGGGGATAGCATAAGCAGGATTCGGGATATCAGATACCAACAGGCACTTGAGAATCGCCAAACTGCAGAATTTGTGCTTTATCCAAATAACAAAAATAAAAAAAATGAAGTAAAGATTCAAAAACAAATAACCGATTTCTATGTCCAGGTCACCCCTAATCAAACCATAATTTGCCATACCATTTCAGAATACCACTTTTTTTTGTATTTCTGAAGAAATAGTAGCAACATCATAAGTTAGTAAATAAATGTTAAAGGTAAAAGGCAGGAAGTTATGAATATTGAACTTACAAAGTTACCAATTTGAAGTAGCATTGGCATGCACAAATAGTACTACAATAGGAACTGAAAAAAGCATTTGTGTTTCAACTCAAAATTGTATATTGTATTGTGGATAAAACTAAAATGATTTGGCTCAAATTCAGCTTTGAAAATGTATAAATTGCTTTTTACTCACTGATTCGTCGACTACCATATGTATACCACCTCCACCGGCTGGGTAAACAAAATGTTGTAAGGGAGTGGGTCTATAATCAGTATAGACAACGTGACAGGGCTGCTGATGTAAATGAGCAACCCACTCGGCAAATTGCCTCGCGTTGGGAATTGTTGCAGACAAAAATACAAAGTGTACATTATGAGGAAGCAAAATTAATGTTTCTTCCCAAACAACACCTCTTTCCTTGTCTCTCATATAATGAATCTCATCAAATATTACCCAACCGACTTCCCTCATAATCTCTGAACCTCTATAGAGCATATTTCTCAATATCTAAAAGTAAAAGGGATAGATTTCATCCACTTTTTTGCAGATTGGAAATACCTCAGTTGTCATTATAAGACATGAAGCGCTTGGATTTATAGTTACGTCGCCAGTAACTAAACCAACATCTTTAAACTCATCAAGAAATTCACGATATTTCTGATTTGAAAGGGCTTTTATAGGTGTCGTGTAAATAACACGCTGCTTACATTTTAAAGACTTCGCAACTGCATATCTACAAAATTTCTCTTATAGACATTTGCTAAAAAAATATTTTGCGCTGAGAAACGTCACATAAATAAATGAGAGCTCCTTACACTGCAGTTAAAATTCAGACCTAAATCATACATTAAATAAAACCTTGGCAAGTTAAATACAAATGTCAAAAGTAATGTTTACATTAAAGATAATAGAGTTTTATAACTATTCTTTTTCAATAAAAATATATATTTAATAAGTAACACTTCTATAAAAAACTTACTCTGCAATTACAGTTTTTCCTGCAGATGTATGAGCAGATACCAACACTGACTGATTATTGTCTACACAGAGGATTGACTCCCTTTGGAAAGGATCCAATGTAAATGGATAGATTTTTGCCTCTTCCCCTACGCGAGGTTGAAGAGGGGTGTAACTCTGATTTGGAGGACAAGCTACTTCATGAGTACATAGGCCCAGAGTGTCAATACTGTGTACAATTATTCTATTTTTTAATTCTTCAAAGCTACAATATTTAGAAAAAAAACTGAGTTAAAAACTACAGAAAACTTTCAAGCAAGTCTCTGCCACAAAGAATAAACCGAAAAAAAGAAAAGAAAATAAAAGTACATATCCCTACAATCATTTTTATTAGCCTACGTCGGAATAAGATGTTAATAAATATTTCTATGAAACAAAATAATGAAGTATATATAATTTAACACAATTATACAAGTAATAAATAAAAATTTATCTTTAATATAAACTATCTCTATAGATCTATACATATTTCGTACCAAATCATTCTTAGCATTGGGTCTGTCCTTTTTTTTAAATTACTCATTACCGTTTTTACGCCTTTAATTTAATTAAGCTGAATAAAGAAGAAAAGAATATCACAAAATCCAAATATCGAATAAAATATCACAATGTTTTTAATAATTGGAATTTGTATTTCCCGCCACTTCACATAACCTCTTTTGTTTGATTAAAGGTTTGGAGTTGAACATTCTTTAAACATCGCTTTTGTTGTATAAGTAATTCTAATCAAAACCGACGAAATCGAACAAAAAAATATCCAACCACTTAAAAGAGGGAATAAAAGAACATGCTTTTGAACAAATTCCGAAAAAAAAAAACGTTAAAAAAATTCTGTCAAGCCACTTACTTTATATCATCAACGCACACAACGTCCACTTTGACCCGTTTAGAATTAGATTCACCTTTTCCTTCGTTTAGTCTTTTATGCCCACCTAAGCCAATTTCCGAAATTCTAAGAAAAAAATCACCATATTAACCAAATTTTTAGGTTAACCTTAACAAACCCCTGCTCGATTTTAACATCGTCAAATTCTCTGTCATTTTCTTCGGAGTCGTTTTCCTCTTCAGCTTGTTCAAAGCAGTCAAAAAGCTCATCAATTGAATCTGCCATTCTAAAAATGTTAATTTGCAATTTCTCACCTTCACGCGACAACAGCTTTACTCGTCCATTTGCGTGCGCAAAACAAAAAAGAACGTACGTTTTGAATACAATGTCGTGCGTCAAAAAATGATTTCCGGTGATTGCCACAGACCATACATGTGTTGGATTCGGTTTTAATAATTGTAATTTATAAATGTGAGGATGTATTGAACGGCTTGCGTTATGTTACTTTTAGTAATCTTACAATAACAAAAATGTCAGTCATACAGCTATTAGATAAAATAGTGGCACTACTACCATAAAAATCCATGCTGCCTGCGGCATTGATATTTTCGTAGAGAAGGTAACGATTTTCCGCGCATGCCTCTACATTTCACTCACTAACCTGCACTTTGCGCTATTTTCTTTCTAACGGCGATTTCCCCACACTTAATTCGTCATTCCAAAGCATTAATTAGACATATTTTGAGGAAATATGGCATCAAAATTGACGCATTCAGATTTATTGACGATCTGTCAGAAGCTATGTTTCGTGAATGCTGGAAAGTCATTGGTTAAAAACAAAATTTTAAATTTCGCGCATGCGCATAACGAATGGTCCTTCTCAATTTTTTTTTCATGGTTTTAATTATCATTTCCGTGACAATTTTAGTTCGTTTATTTTAAAAATATAAATATATGCCAATTTTCGATAAAAAATTAACAATCGTCTACGCTTGCTTTTCCTTGACCTATGTCCACAGATCAGAGAAATTGTTTTGAATTTAATTCGGTCCAAGCGTGCTACTTAAATATGATTTATTGGCCACAAGATTTATTTGTCTTGTTTTTGAGTGTTTAGTTTTAAGAAAATATGTTTTCTGTCAATTATATTTATATTTTTCTTGTTTTGAATAAAATAAATAAATAAATTATAATTAAAACTACAAAGAATTTTGAAACATTTATTTCAAAACATATAAAATATATAAATCTGTGACGAGTTGTCAAAAAACACTTAAATGACATTAAGTATATAATTGCTATAAATATATTAACCAACAGGAACATGAAGTTTATTGGAAAAAAAAACTAATAATACACAACAGGTTCCAATACCTATATAAAACAAAGTTAGAAAATAAAACAAAATTGTTCGGGGACATAACATATTTTTACTGACTATAATATAACTCCCAAGACATTTAATTAGTTTGACTGAAAAATTATTACTTTGTGATGTTTTCTAGGTGTATAAATGGTCTTCCAAATTCGTGCCACTAGAAATTTATAATTTCCAAAATCCTAATTCAAGTTACAAGGACCTTAAAAATTAAATTTTAAAAATTTCAAATAGGACAGGATGTTTTCACAAATCAAATCATAATCGTAAAACTTTATGGAGGGCACGTTGTTACAGACAAAAAATGATTCCACCTTATAAATCTTACGGCTTTAGAGATTCAAATTGTGTAGGGCCAATATGTGACAACCTGATGAGATGTATTGCCTCCATATCTACCATTCGCCATTTGTTTCAACTTATTTATTAACAGCTGTCAAATTAAAAGGTAATAAACTTCAAAAATTCCTACTAAATAAGTACAGAGTATTTCTTTTTACTAAATCAAGTGTAGTTTTCCTACAATTCTAATTATGTTTAAATTTGCCTTATAATTAAGATTTTATTACTTGAAATCACAAACTTTGTCGATTTTTAAGGCAAGATTCACATTGGGTCAATAGTGCAACTTTTGCAGAATTATTGGTATTAATAAAAATCAGTTACAATGTGATGTGCATGAACAAGCAATCATTTAACACAAATGGACTGCATTATACCACAGACAGACAGACAAATACGAAAATAAAAATGTGAAAATCATATATACATATTTGTATGTGTTCGCAGGGGCTGTATCTTATTTTCAGTCGGAGCTTGGTCTAAGAAGTGTATAATCTAATTTGTCTAAACCATATTAAACTGTTTTCCGAATTTTGTCCCCCAACTTATTATAACAGCTTAAATTTATATTTCCCCGGCTAGCCTTCATATCCGACCAAAAACGATTTATTAAAATTTCCATGTAGCATGTTCCATGAGCACTACTAGAGGATTAAAGCTTATAGACTTATAACATCTTTTATTCGACTTGCTTTTATACAGAACGGAAGTTGAGTTAAATTACTGAAGTAATGATCATTGTAGTCAATTTTAAACCCATTTTATTCAAAATCTTAATTTTACAGGTTAAATCTACCCAAATAAATATTTCTGATGAACTGAGTATTACTGAGAAGACAAATTATTTAATCCATTTTTCGATTTTGAGAGAGCTCAAGGTCTTTTCAATTTTCCCAAATCTAGGAATAAAAAACCAGTAAATTTCATGGGCTCTAAAGGCAAAATCCCGGGGAGTTATATAAACCAATCATTATTTTATGGCAAATTTTGGTCAATATTAGACAACATTCGTTCACCAAGCTCTTTATCAACGTGTGCGGATAGAAAAAACGTAACGAGTTTGTTTATTCAACTTAACTTTAGCTGCTGCAAAAAAAAAGTAAACGGTAACGATTTTCAAATTCGGAAAATAAGTCAAAATTCGAGTAAACATACCCATTGAAAGCTAGACATAAAGTTCAACAATAAACAACGTAAATAAGGCAATATGACCTAACTACAAGATAAAACAATATTAAGCGCAATCTATGCCAGACCCGCGTCTTTACACATACCATAAAATATCGTTTCGGGCCTTCTTAACAAAGCCGCGGGCGAATCGAATTCGACAATCCTGCCCTTATCTAAGACGATAACCCTGTCTGAATCCATGATCGTGTTTAGCCTGTGTGCTATAGTAAGTACTGTACAATCGTTAAACTTAGTGCGTATAGTTTTTTGAATTAAGTCGTCGGTCTCCAAGTCCACTGCCGCGGTCGCCTCGTCTAAAATTAAAACCTTCGTTTTACGCAACAAAGCTCTGGCCAAGCATATCAGTTGCCGTTGGCCGACAGATAGGTTTTCGCCCCCCTCGGACACTTCGTGATGCAAACCGGACGGCAAACCTGCAAAAGAACGTGGACAATTGCGAAAATACCGAGTTTTCGAATGCACACACACACACCTTTAACAAAATCTTTAAGATGCGCATGTTCCAGGGAGCGCCAAACGTCGTCGTCGCTATATTTATCGAACGGATCTAGATTCATGCGAAGGGATCCGGAAAACAGTACCGCGTCTTGAGGAATGATCGTCAATCTAGATCTTAACGTGTGCAAACCTAATTCGGCAACGTTTACCCCGTCTATGGAGATCTGGCCCTCCGATCCTTCTATAATTCTGCAGGAGAATCATTTGACATCACCAATTTTAGTCTTTTTCTATAACTAAACTAATTAAAACTAAAAGACAGGCTATGTGAACGCTAATTTGCCGAATGGTTTCAGTTATATAACTTTTACCATACAGGGCGTTTTTTTTTTTTCAAATTTCGACCAGACGACTCTTTAAAAAAAATGTTTTTCATATATCTTGTTTGGTCCGCACGGAAACGGACTTAGGCCGCAGCTGGCACAGCAAGAAGCCGGAAAAAATTACTCAAGACGGGATCAAAAGATTTTTGATGACTTAACTTAACCGACCCTACCTCGCTTTTGGTCTTCCTTCCGGAGGGGCCGGCTCGTGTTGATCACCATGCGTATGGCCTGATGCGTTCAACGGCACTTTTTGAACCACACGATGAGAGCGACCGATTTAGCTCTTCACCGTGATTTTTAGTGGAGCATGCGCCTAAGGGCGCTGGCGGGTATAGATGGCCAGTTAAGCTCAAGACGAAGAAAGGAAGAAGAATAACTTCTTGCTGCTGTGCTCGCGGCCCATAATTAAGTTATAGATTTATATACATAAATTCATAAAAACCCGAAAAAATAATGAAATGAAAACTAAACATATCTCCTTCATTAAAACGACTGTCTTGCTACTTTGACAATATTGCACAAATCTTTTAGAAGGTGCAGAAACTGCAAATAAAACGAGACATATTTTGGAATTCCATTGTCTTCACTATTTGTCTTCGTTTTTCATCCACTTCATGTGAAAGTAAAGACACTTGACTAGTTTAAGGAAGTCCAGAAAATCTCATTTTATCAACATTTATCACTGTCTATGACTATATAGCTCTAGATAATATAGTTTTCAGTTACGTAGCTTTTAACATACAGGGCGTTTTTTTTTTATTTCAACCAGTTTTTCATATTTCTCCTTCATTGAAACGACTGTCTTCCTACTTTGACAACATTGCAAGTCATTTTGAAGGTGCGACATGTAAAACGAGAAACTGCAAATAAAACGAGATATTTGGGACTTCCATTGTCTTTACTATTTGCTTTCATTTTACATCTACCTTCAGGTGAAGGTCAAGGTACTTAAATAGCTGAAAATGGAACCCCAAACCATCTCATTTTGTCAACATTTATCAATGTATATCGCTATATAGCTCTAAATAATATAATAGATGCAGGGGGCAGTGATATTTTAGTAAAGGAGGGAATGTTCTTCAGCACAAATTTAGGCTACAAATACCTTTGAGTCGGTCTTAAAAGTTACCGCTTTTAATATTCCATTTACCCAATAAATTAGCGGAACCATTGCTCAAATATCCTAGTATAAACTCAAGGTATCGAACATGTGCAAACGTTTGCTATTCTTTTTTTTTTCTATAAAAAAAAGTCAAAGCCAAAATTAACACCAATAAACGCAGAAAAGATTTTGCCCCACATTTTTGTGAACACTAACCTGAATAGCGACAAGGTTAAGCTCGATTTTCCAGCGCCCGTCCTTCCCACGATGCCAACCTTTTCACTGCCCTTCACTTCGAAATTAACACGCTTGAGGACCAGGTCCAGTTCTGGCCTGTACCTAACGGAGAAGTCTTTGAACTCGACCGAGCCAGTTTCGGGCCACGTAATCGATGGATTCTTATTCGGCAGTTCCCAGGGGGCCTCTTGCCCCACTTCCGCGTACTCTTTAATTCTCTCCACCGCCACTATGTTGGTCTCAACGTCAGACGTCATTCGAACCAGCCAGTTTAAAGTTTGAGTTATCTATATAAAAAAATTCCGGGTCGAGTGGATCTAGAAAGTAAATCATGACGATTTGCCGATTTACCTGTAAGCAATAGGTTATCGATAGTCCCACAAGACCGGGCAGCTGGTTTTTGCCCAGAACGGCAAAAAGGGCAGCAAAGAGTATTATGAAGTTGCCGATCATTTCGAGGCGTACGGCCAACCATCGATTCGAGATTATGCTAGGATAATAACAGACTTGGTTCAAGTCGACTTTGTTCTCCGATTCCGTAATGAAGCGCTCTTGTTGGCCGTACGCGCGTATAGTTTGCACCCCGCTAACCGTTTCGCCGAAATGAGAATATATCGGAGACCTGGACACGGATTCCAAACGTTTCAGTTGCCTCGACGTTGCTACATAAAAACGCTGTATAAAGTAGTAGAGAATACCGATCGGAATGATAACTATTATGAATGGTGGAGTTGTGTAGCTGGCAACAACCAACGTTCCCAACACCTAAAACAAATTGCTGCAAATAAACTGTTCACCGAATTAATGTGTAAAGGGTATCCACAATATAAGCAGTTATATTTAGACTCGCTCTCGGCACAGACAATTTCGATTGTTTTCGAAACGTACAAGTACATTTTGCATTAACCATCAATGTCAAATGATGCGTTATTCTAGTTAATATTAAATGACATGCAAAGTAGAACGGGTTCATTACACAAGACATACCAAACGGAGCAATTGCAACAAAGGACAGTGAGAGGAAACAAATGGGTTTCGTCAGAGCATTGTTAGTACCCTTTAAAACTTGAATGATCTAAGGATTTAAATGTGATAAGCCGAGTATTATGATTTTTTTTACTCATTCTGATGCTGCATTTCAGTTGTTCTTTGGAAACTAATTTTACTTGGAAGGAAAAAAAGTTGAGATAAATTTTACATATTATTTAGAGTTAAAAGGATATAATAAAAAAAATACAGCATTTGAGCGCCAACTGTCGAATATTGCATTTTACGAATCATCTAATAAACAAACAACAAAAATGGTGAAAATATATACCTCAAAAATGCAATACATGCCATCATTGATATACCAAGGCAAGGTATCATCCACAACTTCTACGTCTTTTGAAAATCGAGATAGGATCCTTCCAGACGGGGTGGTATCAAAGAATTTAAGAGGTAAACGTAAAACATTGTGTAATAGGATTAAATGTAACTTAGCTGCGGCTTGGACACAGCCCAGTTCTGGGACCAATTGCAGGAAAACAGACATAAAAGCTGAAATTTAGAAATAGAGGAATGACGTTAAGCTTACAAATAATAACGGATAAAATTTTAAATAATGCATTCAAGTTATTTACAGGTGAACATGCAATAGTAATAAAAAAATAATAAATAATATATACTAATTAAAAGTAGAATTCATGATTTGGGTTCAGGATTTTTGGGATTTTAACATTTAAATTATAAGTTGGTTTGAATTCATGACTACAAGCTGTGCGTGCCATATGGATTTGTTCACCTCATGCACCATTTTGTATTATATACTAACAAACAAAACAATGAAAACTACATTACACATTCTATGCGCTGGGGGATTAAATCTGTTTTGGTTTCTCAAAAATTTGGTGGAGGCATTTAACTAAATTACCAAATCGGTTTATTTGCATCTATAGGATGTTTCATGGTGTCATGGTAGGTGGTTTTAAAAAGAAAAATTCAAAAACTTAAAAATCTGCATTTACCTTAGGAAAACTGTGTGAACTGTTCTTCTTAAAAACAACCTCAAAATCTAATCATGTCACCCACTTCTGCAACAGTCGCCCAATTATTTAAGCAACTCATAACAAACAACGAAATCAGAAATTGGAAAAAGCAATGTACAGGTGCATTGAAACGTTGCAAGCGCATTGTGAAAAGCACAATTGATATGAAGCAGCAGAATTGAGACATGCACAATACGTTACAAATTTGCTCTCTGGTACTAAAAACAGTAAGTCACTTATATAAATACCACATACATATCAATTAATATTGTGGTCCATGTAACACATGCAAAAAAGGAATTAAATGTCATCGAAAATGCTCCGGGTTTTCCTAACGGTTTTCTACAAACTTACAATCAGACCACTTTCAATAACTTCATAACAATTGAATGGCAATTCGACATCGAGATCGCTCAAGTCTTTGGAAAACCGGCTTATGATCCTGCCGATTGGGAGAATTTCGAAAAAGTACATCGGCTGACGTAGAACGTTATAAAGAAGACCTTTGTGAATTTCAGTGGCAGCGTTTAAGCAAGCGATTGTTAAATTTACCTCCGAGGAGCACACAGTAATAGCTATAAAGATATAAGTAGCTAAGTTCTCGGATCGAACATCACGGCAACCACTTTCCACCCAGCTAAATAGTTTTACTTACGTTTTATTAACCGAAGCACCTAAGAACAATCTCAACATGGTGAGTGAATAAATTTCCCGTTCAATTTTTCAAAAATTATGGGCAAGAAATTAAAGATTTTTAAACGCTAGCTTTATGTGTATTTATTGAGCTAGGTGGAAACTTCTCCTACATCTACTCTAATGAAACATTCTCAAATAATTTGAATAATTTGAAATGGCAACAAAAAATTAATGAATAATTGTTAGAACAAAATATCGGAAAGAGTTCAATCAAAAACTTTAAACACGGCACAAGCCAGTGATGCAAAACACAAATAAAATATTGAAAACCTGTTGAATCGAGTGTACCGGTCATAATTTTCACAACTGCAAAATATAACTGCTTCGTAAACACCTCTGCGACAGTAACTAACCGAGAATAAACACGTAATCCATCCCCTCAGAGTCATTGGCAAAACCGTATCCAAGGTGTCAATATCCTTGGAGAATCTATTTAAGATTCTTCCCACGGGCGTAACATCGAAAAATTGCGGACACGGCGCTCTTACAATGTTCGATAATAACACTTGGTGCAACCACTTGGCGGCGTTTAAAGTTCCAATGTATAAAGCAAGCACCGCTAAGAATATCACGATAACTGAAATGTTTAAAATATGTGGACATTTGTAAAAAAAAAAATGCGAAAAAGCGTAGATGCATAAACTAAATTAGTACAACACAAAGCGTAAAAAAAAGCGAAGATGAGGTGAGGTGAAAATACGTACATATATAGGGGATGAAATAACAATAGATAGTAGATAACAGCTGACTGCATTCTACAAAATCAAATGAATTACACAAATACAATAACAACTGAAATGTGTTTGAATGACAAATATAATAATAATGGTATCTATTGAATCAAATTAGTTACATAATACAACTTCAGGCCATCTATTGAATCAAATTAATTACATAATACAACCTCAGGCCAAAAATGTGGCATTTTTGAGGCACTATACGTAAGTTTTTTCTCTCTGATGTAATGGTCATTTATGACCGTTGTTTTCCTTTTTTTTTTCAAAAGGTGTCGTCAGCACTGGTTTAAGTCCAATTCTTTTGCACCGGAATTTAGGTGATGACGTCAAACTACTCTGTTCTAAGACACTTCCTTGACACTAACGCACAATTTGGGTTTATGAGAATCCATAAAACATTTTTCAATGACGTCATGAATTTATCGTAAGGCGCTTATAAATTAGGGTTGGATCAGGACACTACAGCTATATTGATATTGATTGATTTAAAATTGATTGATTAACTCTTTTAAAAGTTGCATCAAAAATGTGATTATAAAAAATTATGGTGCATGCTAAAAAAATAAAAAAGGTCCCATGCTTGAGGCAACATAAAAAGAAAATAAATAAACGTAACTCACCTTGTCCAATACCGAGGGCCCCATAAACCCCCAAATACAAATCCCTTTTCGCGGTGTTGACTGTACCATTCTGGTCGACCATATCTTTATCATCGGCCCAGATGCCCAACCAGACGTTGGAACCAATACTGAACCCTTGGAAGCACATGTTCAAAAAGACCGTCATCAAGGTGATAAACACCCCGATAGACCGGATATAATGCTGGTAGACCGCCCAACTGACGCTTCCGGTTTCCGATTTCTCCGTTTCGATCAGCTTTTCGCCCACGGCCGGTCCCTTTTTCGTCGCTTCTCCCGAGATTGACATTTGCCTATGACTTTTGGAGCTGTCTTCCGATTTTTGACGCTGAAGCGATCCGTTAAGCGCGGGGTTTGAACCCGTGTCTGAGAGGGATTCTGATACGCGCGACCTCATACGAACTATTTGCTTGGTTATTTCCTCGGAGACTTGAGATCCGCTGAGCTGTGTTTTTAATTGATCTAATTCTACAAAAGAAGAGAAAACATTTTTTCAAAAATCAATATCTTGGAATATTACAAAGTCTGCAAAACAATCTTCAGCTATCTAAATTTCTAAGTCGAGCTACTATCCTACATGATATTAAGAAATGAAAAGAGCACTGGCAAAAAACAATGCAGCAACAGCAAAAATGAATTGAATTTAACATTGGTTTTATTCTTGATTCAGATTCTAGTGAATGAAATATGTATCACTAGCTCTATCTTCTTCGTGAAAAACACGCAAGAGAGAAAAACAAAAAACTAGTACTGATTAATTTAACCAGTTTAGCTTGTTAAATTACTAAGGTCAGTAGACCAGAAATGATAAAAACGGTACAAGTGAGTAAGTGTATGGAAAATTGTTATTACTATAGAGATGAATTTCGAAATGGATAAGTGCAAGTCTCGACACGCTTTTACCTACTTACATACCAGTGTTACTTGAACGTAAAACATCTAAAAAAAATAAATCATTCAATTATACACTTAACGTATCATTATCTCAGGCAAAATTGATCTAGCTACGAAACTGAATTCTAGATAATTTACCATAACTGTAGAGTTAACACTTTAAAGACTACATCAGATTAATTATTTTCTACTAAATAAATAGCTTTGCTTGCAGTAATAAAACTGTTTGTGTTGGAAAGCTTTTATTAGGACAATTTTTAAATAACGTTTCTTGAGTGACATCCACCAAGAGAGCAATTTATGTTGTGTTTGGATTTGGAGCCTGTAGGCTGTTCCTTTAGCGTTGAAGACTCGGAAGAATCCATAAAGCCACATATTTTTATAAAATCGCAATTAAAAATTTGGGTAATACTCGTTAACGATTGCTACTTTTAAGATATAAGAGGTAGTCATTAACGTGTTAAAACATGAATAATATTTCAATTGAAATCTTTCTTACCTTCTTCATTTTGTGCTTGTTCCTGAATGTGCTGCACAAGGAATTCAGCAAAAGCGCCTTTGCGGTCGAGCAACTCTTGATAAGTTCCGTTTTCCGACACTTCCCCATTTTTAATAACATATATTTTATCGGTTTGAGGCAAATACGTTATACCGTGGGTGACGAGAACCCTGGTTTTATTCTGCAACAATCCTTTGGGTCCCAAAACTTTTTCGAAAATGTGTTTGCCGACGTGAGAATCGACCGCACTCAAAGGATCGTCCAAGAAATATATGTCGGCGTTCGCGTAAACAGCTCGGGCTAAGCTGACCCGTTGTTTTTGACCACCCGATAAGTTGATACCTTTTTCGCCAATCTCTGTTTGGTCACCCCCAGGCAACATATCAAAATCGGCCGTGAGCGCGCATCCTTCGATAATTTCATCGTACAATTTCTTATCGTAATCTTTTCCGAACAGAATGTTGTCTTTCAATGTGGCGTTTTGGATCCACGCCTGTTGGGAGACATAAGCTATCGAACCGTAAGTGTTAACTCGGCCAGAGAGTTTATCCATTTCTCCCAAGAAGGCGGACACGAGGCTGCTTTTACCGGAACCGACGGAACCGACAACGGCGGTCAGCGTTTTGACCGGAATTTTGATGTTGATGTTTTTCAAAATGGGATCTTCGCCCCACGAAAACGTGCCGTTTTCAATTATCAACGGGTCTTCTAGAAATAAATAGTATGTATGATTATTTTACGTTTGTTTTAATCGATCTGACCTATATGACCTATATTTTCTGGGAAAAGGTAATAGAAATACTACAAATTTATGAAATATAATTCAAGTAATTCATAATTAATTCATATTGTTGATTAACTAATATTGTTAATAATTTAACTGTGGAACTCAACACATTGTTAATTGCATCTGGCGTGATGGTTTGAAATGCTACTAAAATTAGCTGACGTAGTTCTTCCTCTGTTTGAAAGTTAGAATGGTACATATAGTATTTGATGTAGCCGCGTCGCAGGATAAACGTCGCGAGGAGTTAGATCGTGGAGACCAGGAGACCGCTGAGTGGTACCTTTCAAACTTATTCTCAAAAAAAATAAAAGTTTGCTTTTGTGTGATAAATGAATCATGTGGTACATCATTTAAAAGCATTTTTTTATACTTTATCGAATTATGAAAACATTCACTATGGCCTATAAGAAAATTTAAACATCTATGGTGTATCTAGAAAACTTTTTTTTTCCATATTTTTCTCGAATTTCTCAGAAATAATTCGAGCTGAAATCATTTTGCTGGTAGATTTAAGTTTCTCATAAAATCATTTTAAAACTTCCTAATTCCGAATTTAACTGACCCTTTATCTCCTATAGTTTTTAATATCGCCATTCTATCCCATTATTATATTAAACACACTGTATAGTAAAAATTTAAGCGAATCATAATATGAACGGAATAAAAGAAACTTCTTGAAATTTACTTACCGGGTGAACTATCGTGCGTTACATTATTCGGATCCAACTCTTCCGAATTCATAAACCTGTTTATTCTCTTTACTGAAACGTATGTCTAAAAAACAAAATGCAACTTAAAGAGGTTTGCACAGAATACACCTATAACATATAAATATTGAATTCACTTGAATGCTAATTAAAATAAAATAACAAATTAATATCACTTTAAATGTCAAAACGACAGAAATTATTAAATAGGAATAATCAAAACAAATGTTGCGAAAAACTAGGAATAACGATTTGACAAAAAACTTCAAATGAACTCATGGCCAAAACCTTTAATTTAGTCTAAGAAAGCAAAGAATGTGATGATAATGCAAATGTTAATGTGAACTTTTATTTACTATAAGAACGAAATTATCTATTTGTATATCTATTATTACAGCATCTAAAGCCGGATGAAAATATATTAGATTTAAAACAAAGAATGAAAAACAAGTATGAATACCCGCATTAAAAAAAGTAAGTTGCATTTTTAAGTTTCAATAATCAACATTTTTTTTAGTACATTAAATTCGCTATAGCATTTAAGAAATTTTTAACAACTAATAGGTTCGATCAAAGTAAAATATTAAAAATATTTTTAAAAGCAAAATGGATTTTTTTAAGAAAACAAAACCATGCAGTTTAACAAAAATAAGAAAAATTTCACCAATGCTTACTTGAACTAAATTTGAAATCATCATGGGCAACATACTCAGGGGAAACCGTAAGATATTGAAAAGAGAAATGGAGACGTAGGCTTTACTCGCATCTAATATGTTGTTCTCATCCACCAATACGTAAGTAGCGAAACTGACCAGCGACACCTAAGGCATGCAAAATAAAAAGAAGTTGTAAATATGGCGTATTGCATATTCCCCCAAACCGTGAAAATACATCCACCATAGTACTGAAAATGTTATACAAATGATTAAGAAAAAAAAATGGATTGTTACAGTAGAAAAGTGTGGGCTGGGACAACTCGATCTGTCATCTAGCAAGCTATCTTTACCTCTATGGTGTACACCAAGAGAATTGGCAACAAACCCATCGGCATACTCATGGTGCTGAAAAGACTTAACGATATAAATGTTATTTCGGGCGTCAAAACATTCTTCTCATCGCTAAAGACGAACGACACAAATGTAGCTAAAACGACCTGTTAAAGAAGATAATTAGCTGCATTTTTCGCGCAACATCTCACACACCTCTATTATTTTATTCATAGCACTTTTGGCAATTAGCATGAATTGATTTTCTTTTATACATATAGCAATGATTAGTGCGACGCCGGTACATACTTCATTTATTTCATATAGAGGCTAAGAAAAAATAAACCAACCCGAATTTCATAAATACATATCACATTTTCGTTATGTATTAATAAACAAATAATTTTAATTTCAATATTCAAACAGTTCATTTATTTAAATTAAGATTCATTACTTTTATGTTATCTTTATGGCTTCTTTTAACATTTCACTAAATGCAAAAATATGTAAATAAGATGCAAATGCGCAAATAAAACTAGAAATGAAAACAGGGTATTAAAAAATGTATTAACATTATAATCGTATTTCGCGAACTAACGGATGATCCTATCCTCTACCACACTGAGCGAATAAATGTCGCGAGACGAAATATGCAGCGTAATAAACGTCATTTGGAATTATTATTTACAAATCTTCTGGATTCTTCAGGTGTCGGTTGTTGATGAATCGAACCTTCTGACGTTTCGCCGATCATCAATCGCGATTGGTGAAACGTCAGCAAGACTTAACGCAAATTATTTTGTGTTTTTTTATTTATTAAAATGGTAATTTTGAAAACCACAATTGGTTTTAATTGTTGAGTTCATCTATGCGAAGAAAGAAATTGCAAAAAAATAGCATCCAGCGTTTTTAATAATTATAAATAAATAAATGAAATAATTTAAATTGTCTTCTAAGTACGAAGTCTACATCTGAAATTTTTATTACATTATCAAACATTATAATTATACTGCAACTAGGTGAACAGTATAATTTAAGACTCGATTATGAGAAAACTAGAATATTGATTTTTCAAAAATTAAATGGTTGCCAAAAATGTGAAATTTTTGGGAGTCCAACTAGCTGGGAAAAAACAACCAAAAGAAGAAAGTAGACTCTGTCATAAAACTCCAATGCAATTGCGCAGCCCTCAATTATATATGCAATACGTTTTTGGGCATCCTCCTGTATTCATGGCGCAAAAGTGCATTATTAGATGCGTGGACCACTTCCACAGACAGGTAGAGAGAGAAACAATCTGAGGATTTCAGCTCACTGCTCCATTTACTTTTAAAGGGCCTTCACTACATGGCTATAAAAGTCTATGATGTACTGCCTGCTAATATTCGAAAAATAAATGAATTTGCTAAATTAAAAAAAGAAATAATCACATACTTAAAACTCAAATATAATTTGATTTTTACTGCTTTTCATTGAAATTGGAGGTCTGGAAGTTGGCTATGTGTGGATCATCTTTTAGGCAAAAAAAAAGAAAATAAAAAACACGTACCAAAAATGGAGCGCAGGACCATATAAACGACGTGCCCGCGTTCAAATAAGCCGCTTCTTTCAAAACCTTTATCTCTTTCCCTCTAATTTTCAGCACCTGATTTTCGAAACTGGGTTCCCACGCGTACAACTTCAAAACTTTGATGCCGCTCAAAATCTCGTTCATCAACTTCACCCGCTCGTCTTTATTCTTCATTTGTTTTATCTGCAAGGTCTTCGATTTGTTGGCGATGAAGCCGTTGACGGGAATCAAAATTATCATGACCGCGAGACCGGCCAAAACGGACGGTCCCAGTTCTTGCCACAGGAAATACATCGAGAGACATATTTGCAACGGCGCGGACCATATCATGTTTAAGTACGCTGTTAAATCCATGAACTTTTGCGCGTCGACCGCCATCAAATTAACGATCTCGCCGGCCGTCCTCTCCTTTCTCGCTTTGTTCGAAATTTTTAAAGATTTCCTATAAATTGTCGATACGAGGGCGGTTCTTATTCTCATTCCGACGATAAACATTCGATTGAAATACTGAGACAGGAACAAGGTCTGGGTGGTGGCGGTCGCAAACAAAAGACCGGCGTAAAAATATCCTTTCCAACTATGCGTCGGATTCTTGACGAATGTTATAATAAAACTGAAAAATAAATGAAATTATCATATCCACTCTCGAAAATAGCCATCCAAAATTTGATATACCATATATGATTCTATTTCAGTGTTTTGAAAAACAATTGATAAGTTATTTCGCTTATTCACAATATACTTAAGGGTTTTTTAAATAAATTGAATTTTGTCGAATTGTAACCTAATTTTCATTTCTCAAATACATAACAAGTATTTAAAGTATGTAAGCGAAAAAATTATAATTTCCTGTTTTCGCAGGAATGGGATATCCTAAACAATTGGACATTGTAATCTAAAAGTACATATATTATTACATATTATTATTATATTATTATTATTACAATAAGTTTATGAGATATAAAATTTTGTTTCTTTTTTTCTCTTTTCAGACTTACAATGATAATTATAACTAAAATATGTATGTATAACTAAAATAAATTTGAAAATTTGGGGTTACACTGAAGTCTATAGGCTAAAGTTAAGTGTCAACTTGCTAATTTAAATAGATCACTAATTTTTTCTTTAGGAATTTATGTAACTTTCAGCAGCGAAAAGAGAACGTTTAACAAATTTAACATCTTTTTCAAATTTTGATTTCGAAATGTGTGTATACAAATTTGTTAAAATGTGTTTGTTTACAACCAAACATTATACCTACATAATCTACAAATAACTTTTTGACTCTTAAATTTTTAATTATACGAGTTTTTTTTTAGTTAAATTTGTTTTTGTTGTATTATGTTTTAATTAATACAATAGGATCAAAACTGCAACAAAATATTATATACAATAAAAATATTTCACTGATTTCATCAGAGCTGGTACATCAAATTTTACGTGTGATTGCATAGCTTGCGCCTAAACAAAATTGATAGATACCCTAATACTTGTGGACTGACGAATGTTAACACATCTTGGACTAGTTTCAGGCAAGATCCAAATACAAATATGGGGCCAAATGATCGAAAAAGCGCAGGCAGAATCGACGCTTCTTTCTTTTTCCCGGTATTGACGAAGTCTATATGACCCGAATCGGACTTGAACTCCGCCCTAGCATGTACAGGTTCGGCACTAAAATACGCAACGGTCTTCCAAAAGTAACGATATCAAACATGTGTACCTGCGCGTTTTCATAAGGGTTTTCCTCCAATGTTTCTCAAACAATGGCACAACCTCAGCTGCCGAATCTTCCTGATTCATATCCCATAAATCGGAAGCTTCCAACGGCTTCCGAAACCCGGTCCAGGTCATTGAATCGAACCAAGCGAATAACAAGCGCGAAAGAAAACTGGCGCCCTCTTCTGGGCATGGTTTCTAAAAGTGAGGCAAAAAAAATTATAACTGATCCTTGAAAGTCAAGTTGTTTGTCTCAACTAGACAAGTCTAATATAAAAAATATATAAAATGACATTAACATCAACATTAATAAAATCTTTCCAATATTATCATTCCTTATTTTATTCTGCTAAAGTAAATATATAATTTGTTACAAAAAAAGCAATCATCATCAACTGTTATTATTAATCCGTACCGATTAATTTTAATCTTTTATATCAGATTTTTAGCGTAATTTGCACCATCTTGTAGTATCGAACTTCATAAATAATTTTTTAAACAATTGGAACTTAAAAATCAATTTTGGTTCTCTAATTAAAGTATTTGCACTAAAAAAATATAACATTTCTTTAATGGTCATTACCTATAGGGGTATATATATAAAATTCGGCTTGAAGTTTTAGCAAATTTTATCAACTTCAGACAAATTCTTGATGGTCTCTTTAATAATTATTTAATAAGGTATTATATAAGATCAATTCTAAGCACTTAATTTCAGTCGCCTAGTGAATTACGTTCGTGATTAATTAAATCTTCATTAATTTGGGAATATTTATACATTGTAATAATCATGGGCTTTGAAATATTTAGAATTAAAACTTTGATTTATTAATTTCTAAGTATCTAAAAATTAATCAAATAACCTAATGTCTTTTATGTGCCATTTGCAACTTGCCATTCATATAATAAATCAGTAAATACTAACTCGGAATAAAATTGATCAATCCAACAAATAAATGAACACTTCAAATAAATAAGTCATTGCATTTTTGAAGCGCATTTGGGAAGCATTCTGTATAATGAATTAACGAAACATTTTTGAGTCATTGGCTACAGAATTGCATGTTAATTTTAAAAAAGATAACGATTAAAATTTTATTTAAACGCATGCTTAAAGTTTAGATATACCGCATATATGTAAATATAATGTAAACGCAAAATATGTTTTTGTTTTACCAGCAACAGATTGCTGCCAACTGCACTAAATCCGGCAAGATGGTGCAACTTCTAGCAACGCCATAAAACTGGTTTAAACATTTAAGATATTGCGAACTTAATAATAATGAAAAATACATGTATTATATAGATTGCAAAAATGAGCATCTTTATATCAAATTCTAAATATAAAAAATAAATCATTTTCGATATAAATTCCAATGATTCGAATTATGGAAACGTGAGATGTTTCAATCAACAAAATATTAGGTAATACCCGCCCAATTTAAAATGAACGAAAATTCAAGGCAAACTCGAATCTTGCCTCAATAATTATATTCCTAAACATGATATAGATATAAGAGAACGAATTCCGCATCCAAACATTTACCTTTAATGTTATACAACATTACATAAATATAAAAATATCGCGAATTAAAATAATGGAAGAATCGACAATGAAGACTCGAAACCGGACGATGCGAGAATTCAAACGAATTTGCCTTGAAAACATAATCAGAAGATGATCGGTATTTAAATGTTTCGTCCTTGAACTGCTAACGGTGAATCCGCTGTAGCAAATCTCCCGACAATGCCGCTATCACACTGTACGACAACAAGGATATACAACCACTCGTAATAAGTCGGTAGTTATAACTAATTATTAAAAATAAACAAGTAATGGGATAAATTTTAATACCGCTGCAAAGATTTTCAAACACTCGCCAAGTATCTGTCTAGTATAGGAAAAAATATTTTTTTAAAAATGTAACACTTTCGTATTAGGGTCACTATTCTTAAGTTTTAAGGAATATAAATATTGTAGGCAAATAGCAAAAAAAAGATCTATTAGAGAGACAGGAAAATTTTTATTTCCCATGGAGAAATCTAAAACGGTAAAGTTATAAACTAATGTTCTTTGTCCTTTGTGCTTGTTGGCAATATTTTTACTAACGAATTAATATCTATCCAAAAATTGCAATTATAATGGAGTTTAATCAACTTATACAGGCATGACATTGACAATGCCGATTTTGAGGCGACTCTTAGAAGAGATGTGCTTATTCGACCAGGTTTTTAACAGAAAAAAATATTCAGCTATTTATATAAACAAAACCTCTTATTCAACAAGTTGTGGGCGTGGCCACATTCGCTAATATAGGAGATCTTTTTATTCCGCACTAATCTTCCTTGTATTTCGTTTTATTAGATTTGACAATGCATATGTATCTTGGAACAGGTACGATAATGAAATGTAATAGTGGCACTAGTTACTAAACCACCATGTTCCGTTGTAATTCTTTTAAAACTGATAAGTTAAAATCATAGACGTATTATGGAGGGAGGGGTAAAAATTACCGATGTTCATTGGTGGATATGCTGATGAGAATTTGGCATCATAGAACCCTTTGACTCTGTTTCAGTTCTATTGGAGAATAGAGGCTTTTGGTTTCCAGAGAAATGTTTAGGTTATAAGAAAAAGAAAAACCGTCCTGAAGAGTAAAATTTTTCATTTTTTCAAGAATAGCAATACAACACAGATATAACTGAAAATCTGGCACAGACAAAATTGATTGGAATGCAATTTGTTTACCACTCGATAAAATTTTAATGGAGCATGATTCAAATTAAAAAAATATATATAAATCAAGTTGTCTTCTGATAATCATCGCTTTAACTGATTAACAAATCATTCAACTACTGAGAACAAAATATTACGCAAAAATAGTACCTCCAAACTTAACCATATAGAAAGAATTACCTTTCAACTAACTATAGTAAATCTGCAAAAAATATGCTTAGATACAGTATCATCTGACCTGTCTGATTAAATAACAATGTTTAAATTTATATTTTATACTGTTTCATACCTTGATATATTATATATAAAAAATTACTCATTTCTTGACAAAAATTTTCAGATGTTTTCAGTTGTAATAGAAGAGTTCTTCACAGGGAATCACAAATATTTCAGCGGGATTACACTGCGGTGAATATTAAGTAACTAGTGACAAGGATAAAATGAACAAAATGTTTTTTTTTTTTGTAACAGAACTATATAAGAACATAAATTAATGCAGCTAATGCCATTCTTATATAGGGAATTGACAAATAACGAGAAAGATTATTTTTAATTCAAAAATTATTTTACATCAGCATATTAATAAAGTAACTGCTTACCTGAGTTTTTGGATATTTTGTAATCTTCGGAGGTTGATCAGCGAAACAGTTCAGTAACAACATCAGTAAAATTAGGGGGAAATAAATTAAATAACTGATGTAGGCATAGTAAGATTCTGGAACGCCATCTTTTTGAGCGTGTCGAATTTCTGTTCTAAACTGGGGAGCACCGCACAAGGCCATCAAAAACCAAAAGAGAAACAACAAGCCCGAAGTTCGCAAACCATGTTTTTTGTTATAATAAAGCAAAACTGCTGACAGCCCCTGTAAGTGAAATAAATATTTTAAAAAATACTATGATAAAATTATTTCATATCAATTATTGTTTTGTGAATGTGTGGGACCTTGATATACAGTGTTGCCAAGGACGCACATAGCTCCAGATCAATTAAATTTCTATTTCTGGGAATAGCCAGGGTTAATTTGCACATTACTCATTTTTTGCACCTACGAATATTTAGTCCTTTTTAATAATTTATTTTTTTATTCTAGTTTCCTTTCTTTTAATGGAAAAAAATCTATTTCCCAATAAGGTGTTTTGTTTTCTTGGACACACTGTACATGTAATCAAAAACCATTTTGTTTTCTTCAAAGTAGGTACCTATATGAGATCATTTGGCTTTTAAAGTAATAGTCCCACCTTGGAACTTGGTTTAAGACAACAATTTAAATAATAACAAAATATAATATGGTAATATTGGTAATGTGTTCAATAAAGGATTTCAATTAAGGTGGAATGAAAAGCCTCAGAAGTATTAAAAGTCATGTCTGACACTTACCACAGAAGCCAATTTAATAATTGGGGAATAAATATCAACAGGCGGAACATCTCGCGTACTAGTCATTTTAACATTTGTAACAAAATCACTTAACATTAACACACAAACGCCCCCGGTCACTAGCAACTTGAAGCAATTTAAAAAGTTCCATGGAATATCCTTCTTTTTACTACTTGCTATGTAGTACACTTCTAAACTTGAAAATAACCACAGAAATACACACGGTATCCATACTAAAACGGTTTTTTCGAAACATTTTGTAAAATCGGGATCATCGGTGTCCCACGTTAAGGTTGAATTCTGAAACAACCAAAAAAATTTAAAAATTAACTTTGTTGGTATTGCCTTCTTTCATAACCAAATAATTTAAAGTGAAAAATAAAAAAATGAAAATAATAAAAGAGATAGTTTAAAAGGAAATTTAGGAAATATCACCAATTTGTTTAAATATCTCATAGATACTTGCCCAAAATTCAGATCCGCAAAAGTTATCCAAACTATTTGAACCGTTTCTCGCCATTTTCAGCTAGACACCACAGTATCCGACAGAATAATTTTAATAACAAAAAATATTGAGAAAGAGAAGTAATAGTCCATTTCTTCTTCCTTACGCTTTTTACCAAACTGACTTAGATCATTCGGCCAATGTAGTCACAGAATTCCCAGGCGACTTCGTATTAACGGGTTGGATAAGAAATAATTATACATAAGGAGGTCCAAACATTTAAACCTTCCTTTAAATACATTGCTAAGCACTGGTAAGAATTACACGCTCTCCCTGATAGTCGGGAACGGAATTTTCACGTTAACGAAATGTAGAAAGTGGATTTGTTTGGATCATAACCTTCACAATATAAAAACAAATGATTGTATTTGTGCAAGTCTTACAAATATCTTGGCTTGCCAGCATCTAAAAGGTTTCATCCCGTTTGACTCTAATTACGCGAAATTGTTTAGCTTACATTCGTTAATTGCCAAGTTGGTGTAGAAATGGCCCAAAACATCTTTTTGGACGTAGATCCCAGTATTGTCGAAAATAACTTGAGATTTACTGTAAGTAAAAGCTTATACTTGCCCTCATTTATTCGAATTTGATGAATTAATTCAATCAATGGACCTATATCATTTTTATTATGACAGGACGACGATAAAGAATTCAAAAAGCTGCTAGGGGATGGATTCGATAAATATCCTTCCAAAGTAGTAAAGCCACACCCTGGTAAGTGATGTACATTCATAGTATATATTGATTTAAGTATGGTAGTAAAGTCTTAATAATTATTTCATTCCTCGGATGAATTTACTAATTTTTTATAATGGTTAACGATCAAAATATACAATTTCATTTGAAAATTTTTACCTAGTTGATGTCTTTTGTGTGGATAGTTTAACCAAAACTATTGTCATCTATGTTTGTGTTATGCAGTTTTACTAATTTCATTTAAATTTTAAAGTTTGTTACTGTGACAACTCATTTGTTTACATTGAGAACAATTTTGGTTAGAACATTTAAGGAAGAAGGTGTTTAAGGGGATATAAATAAGCTTCTTTCCATATTTTTTATTAAGCTGGTATATAGTTAATGTAATCTGGAAATTACACAAATTCACACAACAGAGAATTAAAAAATGTTTCCCATGAACTGTACAGCAACATAATTTTCCTAAGCCAGATTTTTACTGATCTTTATTACTGTAAGCGACTGACATTTTTTTTATGTATGAGCTGCATTTAAAATTTACAGTGGCAGGAAGCCGTTATTTTTTATACATTTCAAAATTTACTAAAAATAAAAATTAAACCCTAAAAAACATTTTTTTTCTCTGAGGCTTTCTAACAGTATATAGTATTGAGCGTTTCAGTTAATTTGATAAGTTTTCTAGAACACAGCAGTCCTTTTACTCTATTTAGTTTGTAGAGTTATTGACTAAAATTACTTTTATCCCCTAAAAGCAATGTTTGCTTTTTATAATTTTTATGGGGACTGAGTAAGGCATTTTGATTGGTGGATTTTTGAGGTATAGTGCTTGTCTGGTCTCCTTTAGGTACTCCTAGTTGCTTTGTGTACATATTGCATCTGCTACGAGTTTGAAATTTTCGTATGATGACATTAATCTTATCGAATGTATAAATTGTGACGGTCTTAATATAAATAAATAAATATAAAATGAAGCTGGTTGACAAGTTCACATTTTGGCTGATAAAGTAGCTAAAATAAATGAAATAATGTAGTGAGTGGGTAATAAAAAATGTCCATATTTTAATTTACTTGGCTTATTACTTCCTTATAAAATAAATCATTTAGTTATTGTAAAATTGTTGATTAAATTTTATCCAGCTAGACCTGCATCTTTACACATTCCATAAAATATAGAGCCTTTGTTCTCTAGCAAACTTGCTGGTGTATCAAATTCCGCAATCTGGCCCTTGTCCAACACCAAGATCCTGTCCGAATCCATAATGGTGTTCAGTCTATGTGCTATTGTTATAACCGTAGATTTAGCAAATTCAGTCCGAATAGTTTTTTGAATTAGATCGTCCGTTTCTAAATCGACCGCGGCAGTAGCCTCGTCAAGTATAAGCACTTTAGTTTTCCTCAATAGTGCCCTAGCGAGACATATCAGTTGTCTCTGCCCCACCGACAAATTATCTCCTCCTTCCGTTATCTTGTGAGCTAGTCCAGCCGCTAATCCTAAAGAATATAAACAAAATTACTTAACCACGGTACAAAACGATAATTAAATACTAGAAGGTGCAGAAGAGTAGCAAATTTGAAATATCAGATGTTTTACTTTTACGAATAATCTTCGAGGCGTATTAATTTGTGTGAAATGAATGTTGTTATTGCCTTTTGTTAAAATAAGGTTATTAGTTTCTATAATGTTATTTTAAAAATTACGGTAAGTATTCCTATCCCTTCTTGTCAGTGATAATGTTTAGTACTTTGTGTTACCTTTAACAAACGGCTTGAGATGTGCCAACTCCAGTGCTTTCCACACCTCATCATCGGTGTGGTTATCAAATGGATCGAGGTTCATTCGGAGAGATCCAGAGAAAAGTATGGCGTCTTGGGGTATAATGGTTAGCCTCGACCTGAGAGAATGCAGACCGATTTCCGAAATGTCCACGTCATCTATGGCGATTTTACCTGCTGCTGCTTCTATAATTCTGAAACATGAATGATAATATCTGACGCGTTAAGCCATTTGGTGCATCGAAACATACCTGAACAACGAAAGCGTGAGGCTAGACTTGCCGGCACCTGTCCTCCCGACAATACCAATTTTCTCGCCGCCTCCAACTTGGAAGTTCACTCCTTTGAGTACCAAATCTAAACCCGGCCTGTATCTCACCGAGTAGTCGCGAAAGTTCACCGCACCATCGTCCGGCCAACTCCTTTTCGGAGTTTTGTTCGGAATTTCCCACGCCGCTTCCTGGGGAATCTCCCCATATTCTTTGATACGCTCGACCGCAACGATGTTAGTCTCGACGTCTGACGTCATTCTTACCAACCAGTTCAACGTTTGAGTAATCTACATAGAAATAATCGTTGCGTTTTACTTCCGGTTCTATTGATTCATATAGCTATTAGATAATAGGAGCCTGACTTAGAAGTTATCGGGAAGACAGAGTTCACATTGTTAGAATATATAATTTCATCTCTAATGAAGCAACAAAAACGATATTCGTAGTGTTATTAATGCATCTCATTTATTGTTAGTTAAAACAATTTTTACTCCAGCAGACATAATGTTATCCCAAACAGATCTAAGCTATCTGTGGTTAAAGAAAAATAGTTAGCAACTCAAGGTTAAAAAGTGCTTTTATGAACACACGTCTGTAGGGACTTGCGTGCTTTATTTGATGCGCAACTTATATTTAGGAATCATATTACAAATATTGTAGAAATGGATCGACAAACTTTTGTAATTTTGTATGATTCTCTTATGCGCTTTGGAATGGAATATGATTGATTTGAAACTCCATTGATCGAGTTCAATAGAAACATTATTAATGCAGATTTTTCTTCGTTTTCTATTCCAATCCAACGTTCCAACTGTAGCATCCGTAGTCCTTGGAACAGAATGATTGTTTAATATACGTAATATCGACCGATTGGTTGGCAGTCTCAGTGCTTTTAGTTGTGTTGTTTGTGAAGTCTACTTGTATGGTCTGTTCATAGATATTAGAAAATGATCAATTGCTTTTGAACGGGTTATCCAAGGGTGGTCATTAACATACAATGCAACAAGATTATTACGTTAATAGTTATAATCTTGTTGCATTGTATGTTAATGACCACCCTTGGATAATCCGTTCAAAAGCAATTTATATGTATCTGTATAAATAAAAACCGTAAAATGCAATTTTCGTTCTAAGAAGCCATTTCCATACCCCTAACTGTGCACATTTTGACAAAATATTTGTTGGTGGAAAGCAAGTTTTGAAACCACTCGAAATCAGAATTCAGAATATGCACGGCCTCTATATATCTAGTAGCTCTATGGATCGAGTTTGTCCTTACTGAAGCGTTACCTGCATCGAATAACTAACAGATAAACCGACCAATGCCGGCATCAGATCGCTTCCGAGTACCGCAAAGAGTGCAGCGAAGAATATGATCGAATTACCGATCATCTCCAATCGTACCCCGAGCCACCTGTTGGAGCTCATGCTCGGATAGACGCACATTTGGTTCAGGTCAACTTTCCAATCAGAGTCTTTAATGAAACGGTCTTGTTGCTTGTACGCTCTGATGACGTGCGTGCCGGTGATCGTTTCGCCGAAGTGAGAGTAGATGGGAGATCTTGATACGGACTCTAGGCGTTTCAATTGGCGCGAAGTGGCAACGTAATACCTCTGGATGAGGAGGTAAAGTACGGCAATCGGAATTATCACTACTGCGAAGAGCGGAGTCGTGTAGCAAATCACGAACAGTGTACCGATGACCTGATTCAAGGTTTCCAAATTTTAATTTTTCTGGTTTCCCTAAATAAGGAAGCCTAAGAAATATCAGACAGTACCTTTATCGAGTTAAGAAAGAAAACGTTGAAATTCATCGGCAGCCTGAGATCGACTCCTATTATGTCGCTCGAGAACCGTCCAAGGATCCGTCCGGACGGAGTTACATCGAAAAATGACATCGGCAAACGCATCACGTTGCTCAAAACGAGGTTGTGAAGTTTCACCGCTGCGTTCATTGTACCGTAGGCGAAGCAAATATTGGAAGCGAATATTGAAATTGCTGAAAAGTAGAAAATGCCAATGCAACTGAATCCTCAACCAAATCTCTTCAGTTTGTGAGCTTAGCCTCATTAACTTGTTTCGTTATAGTTCTTACCTTGACATATACCCAGCAGCGCGTATATCCCGAGGTACATATCTCTTAAACCGGTGTCCACCGTCCCATTGACCACCATGTTTGTGTCTTCGGACCATCGTCCCAGCCAGAGGTTCGAACCTATACCGAAGCCCTGAAAACCTGCGTTGAAGAAAGTGCTCGCGGAAATAAGGAACCCGCCTATGGCACCAAGGTAATAAGTGTACACGCTCAATTTCACTTTGCCAGTTTCCATTTTTTCCGCCTCTATTAGTTTTCCTCTTTCTTTCTTTTCCGCCGGTTTGATCGACTCGGCTCGGCTTGGTTTTCTTTTAATGCTTTTGCCACTGCGCAAACTCTCTGTGGATTTTGTTCGAACGAAGCCGTTTAGCCCTTGATTTGAGCCCGTGTCCGAATGAGATTCCGACACCTTGGACCGTTGGCGGCTTATCGTCCGCTTCAAGTCTTCTGTCAGGGGAGTTTCGACAAGTTGGTCTTCAATTTCTTGCAGTTCTGCAATAATATAGGCAAATAAGTTGATATATTCGCATTCGATCGCCTCGTAATAATCGAGTGATATTTTGTCGGGTGTTCCCCAAGGTCACCACGCTGCACCTACTCTTTTCAACTAATTAGTAAATCACGAAAACTTTGGAATAGTTTGAAGTATTTAGGTTGTTGACATGGTGAAGTGGTCTAAATTATGGTTTGGTTTTGGATGAAAAAAATGACTTGAACATGAACGTTCAATGCAGCATTAATAACAGGTTGGTCTATCTTTCGTAAGATCCAATTTTTTTGACAAGACAATAAAAAATGGGCTGTAATACTTTTTACAAAAGTTCTGGATTCCTCCTGCGTCGGTTTTTGCTGAGTCGAACTTGCTGACGTTTCGCCAATGATCGTGTTGGCTTCTTCAGAGCTTAACTGAAACTGGCTCGCATTTTATTCTGTACTTGCTTATATATTGTTTGAGGGGGTTTAGTTAAATGAGTGGCATAAACACCGTCTCGGATGACTGATTTTTCGAAAAATCCGAGAGTCTATAGAACTCTATAAACAACCTAACAATCTTAACCGCTGCTCATGTTTCTACCTGCCACGAAAACCGACGTAGGAGGAATACAGAAGTTTTGTAAAAAGTATTACAGTAGCCTGTGAAAGTTTCTTTGAAAAATTAAAAGATCAGTTGCTAAAAACCTCCGCATACAAGTTATTCTACTATCTTGCACTCATTAAACTTATCACCTAATGGAGAATATGTACGTAGAAGGGTGAATCAATCGAAACACTAGCAGGAAAGCAGGACAAGAAGAGTTACACACTACACTCACTATGGAATTTTAAACATTATTTTGCTTGAAAGTGTCATGTATTGTTATTTATATTTATCCCAACTACATCTCAAAATATTAATAAAACCTATTTAAGTTTACTGAGTATTGCTATTTTAATGTTAACAATCCATTTTAAATTTATCTTCATATTGTATATGACGATTGGTTTTCCCAAACGAAGAATTTTATACTGAAGGGTCCGTAACGAAAAATGTGAATTTTGCCACCATTTTAAAAAGCTTTTAAGGAGTTCGCCTTACCTTCCTCGTCGTCGACACCTTCCGAGATATGCTGTATCAGAAATTCGGCAAACGCGCCCTTCCTCTTCAATAGTTCTTTGTAAGTTCCCGTTTCCGACACCTCGCCATCTTTGAGCACTATAATCTTATCGGTTTGCGGAAGGTAGGTGACCGCGTGCGTCACCAACACTCTCGTCTTGTTTCTCAGCAATCCCGTAGGACTCAGTAGGTGGTCGAAGATGTGTTTCCCCACGTGCGAATCTACTGCGCTCAAAGGATCGTCCAAGAGGTACACGTCAGCGTCGTAATATACCGCCCTAGCCAAGCTTATTCTCTGTTTCTGACCTCCCGATAGATTTATCCCTTTCTCTCCGATTTCTGTCTGATCGCCGTTCGCCAACATTTCAAAGTCCGGTTTGAGCGCGCACGCCTCGATTACCTTTTGGTATCGGATTTTATCGAATTCCTCGCCGAACGTGATGTTGTCTTGAACGGTGGCGTTTTGGATCCACGCTTGCTGTGGCACGTATGCCACCGATCCCAGCGTGTTGACGTGCCCTCGGATTTTCTCCATTTCTCCTAACAGCACGGAAATCAAACTGCTTTTTCCCGCCCCCACGGCACCGACCACGGCGGTCAACGAACGATTGGCGACGCGGATATTGATATCCTTCAGCACCGGTCCTTCGCCCCAGCTGAACGTTCCGTTTTCGATCACAAGAGGATCGGCTAAATGCGGAATGAAATTAAATTTATATTTTTCCGCAAGTCTCGTTCCTTACTTTCGTTTGGGTCGTGGGAGACGGAGTTTTCGTCGAGGTCTTCGGCGTTGAAAAAACCGTTCAATCGTTTTACGGACACCCATGTCTGAAAGTAAAAGGTGGTTGGTCCTGATATGAGGTGTGGCAGCAAAGTGATGACTGATTTTTTATTTAGCGAAGTTTTTATTTTTCCAAACATAAATACAAAAATAATTTGTGCTAGCGAAAAAGTTGAATGTTCAAACGTAATACTTGCCGGTTCTCTAAGCTAACGACACAACTAAAAAATCACTTCGCAAGCAATTATGATTAACGGAAGGAGTTGAAATTCGCACTGAGCTATGAGAGGATAATGATACACGTGCTCTACCACTGACAACAGCGCAGAGTTGCCAGTTCACACGTAAAGTGTTCAGTCTGATAACTTTTCTGTCGCACCTCGTATAATTCAGCATTCATATAGTTTTTCAAAAGTGACCTGACAAGCCATTTTCTTTATTCGCCGGAAGCTCATTTCAAGAGAAGTAATAAAGAGTAATAAAGACAATGCAAATCCAAGAAACTCATCAACCCCACTTCAACCACATAAAGACAGTTGCAAAATTTATTTTTTAATTATTTTCGACCCTCTCTAATTAGTATTTAACGAAATGCTGATTTTCTAGTAGGTTTTGCTGTTTTTAAAATTTCCAAATACTGCGTTTGGAAATATTGTGTTGGATATTGCATAAGAAATCTGTAGTTGCGCTATAACCGATCGGAACGCATACCTGGACCAACTGTGATATCGTCATTGGAAGGAAACTTAACGGCATCCTAAGGATATTGAATAACGACAGTGAGACAAAAGCTTTGCCAGCGTCTAGTACGTTCCTTTCGTCTATAAGCACGTATGTCGCAAACGTAACGCAAGATACCTGAAAAATCAAATGAAATATATTGAAATCATTAAGCGCAAATATAAAGCCTAAAAATCGAAAAACCCACCGACCGACATCAAGAATTTTTGATAAAGCAGTCTAAATCTTATATTATTATTAACTAATACAATAAAGAGATCTTTACCATGAATGGTGCACAGTTCCATATAAAAGTGGTGCACGCATCAAGGTATGCACTTTTCCTCAACGTAGAGACCTCCTTGTTTCTGATTTTCATGACCTGTTGTTCAAAACTGGGTTCCCAAGCGTATAACTTCAGTATTTTTATCCCCGACAGGATCTCGTTCATAAGCTTCACCCTCTCGTCTTTGTCTTTCATTTGCTTAATTTGAAGTTTTTTATTTTTGTTAACTATAAAACCGTTGATCGGGATAAGCAGTATCATGACCGCTAAGCCCGCCATTATCGACGGTCCTAGCTCTTGCCACAAAAAGTAAACGGCTAGGCAAATTTGAAAGGGAGACGACCACAGCAAGTTTAGAAAAAGCACCAAGTCCTGAAACTTTTGGGCGTCCACGGCCATCAAGTTCACTATTTCACCTGCAGTCTTCTCCTTTCGGGCAACGTTTGACACCCTCAGAGCTTTCCTGTAGATCGCCGCGGTCAATGCGGTCCTGGTCCGTATCCCCACCTTGAACATTAAGTCGAACTGTTTGTTTTGGAGGAGTGTCTGGACACAGGCCACGATAAACATTAAGACAGCGTAAAAAATGCCTCTCCAACGAGGTTCGTCAGAGCCCACGAATCCAATCAAGAGCCTGAAATATGAATACCAACAATATAGACAGATAATTTTGTTGATAATTTCTGTTGATGTTGTACTGAAGAGTGAGATCAAGTCTTTCTCAACTTTAAGTTTGGATTAGAAAGTGGTATACCAGGCTCATGACTGATAAATCAGTTTATTGTCAAAAAAGAACTTTGGAAAAAGAGAAACCAAACCCCAACTATTTTGACCCCCCCTTATTCAGTCAGCAAGAGAATGTGGAAACGAGTAGTTTTATGATTTGTCCAATCTCTTTTCGATATAAAGTTTTGGGTGGATAAGGCGCGAAGATCGTTCATTCGTGAAATCTTACCCCAATATTTGAGGATTGGCAAACTGAGTAACGTCAGCGATAAATTTAACTGCAGACCCAATCAAGAAGGGGAAATATACGGTTTTGCAGAGGGCAGGCAAAAACGAGGCCGTCTTCTGCTTGGAGTGTCTCTTAAACTCAACTCGGCTCCCGTCTGCTTTATAAGACACTTTGTCTCGTTGCTCCTTCTCGATACTGAAATACGTCGTCAAATGTGAGCGTTTCGTCGCTACCGCTTTCAAGTATTTTATTAAATGTTATTACTTTTTGCTTTTTGCCAACGCCTTATTGAAATATCCCTCGAAAACGGGCACGATCGCCTCTGCCGAATCGTCAGGTCTCATGTCCCACATGTCTTTCGCTTGTAACGGTTTGCGGAACCCCTTGAACAGCATCGGGTCCAAATAAAGGAAAGTGATTCGTGATGGAAAACTGCAGCTGTCCTCTGGATTCTTCTTCTGCAATCCGTATGTTAAAATGATCGAGTTTTAAAAAGCCCTCAGGTGCACGTACCTTGGCTTTGGCGTATTGGTAAACTCTGGGCGTCCCCTCTCCGAAGCAGTTGAGCAGAAACATCGCCACAACTAGGGGGTAGTAGACTAAGTAACTGACGTACTCGTATTGGTCATCGGGTGCCCCTTCCCTTTTGACCGTGCGTATTTCCGTGCGAAATTGAAACGTTGCAAGGACCGCTGTGAAAAACCAAAACAAAAACAGCAACCCCGAACTTTGTAAACCATATCGTTTGTTGTAGAAGGCGAGCGTCCCCGCCAGTGCCTGAAACGAGAAACTCTTGACGTAATTCTAGCATCTATATCCTAGTGTAGCGTTAAGAGTAGAATTGGAAGAGTTAAGAAAAGCTTCGGTGTAATGGGTCTGTGAAATGTAGCACTTAATTTAATTAATTTAATTGCATAATCGGTAATATAAAGAAAATGTCGCGTCTATTGTAGACACCAGTCAGTTCATTCGCATTTTTGTTAAATTGATCAGTGGTTTCGCTGCATGAATACTAAAATAGAAAAAAATCAAATTAGTTTCGTCATCCCTATCGATTTTGGCCGATTGTATTAAGAGTGTGCCAGTGTGTGTGTAGGTTTGTGCGTGTTTTTAAAATATTTTATTTCTTGTGTCGTCGTGATATGGAGCAGATAAGCTTTGAGGGTTCATGATTCAAAATTTTAAAAGGAATTTTAGAACTCACAACCCACAGAGGATACAATGATAAATGGTTATTATATAATATTATATTATATAAAATAGTAGCAATAGGTAAAAATCCAATTATTGGTTTCCAATAAATAAGATGCCGCCTGTAACTCCGGTTTGGATATAATTAATGTCGAAACAGCTTTCATAAAATATTTTAAAATGGTAACATGAACCTACATATTGTTAACAAAATGTTTTGTATAACAACTTAGTTAAGTTTTAATTAAGGGTTTGAGTGAACAACTCAGTAGTAATAACCTACTTTGAAAAGTTTAGTCTTATAGTTTGAAAACTACACTTTTTGGTTGAAAAATCTAGTTATAAAAATAAACAAGATTAAGAATATAAACATTAACTCTATTTAAGGAAAAAAAACTGACCATTTTAGTCAGCTGGTTTCTGACATTTTCTTGATGAATATTTTATCGCAATTAGCAATATCGTAAAGCTAGTAACAACTAGAGCCATAGAAAAAGTTGTAAATCAATCATAGAATTGTTAAAAAGCAAGAAGCATATGTACAGTAAGTAAAAGTTTTTTAGTGAAATTGATACTGTTCAGCAGAAAATATTAATATTAATAAAGATCTTCAAATGTGGCCACTGCTAATTGACCACGTCAGCTTGGTTGTCCACGTTCGGGAGTGACGTTTCACGTTTGAAGCGATCGGATGTTTTTGGGTAGATTTGCTAGTTCCGATGGTCACGTCACATGTCGTACTATTGGTGGTAGAAAAAGTATGGTATGTGCCTCGGTATATGCTAACACGTTCAGTCACTCGTTTCTTAAAAACTCACTCTGCTCATACAACATCAAACTCGCGCCTAAAATAGCGCTTTTTGAGTAATAAGCTATTTTGAAGGAAAGAAAATTTTTAATTATGAGAATGGAAATTGACGATTGTTAGAAATATGAAAAATCGTGAAAAATAAACATTTCAAAGCGGATTTGGTGAAACAATCGTTTGTTATTGCACCAATTGAGCGAGAAATGGCGTAACGTTATCTGCAAGGTCGCGTCCAATGATTATATCAAATTCGGTAGCACATTATAAAGTATTTCCTTTTCGACCTCATCGCTGATTAGAATTTGATAGAAATCGGAACTTAAGTACATGTATAATTTTGCAAAATTAAATTGTGTGCGCAATCAAAGATTTTGAAAAAATATGATTACTCTTTATCACTTGTTAATCGTAATTAATAGTAAATTATTAGTATCGAAGATGTTTTTCGTGGTTTCATTCGAAGATCAAATCTCTAAATTCTGCATAACTAAATTTCTTAATGGGATCACCGATAAATCCATTTTCAACCCCAGCCCGACAAATCCTTAAAAAGTAAAAGTGGGAAGATAACGTATTTTAACATTTGTTTTTTGTTCTTATCTTGTACACACGCAAATGCAAAAACAAAACTTAATATTCGCGGCGCTAGGCACTATAACAATTCAGCCATTTTTGAAAGAAGAATATTGCTTTAAACATATTAGGAAGCGGTCTACGAGCTAACCATTTGAAAACGCTTTCGTAATTCTTGGCGTCGAGGGCAACGCAGGTGTCTTATTCACCTTTACATAATAATGACGGTCATACGCGTGTTGAAGTGGCGCTAAGAGATATTCATGATAGTTTGTGGATTACTTCTACGAAGTATTGCGTTATTTTGGATATTCGTTACGGTTTCGGAGTTGATATAGCCGTATTTTCGGGCAAGTGACTTTTTATTATTGATAGACATGGTACTGCTAGTTTTACGATATAAGTAGTATTGATAAATTTCGCAGACTGACTAGAATGTAATAGATTTAAATTATTGTAGAAAAAATTATTGAAGATAGAGCATTATGTCGAGGGAAAATGAAAAAGTTGTAGAGAGTACTCCCGTATTTGTTTGTTTAGAGGGCAGGGTTTTTTGGTTAAGCAATTTTCAGTTCCCTCTTTTGTTGACACTTTTTATTGCTCCTTTTCCCTGACAACTTCTGGCTCTTATTTTCAATTAACGAAATGATAACAAATTTTAGTTGAAGTTTTTCTTTCTGCTTTAATAGAAGCGTGCGGACAATATTCAAAATACTAAATTCTGCCATCCGTTCGTTCCCAAACTCGAAACTAAAGTTAAGGATAAGAAAGGATAAGTGGCTGGCGTCCGTGACTAATGAAAGTGACGTGTTAATGCGACACCTTTGGCTCGTTTGATCAGTGCATCAGGTATTTTATAGTACGAAGTATTGGCTCGTGTCGTGAAAAAAAAACTCGTGAGTAAAATGGCTTTTGTCAAACTTGTTGCCTAATAAACTTTTGCAATTTTGATTATCCGCAAATATTAAATTTAATGTGATTTTACTTGTTAAAATAAAATTTCAGCTTGCATTCCACTACCCACGCATTTTTCATTGATTATTAAGGCCTTTCTATGTTCTATGTTGTTCAGTTTTTCCTTAGAACGTGAACACGCCAATAATATTTGACTCCCATTCGACGAGCTTACTTACAAAAGATGCCAATTTCACTAGCGGCGTATATGTATTCACTGGGGGTCCGTAAGCTGCATCGGCGTTGACTATTAGATCGCTTAAGCAATTCGCGCATAGCAAGGCGGTCGCTAAGAACTTCAACGAGTTTTTCCAGTTCCATGGTATGTCCCGGTCTTTGCTATTTTTTATGTAATACACTTCCAAGGGCGAGAAAATCCACAAAAACACACACGGAATCCACACTAGCACCGTTTTCTCGAAACATTTGGTGAAGTCTGGGTCGTTGGTATCCCACGAAAGTGACGAGTTCTGCAAAAAAAATGCTTTTCCGTTAGTTTTGCGTTCTTTTAAATACTATCATCATGCGAAACGTACCCAGAATGGTGAACCACATAATCTGTTGAGAGCTTCATTTTCCAGGCTCAGATTCATTCTATATTCGACTATATAGTTGGTAATACCTTGGAAGTAAAAATGAACACATTTCAATAAACATAAACGTCAAATTTTAATCAATTTCAAACAATTTGGAATGATGGAAAATTAAGAGAAGTATCCCGTCAATTTTGGTAGTTATGATAGTCTAGGTTAGTTTGTTAGTGTGTTGAACTGTTTAGAACTAGAACGCTACAATTAATAGTATTAAAACTTACTTTTGCTATATCATTTCAACTTTACTCCAACTTGGTTAAATTAAAACAAAAATGAAAATTACCGTCATAGTTAGTAGTATGTTAACTAGGCGCAAAAATGAACTCACTCAACTTCTTTGAATTAATTCAATTCGTTTATCTAAAATTTAGTGATTAACAGTAATGATTTTTTTCGTTAAAATTTTAATATGAAACAATCGATTAATTTTCTGATTGATTTCGCATTTGCAAATTGCCTGTCTCGTGGTGAGGTAGATTTTCACTGACATAATTATTTATTTTCCAAACTTTGACAGATATGAACAACCTCAGGTAGATGAAATAATTTTTAAGCAAGTAATTCACCGCCATGTTTAATTGCAAATTAATGAATCGCCGATTTATGTTAACTAGGAGTTAGTGCAATAATGTTTTTCTGGTTACTAGAATTATAAAACATTTAATTCGGTCATGATTCGTCGAACGGGAGGATATTTTTTGGTTTATACATAAATTTTGCGTTCGTACATTCTGGTACTATGCAAAACAGTTTCAAATACATAACGCAATCTTAAAAGTTATTTTATCTGTCTACATACCTGTCCGCGTTATCTAAAATCATTTACGCTCTGAAAATGATATCGCAAAATGCAGTCAAATACAAAAACGAATATATTTTCCCGGTAATAATTTATATAACAAATTATTTATTTTTTTGCCGCGCATTGTGACTCGTATCGCTAGGATGTGCGGTATTTAACTAGTTTAATGGCATACGCAGTGAGTAATGTGCTAGAAATCCAACGATTCTGTTTTATCTGTTATGTATTTGCGATGACTATGGTTTGTTTAACGCAGGATCGTATTGTCTTTATTTTGCGGTTTCCCGTGCTTCTTATATGTTTTTTAAGTTTATTTTCGACATAAGCAAACGTGAAAATATATTGGAAATAATGTTGAAACCTTACTTCAACTTTCAATTAGTAATGCAAATTTTACGAAGTACTGAGACAAATTTTGGGGCTCCTAATCAATGTTGCCAAAACTAAATCGTCACGAGATGGCGCTTCGCGGATTTAAAACGCGGAAAATGAACTACTAATGACCAAATGAACAAACATTCCCCGTTTTAGGTGATTATTGCGCGGGTACAAATTAAAAAATCGATTATGAATATTGTCCTTGAACGTTACGCTTACAAAAATTCAAAAATATTGATTAATAGATACTTGGAAATCTCAATTATTGAAAACTGCGTTTCGTCATTATCGAGAATTTTGTGAGCAGGATAATATATTTGTAAAAATTTTAGCTGCTTTTTTCTAAAAAAAAAATTTTTTCAGCATTGATTGGATTAAAATTTCAATTCTCTGTATATTGTTTGTTTACAGCGCTAAAGTTACCTATTAAATAGCTATGTATACTTAAAATCTTAGAAAACAAACATGTGTTTTTATTTTTTCCCAAGCAATCGAAAAATTTGTAAACTTCAGCACTTTTCTCACTGATCAGAAATAAATATCACTAATTTTTAATTCTCTGAATATTAACGCTTCTCGTCGTTCCATTCGCAGAACAATTATGAAAAGACTATTCACAAATTACCAAAAAATCACCGTACCTCACTCACATTTGACATTAATTGGGACACTTACGCGCGAATGTAATTATCTAGCGCACGGTAAGTATTATATTTGGAGATATAAGCCTACGTATTTGATTAGTGTTTTTGATAGTAGTACAATCAAAATATACTCAATGAATCTACTACAGAACCGTAGCAAATTGATTTTGAAACCTTGGGGGGCAAACATCAATTCCAATTATCGCGTATCATTTGGTGCTGACAGCTGAAGTATTTTCCAAATCTCCAACTTTTCAGTTAGTGACGCTGTTAAGGAATCGCATGTTCTCGGTAATCTAGGTGCACCGCAGATAAAAGTTTTCTGATGAAACTCGCTTCGCGCAGTAAAGCAGCAAATTAAAATATAAATTATATAAAATATAGTTCAGGTGAATGTAAAATTGCAAACATTAAACTAAACAAAATCGATTAGAAGTAATAGATATTAATTATCTCAGTTTCATGTCAAACTTTGCTTGTTTTTTCTTCTAGACACAGTAAATATCACATAATATCTGTATCGAGTTAACTGCTGGGCGATTCAAATGCCGATGAAGAAAATATCCAGTAAAAGCTAGTTAATAGTCATTTCTACGGTTTCGGTCAATGATGGTGTATTTTGAGGCAGCTTTTGCAGCGTTTTTAAGGAAATGACGATTATTATTAGAAAAGCAAAAAATATGTTTCGGAAATAGTCTCGGAAAAAAGTTTACGAAAACTAATCAATAAGATTACCGTAGCGCAATAGGAAATCTGCTTAGAATTTGTAATAAATATGGCAACGCTGGGCAGGCATGGCGTCCAAGTGTATAATTATAATGCATCATTCACATTGTTTTGGTTACTATTTAGTGAGCGGTCGGTACACCATTTTATTTTGTACATTAATATTTTCGCAAAGCGTACTTCTCCCTTTTCTTCCCGGTTATTGGTGATTTATTCGTATAGTTTTACAGCAATAAAATATATCCTGAAGCGTTTATGCTTTTACAGTTTCGTTTGTATGGTATACCTATTTTTACCATCAGTATTAAGGAGACCGATTTGTCGACAGCGCACTAAACGGTGCGAGCAGTGTTATAACACATCGTGAATATAAAAGAAAACAAACGGTACTGTTCGATTAACAGTGTGGCAACAACTTTCTATTTTAACGGAGAGCAGAACCGGACCAGGCCCCACTAAACGAGATAACAAGTTTCATTTGCAAAAAAATATCTGACCGCAGGTTTTTCATCATAGAGTGGTGTTAGTTTTGATTAGATTCCATCATTTCAGTGAGCTAAATACAAGGACGCTTGAAACTCTTTACCAGTTTGCCTAATTTTATAGAGTTATAAAGAAATTAACTAACCAAAACTATTTGGATAAATACATAATATGCAAATATACATACAATATTCTTTGGCCTTTTTCATACTATACCGGGTGTCAATGAACTTACAAGCCAAGCGATAACTCTTAAAAAAAATTGAATTATTTTGAAATTTAGATATGTTATATAAATAAGTTTAGAATAATTTTTAATATAAACCTTTTCTATGTATCTCTAATACTTTTGTAGATATTTGCGATTTAAATTTAGAAGTCAAACTAATTCAAAGCGCAAGGCACCTACTGAAAAATACATATTTACAATGAGGCCATGAAAATGACTATGTACTGTTTCCGACGAAACAAACATTGATAAAAACACTTTTATTTATTTTTTGAAATATTTTTTGACGATTTAATTTAAATCGCAAATATCTCAAAAAAAAATTGAGATATATAAAAACGCTTTTTAGGGGGGGGGGGGGGGGTTGCTATTGGAAGTTTTTCCGGAAAAATACTACAAAGTCTAATTTTCAGTATACTAAATTAAAAAAATATGTTTCTGCCAATTTTTTGGTTTGGTTTGGTTTTTAGTTGGTAATTTAAGTTGACCAGGAAAAATGATATACTCAAATTTTTGACACTAGCAATTAATGCTACTTGAATCTATCTGTAGAACACAAAAATGAAAAAATATGCATGGTGTTCCATTTAAAATAAGAAAATTGATCTCACTTCCGGTAATGTCGGAAGTTCTATTCAATTCTTTCGAAATTATTCATCTTTTTGTTGACAAGTTATCGCTTGGCTAGTAATTTTATTGCCACTCGGTATTCTACGTAAATAGATGCCTGCAATAGCATTCGTGGAAATTGTTTGCAAATATCAAAATTAAATTTAATTAATTTGGGATGAACACTTTAATACGCATCTAGCACTTATTTTATTTTAATGGGTATTTGCTTTTTTTATCTTTTATTACTTAGAAGACGGGCGCACAAAGCATAACAATGAAATCTTTGTTTTCCCAGGCTTAAGGAAGCTGCAGGAAGGACCTTGAACCTGCTTGAACGATTTACGTTTCTCACAATTCATCTCAATATTTTGTGCAATGTGTTGAAATTCCAGTGTCGCGCACATTTTATTCAAACAATTTTCGATACAAAGTTTATGTTGGAATGGATTCACAAGCAGTACACAAACCAGTTAACCAGTGGTGCTTTGTTTTTGTTGAAATTTCGTTACGTCATTTATAATAACAATTTTGCTTTAAACACTTTAAAACTCTGAAGGTCAGTGCCGTCCCGGGGGTATCATTACGTAGCCAGGAGTAGTATTGTCAATGATATCTGCACCACTGACTTTTCTTGAGTTGTTTTCATATTTTACCTCGTTTTCCAGAGAAAAAGTAAAAATCATGAAAAATAACAAAATATATATTTAGGAACATTTATTTTTTTGAACTCTTTAATACACAATAAATTTATCAAAGATGTTATGCTTTCACGGCCAGAAACTACATTACTAAATATTTCCGGGTTTTTGAGCCGTGGTCCCGAGATTAAACTCGACGTTTCGTCTACAACTGCGGTAGACATTTTCAAGAGCGGCGATGCGGTAACGGTCGAAGTGTTCTTCCGTACTGCTCTCCGATGACTGGTTGGTTGACTGGAAGATCTGCCGTATTTAAGCGCGCTGTAGTGGGCGTGACCTCGGTGGCGGGCTTGGGTTGAGCTTGTCTGGGTAAACACGTTGTTTTGTTGATGACCTGAGTCCATGTTTTACTGATATTGAGACCTTCTTCTTTTCTATTGAAATTATTCTGATGTTTTTGAATTTCAATAGCTTCTCTGATAAGACGTGGATAAAAATGTGGTGTTTTGTCCAGTACCTGCGTGTCTTTGAACATGATACGATGGTCACCTTTGTAAAAAAGCATGTTCTGCCACTGCTGATTTTTCCGTGTGTCCAAGCCGGCAGTTCCTGTTATGTTCCTTTAGCCTAGTTTCAATGCTTCTCTTTGTGGTACCTATATATACCGAGCCACAGGAACACGGAATGCGGTATATCCCTGGTGAAGAAAAGGCGTCCCTTGTATCCTTGGCAGACCTGAGGCTTTGTCTGATTGTAGTGGTTGGTTTAAAGATGACCCGAACGTTGTGTCGTTCTAAATGTTTACCGATCCTGTCTGTGACGTTCTTAATAAAAGGAAATGATACATTCCCTTGAGGTTCCTTTGTCGTATCTCTTGTCTTAGATCTTCTATTTTTCATAGCTTTTTGTATTTCAGAGGTGGTATATCCGTTATTTTTCAGGGAATCGGTCAAGTGATTAATCTCTTCACGTAGGTACTTGGGTTCGCTAATCCGATTAGCCCTTGTCATTAAGGTTTTTATTACCCCCATTTTCTGTCTCGGATGGTGATTAGATAATTTGTTCAGGTAACGTTCCGTGTGAGTGGGTTTTCGATAAACTTTATGACCCAATTTTCCATTTGGTCGCCTTTCTACCTGCACATCTAAGAATGCCAACCTGCCGTCCTTTTCTGTCTCCATGGTAAATTTAGTTCTAAAGTATTGACGCTCAAGAAAATGACGCAGTTCACCACCATTTACAGAAATGTAACAAACGCCGTTTTTTCATTTATTATTTTAAAAATATATCTTGACGAATCCTAAGCCAAACGTTATGGTATGACGTACATATGTTATTTGAAAATCCTATGTTCCGTACTTGATAGATAGATATATAGAGATCCATATTGATTATGTTTTCCTGAAACCAAACGTACGAGTCGCAAGAGTAAGATGACTGAGAAAAACCGATCTGCAGTATCTTATTAGTCCGATAATAAAATAATAAGATTGATACCGGTTATAATGTAATTTATTATTTATCACATTCACTCGGAACTAATTCACATGAAATAAATACTTAAAAAAATAATTCCAATTCACGTAAGTCGTCTATCCACTACATAACCTATTAAATACTTTGTTCGTTTCGGAACAGTTGCGATTAAGCCAGTCCGGCATCTTTGCACATGCCGAAGAATATGCTGGTCTTGTTCTCGAGCAATTTCTCTGGCGAATCGAACTCGGCAATTCTGCCCTTGTCCAATACCAGCACCCTGTCCGAGTCCATTATGGTGTTCAACCTGTGAGCGATGGTGAGGACAGTCGAATTGTCAAATTCCTTCCTGATCGTCTTCTGAATTAAATCGTCAGTCTCCAAGTCGACGGCAGCGGTCGCTTCGTCCAGTATAAGCACCTTGGTTTTCCTCAGCAGCGCCCTTGCCAAACATATCAGTTGCCGTTGGCCCACCGACAAGTTTTCTCCACCCTCGTTGATTTTATAAGAAAGACCAGCTGGCAAAGCTGCAATATACCGACATTTAGTTTTATAGTAAACGGATTCGTAAAAGCAACTAGATCATATAATCACAGGAAGTGAAAATAAATTTTTGTAGCATCAGCGTGAGCATGTTGAACCCATCTAGCCACTAGATACATAAAAACCTTGCTAATAATACATGCATGGAAGATCATTCCCTTCTGCTGTCAGCCGTCCGAGGTGCATCAATTTTATTGTTTGAAGAATCCCTTCTTGTTAACTTTTCATTTAGCTAACACAATAACGCGTTTTACCACAAACTGAAACTCAATTTTACGTACTCGACGCGCGTTTCGCCAACCATCTTCAGGAGAAGATTAAAACTAAACTTTATCCAAATTATATTGTTTACCTAAAATTCATAAACCTGGAAAAACAATGAGACATATTGTTTCAGCTATAGGTTCTCCAACATATAATATTTCAAAGTGGTTGGTTGCAGAACTTGGAAATTTAAAACATCAAAAAGAAAGTTTTTTCTGTAAAAAACTCGCAAGAGTTTATTGGTAAAATCAAAGACGTAAGGCTGAATGAACATGAACTTTTAGTATCTTTTGATATTTCCTCATTATTTCCAAGCGTTCCTATACCAGAAACTTTGGAATACCTCAGGAAATTACTCGAATATAATAACTACAGTAAAGATATAATTGAAGAGTTAATCACTCTGACAAAGCTTTGCATGAGTCAAAATATTTTTCTATATGATAACAACTATTATGAACAACAAAATGGCACGGTCATGGGAAATTGTTTATCTCCTTTCCTGGCTGAACTTTTCATGCATCATTTTGAACATAATGCTAAAGAAAATTTCGAGTACTTTCCTAGGATATGGTATAGATACGTCGACGATGTTTTCGCGGTTTTTGACACAACTTGCATGGATTTAAATGACTTTATTTCAAACTTGAATAATTACTTCCCATCTATTAAATTCACATATGAAATAGAAATTAACATTCAGTTGCCTTTTTTGGACGTTCTCGTTATCAAAAACGTGAAAATCATATAGTTTTTGACATTTATAGGAAAGACACTAGTACTCTAAGATACATAACCAATGATTCTAACCATGCTTTTCAACACAAAATGGCAAGTTTTAATTTTCTAGTCCATAGACTTGTCACATTTCCTTTAAATCAAGAAAGGTTTGAGGTGGAAAGAAGCCTTATAAAAAAGGTGGCTAGAATCAATGGCTATGAAGATAGTTTTATCTATAACTTAATTAGGAAATTTAGATTTAAAAACAAACTTGAAAAATCAACGACTTTTCAAGCTGATAAGGAAAATTTAAAAGTAGTCTCAATTCCTTTTTCTCCCCAGTATACAAGTGGACTTGATAGAGTCTTAAGGGCCGCAGGTCTTCCAAGTGTCTATCAGTCCGGATCAAAATTAAAAAATCTCTTGGGTAATCCCAAGGATAAACTAGATACTAGATAAAAGTCGGGAATTTATAAAATATGTTGTAACAAGTCATATGTAGGGCAAATCAAAAGATCAATTAATGTTAGATTTAAGGAACATTTAGCTCATTTAAAATTGGGTAGATTAGAAAAATCAAGTGTAGCCGAACATATGTTCAACAATAATCATAAGGTAGATATAAGTAATTTAAAATTAGTTAAACATGTAAATAATAGTAAAAAATTAGATGCCTACGAAAGCTTAGAAATTGTTAAGAGAGAGAATAAGGCACTGAACAATCCCATTTAGCCCATTATACGAGTTGATTGGTTGCGTGAACAGTGCGTAATTCCCTCTCCCATTTCCGATGTGTATATATATATAGAGCATCTGTTCTATTAAGTTTAATTTTAATCTTATCCTGAAGATGCCAACTTGGTTGTCGAAACGCGCGTCGAGTACGTAAAAAGAGTCTGATTTCATTTAGCTAGAAATGTTCATTTTTGTGTCAATAATGTGTGAAAAAGACGCTAATGACCTGAAGAAAAGAAAATTTTTTGTAACATCCATGTGATCTTAATTCTGTTTGGGTAAATTGTTTTCTATTAGAATTAATTCGACTCGACTTACTTTTAACAAACGGCTTAAGATGAGCCAACTCGAGAACTTTCCAAACGTCCTCGTCCGAATGGGCGTCGTAAGGATCGAGGTTTATCCTTAGGGTACCGGAAAATAGAATCGCATCCTGTGGAATGATGGTTAATCGGGACCTCAAGGAATGTAGTCCAATATCAGCGACGTCGATACCGTCTATCTTAATTTTGCCGTCGGCTGCCTCAATTATTCTGGAAATTAAAATTTCGTCTACCCCATTCTATTCCGATTGTGTTAGGAAACCAATCTGATGATATTATATCCTAATGCTTCTTAAGGAAAATTGAAATTTAAATCTAATCATTTCGAGAGAGTCTAACCTGAACCAACAGAGCCAGTTGAAAACATCTTAAAATTAACGGTGAACACTGCAAGTGACAACTAAAATTTTAGTGGACTGTTTGAACTTGTATTAAAAAATTTTAATAACCAAAATTAACAGGGACAAAATTTCAAAAATTTTCTTTATACTTTGCTGTAATATTTATCGTAACTTATCTATTAACTAAAGATTGCAGTTTTTGTTCATTTTAGTTCATAGTCTGCCCAAACTTCACATACAAAACAATGCCCTGCCAGCTTACCTGAACAACGCAAGTGTTAGGCTGGATTTTCCTGCGCCGGTTCTGCCAACAATACCGATTTTTTCCCCTCCCTTGATATTTACATTAATACCCCTCAGTACTAAATCTAATCCTGGTCTATACCGAACGCGATAGTTTTGGAACTCGACGGCTCCGTTCTCTGGCCAACTTTCCTTGGGTTTAGTGTTTGGTATGTCCCACGGCGCCTCTTGAGGATATTCCGTATATTCTTTAATACGTTCGATACACACGACGTTGGTTTCGACTTCCGAAACGGCCCGGATGAGGAAATTGAGCGAGTTTGTTACCTAAAAATTAATTTATACCATAAATTCGAATCCCAGTCGTAAGAGTTATGCTCATTTCAGTGTTCATTATTTCTGCTCAGCCTAGTGTATCGAAACAAATTCGAAAAGATTAAGGGGTTGATCTGTTGTTCAAAATAAATGGATATTTAGTATATTGTGATGAGCGAGCCGAATAGACTATCTGCGTTCAAGGATTTCATGCCTATGTGGAGATCAGAGCGGTATCACACAGACTGCTCTCTGGAACACGGTTCGAATGTTCTGCGTCTATCGTGAGCAGAGGATGCATTCTATAAAAGCGGACCGCGTCAGTTACTCGAAAAGAGAAACTGGAAGGCACAAATATAAATCATCAATTGTAGTGTGAAGATAGCTAGTGACTATTATTTTTAACAAAATAAACTTTCAGTACCGTTAAGTTTTCCTTGGAGTGACTTCGTTTGTCGAACAATTTTTGTCAAATTCAGAAGAAAGGAAAGAAAAGAAGAAAAAAGGTTTCTAAATAAACTTGGCTACCGGAAATTGATTTTTACAATTCATTGTGTTACAAAGAACAACTTAGTCTTAGTCTTAAATTCAATCCCATCCACTCATTACTATAAATTGTTAATCTTGCCATAAAAAAATATTGTTCTATCTCTGTTCTCCTTATTAAAGGTTCACTTTTAACTCAACATTTATATAATAAACTATCCTATATTTTGAACAAGGAATCGCTTTCTTAAGTTTTTCACATTTGTTTTCAGTCAGTAGAGAGTCAATAGATGGTGTTGTGATATTGTAAGGAGGAGTCAGTAAGCTCCTGCTGTGTATTGGTGATGGCAGTGTTGCACTACAGCACTAAAAGTTTTAGTGTGATAAAGTCACTTTACGTATCACTTATCTATCAGAATAATGTTTTTATGTAATTGGGTCAAACCAATTTATTTACCTGCATCGAATAACTGACGGACAAACCAACTAGAGCGGGCATGAGATTATTTCCAAGCACGGCAAATAAGGCTGCGAACAGGATGATCAAGTTACCGATCATTTCAAGCCGAATGCCCAGCCACCTGTTCGCACACATGTTGGGATAGATGCACATCTGATTCCGATCGACCTTCTCCTCCGAATCGTTGATAAACCTGTTTTGCTGGCCGTAGGCTCTTATCACGTGAGCCCCGTTGATCGTTTCGCCGAAATGCGAGTATATCGGAGACCTCGAAACCGACTCTAACCGTTTCAGTTGCCGCGAAGTTGCGACGTAATATCTCTGTATTAACATGTAGAGGATGCCAGTGGGTATTATGACTGTGATGAACAACGGTGTCGTGTAGCTGATTACGATTAGTGTCCCTGCAACCTGCACCAAGAGCAAGAACAATAATTGAAAATAAATTAACTGTTAATCTATGGACACCGACTCTACCAAGTACCAAATGTTCAGAAAACGTTTTAACTGTGAAGAGGAGTGATACATATATAGTTGCCACTTCAGTTAATTCCCATTTTAAAACTAGTTTTCTGGTATTGGGCAAAGGGAGAGGTAAAAAATTATTTTAAAATAACTACGCGGTGAGTGAGCGAGTGTCGGTGACTTCGCAAGAAACGGTAAACTTAATGATTACGTGTACTAAAAATCCAAGTTAAAATTAAAAAAAATGACAAAAAAAATAAACGAGACGTAGCAGTGTTGCCTTACCCGCAGCAAACTCATAAAAAATATATTAAATAGAAAAGGAAGAGACATGTCAACGATGCTAATATCGCTCGAAAATCGTCCGAGGATCCTTCCGGATGGTGTGACGTCAAAAAATGACATTGGCAGACGGAGCACGTTGTGCAGCACAAGATTGTGCAGTTTTATAGATGCACTCATTGTGCCTTTGGCGAAGAAAATGTTGGCCAAGAATGTACTGACAGCTGAAATAAAAATCGAATGTCATTTTCCATATTTTAGTCGACATTATTTTTATTTTCACCTTGAAGTATTCCTAGAACGGTGTACACTATAAGATACATATCCCGTTTGCCCGTGTCTACTTTTCCATCTACAACCATTTCGGAGTCTTCTGACCAGATACCAAGCCATACGTTGGTGCCGATACCCAACGCCTGTGTAACGATGTTAAAGACCACTGTATTTATAAACATGACCAGGCCGATAGCTTTCAAGTAGTGCATGTAGACCGTCCATTTGACTTTGCCTTTCTCCATTTTCTCGGCCTCGATTAATTTCCCATCGTTTGGTGGCGCATTGATGGATATCGCGGCGCTCTGCTTCCGTCTATGGCTTCTGCTACTTCTCAAACTCTCCATAGATCTAGTTCGCGCGAATCCGTTGAGTTCGCTAAGAGATCCAGTTTCAGACTTGGTCTCGGATATCCTCGAACGTTGTCTCTGGATTTGTTTTTTGGCTTCTACAGCGATCGAGGTATCGGCAAGCTGATCTTCTATCTCGTCCAATTCTGTAACATAGAATGCGCGGATATTTTAACGTGTACTAATGGACACTCGTTTGACTTGCCTTCCTCGTCTTCCACTTCCTCCGAGATGTGTTGCATGAGGAACTCCGAGAAGGCTCCCTTTTTATCGAGCAATTCTTGGTAAGTACCGATTTCTGATACTTGACCCGAATTAAGTACTACGATTTTGTCAGTTTGCGGTAAATAAGTTATCCCGTGCGTAACCAATACTCTGGTCTTCTTGTGCAGTAAGCCTGACGGGCTAAGCAGGTGGTCGAAAATGTGTTTACCAACATGAGAGTCGACGGCACTGAGTGGGTCGTCTAGAAGGTAGACGTCCGCATCGGTGTAGACCGCTCTGGCCAAACTTATCCTTTGTTTTTGTCCTCCCGATAAGTTGATCCCTTTCTCTCCTATTTCGGTTTGATCTCCGTTGGCCAAAATCTCGAGATCAGTTTTCAGCGCGCACGCTTCAAGCACCTTGTTGTACCGTATTTTATCAAACGGTTTGCCAAACAGTATGTTATCCTTTACGGTCGCATTTTGAATCCACGCTTGTTGCGGCACGTACGCGACAGAACCGACGGTGTTCACTCTGCCACCGAGTTTTTCCATTTCGCCGAGCAAAGCCGATATTAAACTACTTTTTCCAGAACCTACCATACCCACCACGGCCGTAAGCGATCCTTTTGGGATTCGGAGGTCGATATTTTTCAATATAGGGTCGTCGCCCCAACTGAAGATGCCGTTATCGATTATCAACGGATCGGCTATAACAATGGTAAAAGTGGAATTCTTTGCAGAAATGTGGTAAAACTTGTAAGCAATCAATTGCCCAATATATAAATACGGAGCTGCTTAGTATGTAGGGACATAATAATGCTAGGGCATCCAACCTAACCCTGGTGATTCATCTATCTTTCCTAAGGCCCAACAGCGTTTATGAAAATTTTTAAATTGTTTAACCAGTGGCCTCCATATAGAACGTGAACTAGATATTTTTGAAAATTATGTTGTTCATGGTTGTGCCTAATTTGAAACGCTCTATAGGCCAAAAGTTCCGACTTTTATTTCATATTTCGTAACAAAATCACCTGAAACTGTACTTTTTTGCCGATTTCTAGTCTGATACATTTTTTAAATGCTAAACTAATAGTTTTGTGTTGCTGTATATTTTTTTAAATAATGTTTTTAGTTCATTGTTTAAACAACAACACTTTAATGTAGTGAGTAGCATGGTCATCAAAGTAGATAAGTAAACAGAGTTCTGCGCAGACCTTGAAACAGCGCTGCAGTACCCCCTTCACGTATCTACTAGAGCTGATACAATGATAAAGTGAAATAACTTTTTATTGGGTGCTACGCGGTGGTATATTTTGTTCGGTTGATTTTGCTGCTATTAAAATTCGTCGAAAATATACTTACTTTCTGTGGGATCATGTAAAACGTTATCCGGATCACGTTCATCTGCATTAAGGAATCCGTTTATTCTCTTTAACGACACGTACGTCTGCAAAACCAAAAAAAGAAGCGTTAGAAGATTAAAACGTCTCCATAATGGTTCGTACCTGAACCAGATTTGAAACCACGCTCGGTAGCATGCTCATAGGCATTCTTAATATATTGAACAGCGATAGGGATACGAATGCTTTGCTGGCATCTAGGACGTTTTTTTCGTCGATCAACACGTAGGTGGCGAAAGTAACGCAGGTGACCTAAAAGGACACTTCGGTAACTCCGGAATTTGAACAGGCTTTACCACGATTTACCATAAAAGGCACGAAATTCCAAATGAACGCATTCGCCGCCCCCAGATACGCGCTTTTTCTCATAACGCTCACTTCTTTGTTCCGTATTTTCATGATTTGCTGTTGGAAACTCGGTTCCCATGCGTACAACTTCAAAATTTTAATCCCGTTCAATATTTCGTTCATTTGTTTCACGCGTTCGTCTTTATTTTTCATGTTTCTCAGCTGAAGCCTCTTAGTTAACCTCACTATGAATCCATTGACAGGAATCAGGAGCAACATGACCGCCAAACCGGCCATTACCGACGGTCCCAGTTCTTGCCACAAGAAGTACATGGCCAGGATAATGTTGAGCGGACCGGACCATATCAGATTCAAAAACATCGTTAACTCTTGAAACTTGTTGGCGTCGACCGCCATTAAATTCACTATTTCGCCGGATGATTTTTCTCTTCTCGCGGCGTTAGATATTCGGAGAGATTTTTTGTAGATGGTGGCCGTGAGTGCGGCCTTGACCCGCATACCAACGATAAAGAAATTTTGCTGGTGTACATTATTGAGTATGGTTTGGATTGCGGCGACGAAGAACATGAGGAACGCGTAAAGTATGCCCTTCCATTGAGATTGACCCGAACCTATGAAGCCTATTAGAATTCTGAAAACAATGTCCTCCGTTTTCATTTCTGTCCATCAGTCCAAATATCATACATATCAATATGTAATTATAAAAATATGTCACTATAAATTTTGTAATAAGTTGGAGAGTTGATAAATCACGGATCTCCTCGGAAGAAATCTTCGAAATTTTGAAATTGATCTAACTTACACAATGTTACTAAAATGATTTAAGTTGTTTCAGATACTTTTGGACTTCGCAGTACTTTATGCACAGTTTATTTCATTATAATAGTGGTGATAATTAAAATTTTGAACACCGATTTGCAGTTAGCAAATACAAATACTTGGAGGTGTGTGTACAAAGTGTTCTTCGTGCGTTACTGAACATTCAAAGGTGCTCTACTTTTTCGAGGCTTGAAAAATGGTATGACCAGATTTTGAATAGCGCCTGAGCTGTATTGTGTTTTTATTATTATATTGTTTCTGATCATTATAATAAAATTCTTATTTTTTATGAATTACCTTAAGATATTGTCATAAAATATAATTTTCTAGTTTCATACAAAACCCATAAAAAACTCAACTTTAACTTAGTTATTTTTATAACTACAGATGGCCGGAAGTCTGAAATATTGAAACAATAATTTTATTATAATTAAATAAAAACGCAATAGTGCCAAATTACCAGAAATCTCAATGACAATATATTTGCGAAAATAAAATTTAAATTAAACCCTCATAGAAAGCATCTAAAACGTATATAATATACTGAAAGAACAGCTTTAAATATTAAATTGCCTATTTTATTTCTTTTAAAACTTGAAGCTATAGGTGCCTATTTAAATTTTGATACCATTTTTCACAGAAAGTTTTCCATAAACACAAATCGAAAATAAAACAAAAATCGACACCTAGCCATGCTTTGATATGTTTATTTTTGTCCTTGCCACGTGTATGATATGGATTCGACTTTTCGGCGGGCAGTGTAGATGATTGTGAAGAATATGAACCTTCCTATAACCTTTAACTATATTTTTTTTGTCGACATGACTCTGTATTTGGAATTTCTTACCCCAGTATCTGTGGATTGGCGAATTGCACTACGTCGGCCACCAATTTCGTTAAAACTCCAATTACAAACGGCAAGTAAAACGCTTTGCATAATGCTGGTAAAACAGACGCCTCTTTCTTTTTGTCGCGTTTCCTGGCGGACGCTTCACTTCCCATTTTCTCCGACGTTGGTCGATGGCCTTTTTCGTCGTATCTAAATCAATCCCATGCATGATAAGACTTTTTATTTGGTATTTTGTCGCATTATTATTAACCTGGCGCATTTATCCAACGATTTTTGAAAGTATTTCTCAAAAGTTGGCACTAGGACTTCGCAGGCGTCATCTGGTCGCATGTCCCACATGTCTTTCGGCTCCAGAGATTTCCTGAATCCTTTTAGCATCATGCGGTCGAAAAATAAGTACGTTAATCGGGAAGGAAACCCAGCGCTTTCCTCTGGATTCTTTTTCTGCAATTCAAAGATTAGCAATTTGGTTTTTGAATAAAATTTATTTCCAATATATTCCTTGACTTTTTTAGGTGCAACTAAATTTATATGACAAGTTTCTAAACGAAAAACTCTCATAAGGTACACGATTTACCTGTTCAGATACGATTTAAATTTTTTTATACAAACGGTTAAACATTTTTATGGTATGTAGCAACCACATAAGAAACATATCTTATGAAAAAAAAACCTAATGTCAAAAATACATTAAAACGTTTTTGCAGAAGATGGCCTGAAAATTTAATTGCGTCAGAGGGGGGTCAACAATTTTAAGGTATTCTCGTTATTTATTACATAACCTTGCATATAATTTGTAAATAATACATACAATAAATATTGTGTGATATAATCTTTCTAGCTATGTAAGGATACAAATATTACTTACACATATTTGAGATTTAGTGTACTATAGAAACTTTTACAGTGAATCTATTGAAGGAATCTTAAGGAAAATGTGTTTCAACTAACAAGTCACATAAAAAATATACAGAAAATAATGCAACTGAAGTAAAACTGAATATACATTATTATATAGATATTAAAATTCCCAGATAAACAACAATTATTTTAAAACAAAAATATTTTTTTGATTTTGTTTTTACATAAAAGTTAACGCTCTACTGGAGGTTCTGCATCCAAAGAAGAAAAAAAAAAGTTCATATTGAAGGTTCTTCGTTGAAGGGAACTTTTTTTTATGACGAATTTCCAGTGGAATGTTGGCAAACATTTTTTGAAACACCCTGTATATCATTTTAATTTTATCAAGAAATGTACGGAATTTACCAACCTTCGCTTTGGCGTAACGGTATTTCCTGGGCGTTCCCTCTCCGAAACAGTTAAGAAGAAGCATTGCTAGTACTAGGGGATAGTATACCAGACAACTGATATATTCGTAGTAGTCTTCAGGGACGCCGTATCTTCTCGCGTCACGAATTTCAGTCCTGAATGGAAATGCTCCGCAAACTGAACTTAGAAACCAAAACATGAACAAAGTTCCGGAACTTTGGACTCCGTATTTCTTGTTGTAGTATGCTAGTCCACCGGCGAGAATCTGGAAACATGGTTGGAAAGGAATTAGAAAAATTTTTCAATCGCTTTTCGTAATTCTAATACGATGAACAAGTACAGTTGTTTTAACAGGGAATGCGTTTAACTTTTTGTATGATTTTTCTGTTTTTTTTTTTTTTTCATATCCGATGGTGTCAGTTCGTTTTTGAGTTATTAATGGAAAATATTTAAATTTTATCACGCCACCTGTACAAGTTGAGATTTTGAACTGCTCAGATTTATTTATTTTTTTTTATTTTTCTTCGATCAATATTGAACGTATCCCAGTGATATAATGTAGTAATTATTATCTTGATGATTATTAATTTCAATTTTCAATTATTGCTTGTGTGGTGTTATGTAAAGGTTTTAGCGGATTATTTATTAATGAGTCATAAATGGAAACATTTTATTTGATTGAAAGATTTCTATCAAAATTGTCGTTTAGTCCCCGTCACTTACGAATGTTATAAATTTTAATGCAGCGGAATAAATGTCTGCTTTGGGACCTTCCGAGTCTCCAGCATTGTGCACTAGATCGCTAATGCACAACGCGCACAGCAAAGCCGTCAGTAGCAACTTAAAACCGTTCTTCCAGTTCCACGGTATATTACGGTCCTTACTCTTGCTAATAAAATAGACTTCGACGATGGCAAACGCCCACAAGAACCCACACGCAATCCATACTAATACCGTCTTCTCGAAACATCTGGTTAGGTCTGGGTCGTCGGTATTCCATGTTAGGGTTTCGTTCTGTGAAAGACGTGAAAAACGATATTTAATTACTTGGATAAGCTAATCAGATGTAGCCAGAATGATTCGTTGGTATTGATGATTGTATAGGTAATTTGTAAACCAAATCCATATTATTGTGACCAATTTCCTGCGTGTAATAATGGGGATACATTTTATGGGATAAAAACGGCTATACTAAACTTACCCAAAATTCTGATCCGCAAAACTTGTCCAGTGCTTCATAGTTCAAATTCATGTTCGGTATGTTCTTGAAAAAACCACCATGGAAAATAGGCGAACAGTATTTTAAAGAAAGTGCGTTCTAGTTGGGACGTCCTGTTTAGGTTTTCTTGCCGACGTTATAACTACAATAATTTTATATATATTTGTATAAAAAAGTAAATTTTCAAAATGTTTTTTTAATCAAATGGAACAACAAACTTTTTAATGAGAAACGAAACACTCCATATCCAACTTATAATCAAGTTTGAACTTCTCATCTTAAAAAGAATCTGTAAGTACTGAGTCAGTGCTAACATCGACATTTTCTCAATAATAATTCTTAATAAATAGAAATAAAAATGAATACGTAGCTGTATATGTATATCAATTTTATAATTCAGCCACTGTGCTTTAATAATCTACATAGGACTTTGCCTGTTTCGAATGATTCACCTAACAAAGATAAAGCAAGCAATTAGAATATTTAATTCGCTATACAATCTTAGATAAACATATTCGAGATGTATTTAATCATAACCATTGATAAAATACATATAATTATTTGTTAATTACGTAAAAGAAGGGATCAAATTTCTTCACATAGTGAGGCATCAATTCACAAATTATATATTGTTGTGCCGAATAGATGGCGTCACTAAGCAGTCGTTTCATTAATTTATTTAATGTATTTATGGAATATATGCACCGCAAAAATGGTAGTTAATATAACATATTCTTCAAGGAATAAATAAATTAAGTAATTTTCAACTTAATCTTGCAAAATAGTACCAACGGTTAAATTTTTCTTTTCACACATGTGGTTATTATATTTTTTCGAAATAATAAGAAGTTCATTATTTTCATCTCGTTATATTACTAACAAAACTAACGTAAAAATAAAAAAAAAGCAAAAAATTTCATATTCAGTTCAGATTCGCATTTTTTTTTCAACTTTTTATAAGAACAATAATTAAAAACTATCAAAATTTAAATTATTTTGCCTATAAAGATTATGGTCCAATATATTAAAATTATTTTCTTACCTTTTGTCCAAACTTTACTTCTCATATATTAATGAGTAATCACATCTTATCACTCCGAAATTTGGTGTCGAATTTAGACGTGCGCCCGCGAAAAGCAGGTTTTTACTTTGGAATGGTAAATATATATTCAGGTAAGAATTATTTACTTTGAAACGCGATAACCGTTTGAAATAAGATACCGTATTATATTCACAAATAGCGCGCGTCAGGGATGGAATAAATATAATTTCAGGACACGTGTAATTGCAAGTTTACGTGTTCCATTCAAAAAAAGATAATAATCTGCTAACTGATCAACGTTGGTTTTGAAATGGAACGATCACTTGAACCGGGAAAAGAATATTTTCGAATGCACGCACGCACGAAACTTATCAATGTGATCGTTTGTTGCAAGTGTAACCCTGCCTACGATAAGATAACACCGAACAATCACTTGAACGTTACTGGCAATTTTCAAAATCTGCGGTATTGTTTCTTGTATATAACAAATAAGTATTTTGAAGGATTCAATGTGGCTTTTTTTATAGTTTCAGACTCTCCATGATTATATATTTTGATACGAGCGCCTGCTTGTTCAACCCCAACCGCTGCCACTATCTTTCGCGTAGTTTTTTGGGATTTTCGAAATATTTATACCATGAAATTCTCTTCTAGAACAAAATTTTCCAAGATTGCTCAGATATTTTTAAAATACCTCGAAAAACCAAAAATTTTTCCCAAATTGTCGGAAATAATGTGAAATTCTTCGCAGTTTTGAAAAAAAAAGAATAAACATTTCGTCAAATATGCTTCTCAAAGTGAAAACAAAATAGACTTGCCTAAAAAGTTTTTTTAGAGCCAATTGGGGTTTCGGGTGACCTCTTCAGTGCTTAATAAACGAGTGACTGAAAAAGTTTACCAACGTGTTGGATACTATACTTTTTCTACGTTTTTGGGGCACATTTCTGCAAAACAACAAGGATACATTTATTGACATGACTGTAAGCCGTGGGTAATAGTTCCGAAAACATTCAATTGCTCCTAAACCCACACGGTAATATCGCGGAAATATCCGAAGTGGGGTGAGCAGAATAGTATATTATACAACAAGTATATTATGCGTTAAGTGCGGTAAACGGTATTTGACTCACGAGTTTATTTGACACGAGCAGAGCGCAGCGGAGCAAGTTTTTAATAAACGTGCGAGTTAAAAATTTTACCGAACGTGTTGCATGTTATACTTTTTCTACGACCGTTAGTTTTTGGGTACATTTCCATCAAAACATCCGATTGCTCCCAAACCCGTGCGGTAAAATCGCAGAAATGTCCGAAGTGGCTCGGATCGGTGAGAAACGAAACTGACGTAATAAAGTGATGTTTCCCGCACACTAGCTCGCTGTTTAATTAGGCATTTTACAGACGGGAATAGAAAAAGAAACATTACTTTGCGGTAAGATTCGTTTCTCACAGATCCGAACCACTTCATGCATGAGTTTTGAAACAATAGGATTTTTGAATTTTAATTCCGGCGGTCATGTTGGTCAATGTGTTCTTATTTTTTTGCAAAAAATTACGTTCGTAGAAAAAGTATAGTGCACAACACGTTTGGTAAACATTTTAAGTCACTCCTTTTTAAACACTCGCTTTGCTCATGCCAAATAAACTCCCGACTCAAATGCCATTACACTTGTTACATAATATGCTTTTTTTTTTAAAGCACCCAAAAATAGATTTTTTTTTACCCCATAGTCAATACCCAATTACGCGCCGGCTAAGCATGCGCATATTGTCACTTGCAAACGTCAGCCTCATTAATCACTTCGAGTGTTTCCGTTACTTTAGTCCCCTTTGTCAGGTCCGAAGGTGTACATAAGCAACTCGTCACCATAATGTCGTCAATAGAGCTACTAATATTATTAAAATTTGATATTTGAATCTTTCCATTACTTACAGATCGTAAAATATTTTCGAGGTGGAGGTGGTAAAGAAAAATATTTGCAATATATTCCTGATATAACTTTATTGTAAATATAAAAGAAACTAAGATAATCAGTATGTAGTTACAATCTGAAAATAAAACAAACCAAAGGATTGTTATAGTTTTCATTAGTTATAAATTAACCAACTTTTCGATATAATAGCAGCACGGATGTTAATTGGTATATGGTATAGAAACATACATTACCTACGTAATAGTCATTATTACGCAATAAGGTTTATCATAAATTACGCAAAAAAAAGTAAATACTAAAAAAGAAATATGGGAAAACAGAGCAAAAATCAAAAGATTTCCAATGATTTCCAGTTCTGTTTGTCAGGTACATACATCATTAGAAGTTTCATACATTTTTAGTATTTTCCAGTACAAGCAGAACAGAGATAGCTGATTGCTTGTTTTTTTTCCCAGGGTTTTGTGTTAAGACCAAAGAACGTGACACGGATACCAAAGTATTTGTGAATATTTGTAAAATCGACGCCATCCCGCCCCCCAGAGACATCACGGAACATGAACTCACGGATATTATGGACTCGGATTCGAGCGACTTCAAAATTCCAATGAGTATCGGCGACCTGCGAATGGAAAAAGACAAAAAGGGCAGCGACGCGAAAGTATATGACGTCGCGATACATCCCAATTTTTTCGATAAAATCGTCAGATACCAAAGTTTCAAAAACTTTTTCCTTGCCGTCGTGTTTCAAGGACTGGAAAACAAATACGGTAATTTAAAAATATAAATACATCGTGTTTGGGATACTTGCTACTGACCAAAACTTGAGTAGGTGTTCCTCATTTAAATATTTCTCCATTTTTTTTTGGGAATTTAAAATAATGAAAAAAAAAAAAGAAATAGAAATAGTTACAAAGACTGAAAGTGTAGACTTTTTTTGGCGGAATATACAATTTTTCGTTTATTTATAGGCCTCAAATGTGCAGACGAGATGATAATCCTCAACAACCGAAAAGCTTACGGAACGCTGCAGGCACATAGGATTCAGCAAAGAGAAATTGACGAGAAGATGGGCAGAGTTCCAGCAAAAACTGCGTTGGACGAAATGACTGGCGAAACGCAAAAATCGAAAAATGTTGTAATCGAAACAATATCGACCGTGGAGTTTACGAAAAAAGTACCAGATTACCGAATTTATAAGAGAAAATCTGGACCTAACTGTTTGATCGGGGAATTTCTTTTGCCTAATGTGGTATGTGTTTGTAACTTTAATTATCGAAAGATATATGCAAAAATTGGCATGATATGTGTTTTTCAAATCTTTTATATTATAAAGCACATGTCCACCTGGATATATAATAATAACATAATAAGGACCATTCATTATTATTATTATTATACACCTAAGTGGTTGCTAAAATATTTTTAATTGTTGTAATTGTTTCTATTATATAATAAAATCACACCTTTAGGTCTTATTTAATATGACTTTACAAAGGCCGACTTAAGAGTTTTTAATATATATTCCTTTTAACAGTTTAATTTTTAATCGTTTGTACTAGTGAAATATTATTAAAAAAAATCTATTATTTAAGCATATACTTCCAAACAAGCCATCTCACCTAAAAAGCAACTTGCAAAAAACTTATGTAAAATATTCATAAAATTTAAAATATGTATTTGGAATTTTGAGTCTTTGCCTTTTAGGTGTCTACCAATGAACTTACTTTGGACGTTGGTGAAGATAGAATTGTATTGGAATCCAGCACCTACTTACTAGATATATTTGTTCCCTATTTTATTCGAAATGAAAAGTGCACCTGCGCGTTCGATCAAACCACCAAAGTAAGTATATTTATATATTGTGACGAATTAAGTAATTACATATTTATAAATAATTATATATTTCACGAGAAATGCCCTAATTTCTTTTGTATTCGTGGTCAACCTTTGACATTTTTATTTTTTGACTTTTTAAAAATATTTATGACCACAAAACTCGGACTTTTCTACTTAAAATTTTTCATTTGCGACATCTGAAACATACTGTATTTTATATAGACAGAAACTTGACTATGTACTAATTAAGTCAATTTCCAGATTTTGACATTGCAAATGCCATTAGTAGGAGGATAGTTTCTCTAGGACAACAGTTTGCGACCTTCAATAAAAACATTACTTAAAACATACATTCCATTTAATTAAAATACCTTATTATATTGGAGGCAATATTTATTGACACAAAAACTGGAAAAACTATAAAATTAAAACATAACAAAAACTTAAATCTACTTGTATCACATGTTGTAAGAAAGCACTTCTGGCTAGCACTAGGATCGCGTTATTTATTTGGTTCAAAAATGTGATGAAGTTCTTAGACATCGTGGGAAAAAAAGGTAAAATACTCGTTCGCTGGTGGAATGACTTAAAAAAAACACTGGCTTATTATTACCAACTAAACTAAACTATCAACTAAAACTAACAAAAAAAATTTATAACCAAAGAAAGATCAATTCCATGGCGAACTCTATATCAACATTAAAAATAAAAAATACTTTCCAAGAATTAAATTTTTCTTGGAAATCAGTGCTTAGTTAAAGCTTCATAATACAGTTAATTTTAAGCAATAATGACGGTAAGCGGTATTGTAAGACTGTAGTGATAGAGACAAGATTCATTAACATATCTCAAAGAAAGCAGTGGAGACAAACAGTATTAAAAAGAGTGTGTCAAAAAATTTGAAAGTACATATTCGGGTGTATTCAAATTCCTATTTCGTTAAAGCTAATTTAATTTAGAGGACATAGCAACTTGCCAATTTTAGTTGGATGGTTAGGCCGAATCTTGACTGCAAACTATTTTTCCGTAATGCACTTTTTTAGAAATGATAAGTTTGAAACTTTGCATAAATTATACACAAAAAAAATAAGAGCGGAATTGTAAAGTTGATTTCAATAGGATTAGAAAAAAACTGTATTGACCTCTAATTTTTTTTGTTAGATTTTGCCTTAAATTACTAGGCTGGTAGCGGTATATAAAAAGCAATGCAGATGATTCGTGATTAAGTCTTTTATATCTTTTGGTGCTCTAACAATCCAACTACATCTCAGTAAAAAATGTAGGCCTTTCAATCCTTAGAAATCGAAACATTTGCGGCAACAGATACAATATGTTAAATCCAATCATGCCATAAGTGATGAACTTACAACCCAAATCGACGGCAGTTTTGTGTTTGTTTTGCAGAGTATTTTCTGATTTTTTTAAAGTTTCCTCATTTTGTCTAAGCAGAGTGCATATAAAACTGTAAGACAAACTTTTAAATACCAGCCGAGTGAGAAAAACAAAGAAAAATCCAATTAGAGTTCTAAGCAATAAATAACCAAACATACTATAAGATGGCCACATAATCATATATGGTGCAGGTAGATCTGACTGTGTCATAAGGCCTGTTTGATAGTTAAGCCATGCTCCTATCATAACTCCAACACAAACAGATATTACCATGGTAGTGTCCCCTCTATAAAACAAACATTTGTTAAGTCATTTTAAAACTCTTTGTGAAGTTCACCTTGTAGGCGTCCATTTTCCACTATTTGGATAGTACACAATCATCAATATTGATAAAACAATTAGCAAGAATGGTGCCAAAGGATTGGTTATAAAATAGTCATCCAAATAGTCAACAAGGGGCACAAGTGGAAACATTAACGTGGTGACTAATGCCAAACCAGCCAAAACATCCTAGAAATAATAAAACATGAAAATATGCACGTATGAGATTTTTTCACGCTTACCAAAACGGAATGCATGCCTAAATATAATCTGCTGATGCATATAACACTGCACCACAAAATTGCTACAATTAATCCTAAGGATTTGTTGTACTGATATCGGTCCATTGTGTAGAAAAGTACAGAAAAAGGTATAGAAGCGCCGACCATGGCGTGAGTTGAAGGCATACCATATTCAAGCGCCCATTTCTGCTGCAGCTGAACAACTGGTGGGCCCGGTCTGGGTATTCTCAAAATATCTTTGATGCCTTGTCCTTAAAAAATACTTTTAAAAATTAAACTTTTATTCCATTAATGATACAATTTCAACATACAGATCGCCAAATCTTTTGCAAAAAGATCTTATTATTTTCCCCAGTTTTTAAAAAGATTGGGCATGTCATTTATATTAGTTTTAACCAAGCCATATAACTTTAGAGAAGCAAAATAATAGTAACTTGCTAACAGAGAAAAGCAAATGCTAGATAACAAAAACTTACCAATATACATAACTATTGTCCAAACCACAATTACCCGTCTTCCTACTGCTCCGTCAATGTTCCAAAACCAAAAGGGAATGAAGGTGGAATAAAAAACTTCATCCCCCAAGGCAGTACCAAATACAAATAAATAATACCAAAACCTGTTGGTGATAACATATTTCCTTTCACTTTGCTCCACCGCTTTTATGTCTGTCAGTACCCCAAAAAATCTTTGGATTTTTGCAACCAAAACAGGACTTTTTAAAATTTCCATTTTATCTGTTATTACTTATGTTTCACAGGTTAAAGGAAATGCATATTTTCCTACAAATTGATTATTTTCAACTAAGCAAATTTTTAAGTATTGTTTGATACTCTAATTTGGAAATGGTGTAATACACATTTTTTACTTTGGGTTGAAGCAGTTTTTTTTTAATGTGGTTGTAAACCATATACACAAAATATTTTTATATTATTACAGGCTTTTCCTTAATTTTTTTTTTATTTTAAAAATATTTGTTGAGACGTACTTACCGGCACTATTTAAATAACTCGATTGGTATTGCCTGGGGTATTGCATTACAAAATGTGGATAGCTGTTACCTGATAAGGAAGTTTTATCTTCTTAACTTTCATTTACCTTGAATTATTGTAGTCGAAATTTGTTAAACTTTATTATCTTAGTCTACAATTTCAGTCTTTATTAAATGTTATTGCTAGGTTATTAAATCTTTAGATATGATTGTAGCTGGTAGATAAAGTAGGCTGAAAGCAAATAAAATTTTATTTTTGCTCCTCAATTAATAAATAAAACTTGTCTTCCATTACCATTTTTACAATAATTATTACACAAATATTTTGAACTACAATCAGAATTAAATAAAAATAAATTAATTAATTAATTCATACACTTCCAATTCAGAGTAAAATTTGACATGAGCACATACCACTGTGGTATTCTGTGATAAAGATTTTTCTCTTCTTACTCTTTGCCTACAAAACTGGATAATTTTACTGAAGCCATTCGCTCACTTTCAACATTCGATCACTAAACATTGTAACGTTAATATCAATATTATCTGAGGTGATCATTGAACTTCCAAACGAAAGCTGCAGGATGGAAGAAGTGTTTATAGAACTCACCTTTACATTCTGTGGTGGAGCATTGCACGCGGCGGTTTAACCTCTGTTCGCTCCCGACAGAATCCCATGTATTCGTGCCAAAAATTTTGATATCGGTTTCCACGGTGTGGATTTGGTGTTCTAAGTGTTCAGTGCACGCCTTAAAGTGATAATCGTCGTCGGCCCCGTCGTTTTTCCCTGTTCACGCCGGTATGGAGGCCGGATGGGCCCGGAGGGTGGAAGCGGGGGGAAGCCGATTTTTTTGGTATCGGTCAGAAGCCATTGTGGAAGCGGGGGGGTGTCGGTTTTTTTGGTATCGGTCAAAATTGTTTTTTGCTAGTTGAGCAAATATTGGTTATATGTCTTCTTTGTACGTGTTGCCCATGACCAAAAGCGAAGATCCTCGACGGAAGTCGGCAATGGGCGAATGATCCTAGCAGTCGAGCCCAACATTTTTTTGTGAAACGCATAATTGAACTTGAACTTGAACTCACCTTTACAACTTAGTATTCTGTGATCCGTAGTTATTGTTTGTCTATGCTTCAACCGTTAAAATTCAAAAACCTATTTTTATTTCATAATTGACGATTGAAAACATTGCAATGGAATCAGTGCATGTAACACCTGAAAGGCAAACCGGGAAAAATAAATTAAAGATTCCTCCTTCTCCTTTTCTGAAAAGAATTGGTTTTGGAACAGGTATTTCACTACATAATTCCGGTAATAGCACTTATTCAATCTTTATCTTTTAGGAGTAGCAGTATATGAATTGGAAAGATCACCGGCTTTTAACAATGTTTTGTCGCCTTGGGCAATAAAAAAGTTAATAAAACGGAAGTCTCTCAACATTGACCTCCAAAATCGATTAAAAAATGAAGCAGAAATATTGCGTAGCTTAAAACATCCTAATATAGTTGGATTCCGAGCATTTCTAGAACAGCCTAATGGTCACATTTTGGCCATGGAGGAATGCATAAGTAGCGTAGGCGATTTAATTGAGCAGAGATGTGAGGAAGATCTTGGACCCTTTCCTGCACAAATAATTAGAAAAGTATCAACTGATTTGTCTCGGGGTTTAAATTATTTGCACCATGATGCTCTTCTTATTCACTGTGATGTAAAATCTTATAATATTTTGACGACAGGATATTTTGGCATTTGTAAATTATGTGATTTTGGTGTCTGTCTTCCTGTTACAAGAGAAGGGAGTTTGGATACGGCTAAAGTGGGTGAAGATGCAGAGTATATAGGAACAACCTCCTGGTGTGCTCCAGAAGTTCTTTTGTACCCACAGATTATTACAACTAAAGCCGACATTTATTCCTTTGGATTAGTGATTTGGGAAATGATAGCTCTTTGCCCACCAATTCAGAATGAATTGGCCAACAATATTAGTCAGGTCTCTAATAGTGATTCTGAAATTGAAGAAATTCTAGATAATAGTATGCACAATAGAATGCGTCCTGCAATACCAGACAATGTTGTATTAGGTCCTGAATATTCTGATATTTTAGGAGTTTTTTATTGTTGTACTGATGCGCAAAAAGAGTTAAGACCTACAGCAGGCAATCTAGTTAAGATTTTGGAAATTTAAAAGTCTTAGTATATAGCGTGTTTTTAAATCTTTAATGTTCACATTTTCTGATGAAAATTTTAGTCATCTAAATGTAATAAATATATTTGAAATATAAATGTGTTGAGAAGATGTGATATAAAATTACCAGGTAATTTTTTAAAGTAAATTTTCATATTGCATATAAGAATGGGACCCTGTCCAGACACAAATCTCACTCTTTAAGAAAAAATAGTAAAATTTATATTTTTATATACAGTATAAAATACATTTTTCTATTTACAGTAAAAATAATTTTAGTCAAGATGACCATAGTCATATACTTTCATGAATAAAACTTAATACCTAATGATTTACATTTTGGACCTATTCTATTGGTTATCACCTGTTACTTGAGTTACAAGTGGACCTCTATTCTGCTGACTCCTGCTGGTTAAATTTCGTCCATGCATAATTTGTGGTGGATATAGCTGCCTTTGGTGTAATTGATGTGAGTACTTTCTGACGTGTGGTTCTGTTTGTTAAAATTGGACGCTTATTATTCATAATAATTTCAGCGATTTTAATTATATCCAGAAACATTGTGAAATTGTTTTTATTTAAAACTAAGTTTCACATTACTTCGGATGTCTTTATATGAAGCAGTTCCTTATTTTTGTACTGAAAATGACATTTCCATAAGTCAAAATAACAGCTTGACAGTGTTTTTATGGAATAGTAAATCATGTGACACTTGATTTTGACAACTTTTTTGTGCTTAATTCAAACATCGATATTGAACCTATTCAATTAATTCATTTTCAAATGGCGACTAATAATGTTTTAGAGACACTATTATTATTGCTATTAGCATTAGTTTATTTTTTGGTTATTTTTTAAACTTCAACTGCAACGCGGCTTAGTTGTAAGTTACAATAATTTTGGTTAATATATATTACGGTGGAATAAGGGGTTTCAGAGAATTGCACACCCTTCCAACTCATTAGCAATATATTATATATATTGTTTTTATCGCACTAATTTAATATGCGTGATAATTGTTTGCACTTCTTGGACGATTGCCGATTTTTTTTTATGTTGTAAGGTTGATTTGAAGTTCTTTATTAACGAAGAAAGCTGATTGTCTGGTAGGTTGACGGACCGGTGGTCAATTTTTTCAAATTTAATTTGGATTTTTTTTTAAATTTTGTATTCGGTCTTTGAAAAGAAAGCTCGCTCTTGAATTAAACAAACGAAATAATAAAATTTGTATTTTTATATAATTATATACAATATAAAATATATTTTTCTATATACAGTAAAAATAATTAAATTTAAAATGGCAATAGCCTTAAGATACACTTTCATGAGCGGAATAAAACTTAACCTAAAAATTTACACTTTCGTCCCATTCTTTTGGTTATCACCTATTGTTACTTGAGTTACAAATGGACCTCTATTCTGCTGACTCCTGCTTGCTAAATTTCGTCCATGCATTAGTTGTGGCGGTGGCTGCCTTTGGTGTGAATTAAAATTTACATCATGATATCCATTATGTCCACTTGGGGGCTGATTCACGTTAGTACTCGTTTGACGTGTGGTTCTATTTGTTAAAACTGACTGGACGCTTTCATATTCATAATAATTCGATACAGGTCTCAGCTGATTGTCAGGTCTAGACTGTCGCTGGGAATGATATTGATGTTGCTTTCGACTGGAATACAATACAACATAATTAACAAGAGTGTCAATAGAAATTTCATGTAATTAACTAACAATTATAGACTAATATAAATAATACTAATACCATGTACTAATACCAATAAGGAAAAGAATTAAAAACAATATCTGTCATGAGTGGTATAAGTCAATTAGAATGAGATACTGCTTATACACATCCATGCTATAGAAGATTGTATCGTTCCGCTTCCGATTTCAGATCAAAATAAATAAAGTCAGAAAAGAATACAGAACCCATATTTCCCTGGCCAGCGGTAATAGATGAAATTTAGGAACGCTATTTTAGTGCTGAATAGTATCCGGAAAAATGGTGAAAGTGGTTCTATTTTAAAACAAGTTTCACTGGAGCCATTCATACCCAAATTTTGATATTAAATTAATGACTAATCCGTGTTTACAATTCAATTATTGGGTTTTTTATTCCCATGCTAGAAATCATAGAAGATACTAAGAACGGTAAAATTACCTAACTTAAAACTCATGAGTTAAAAAGTGCTGGATGTTAAAATGACCAATCACCAAGCATGCTACAACCCAAAAGAAAAAAAGAAAAAAGCACCTACAAAATAAAGTTAATCTACACAGTAGTTTGTGTTGATGGCTAAACTTCTTGGTGCATACCTCTCTTCCTCCACCTTTAGTCTTTGTTGTTGAACCTGCAGGCGCATCTGAACTATCTGACTCTCAGATAAAGGGTCTTTGCGGCTGCCAATACAAAACACCAACAATTACACATACACATGAGAGGCGCGGATGTGGTGAACATGAAATGGCGTGAATTGACGTATTTATGTATTGAAATGCATAAACATAAATGATTTGTGGAACATATGGATACTGTGTTTAAAAATTACTAGAAAAACTCCAGTAAATTATCAGAGCATTGCACGCTTGCTAGGAATGTTTAGTCATTTTTTGTCAATTTTAATTTCAAAAGGTTCAAATTTATAATTCTTTATAATTTCTTCCCCATAAAATTACTAAATTTTTAAGTGTGTGAAATTTTAAACGCACTATGCAATACAAAATCGAGATTTGCAGATTGATTGATTAGAATGTAAATATTTTTTCTGGACATATCTTTAAACTATATCCGTTTGTTTTATATGGGATATTTTAAGTTTAATGTTTAGTTTCATCGGGGTTGTCTTGAAGCAGCTTAATTGCGCTCTTAAACGGACTGTTATTATTATTACGTTTGTACTAGGTCATGGTGCGCCGCATTGCATGTACAAAATTGAAATAGTGCTTAATATAACATGTATCATGCTACAAATCGATGTTAGTTACAAAGGGGAATGTGCATCGCAACATAAATAACCGACATTCTAATTCCCTTAAAAATAAAAATAAGTTATGGATCCCAATATGTACCGACTTACCTAATATGACTCTGCAGCTCGTTGTAATTGACGTAGTGAGTGAATGGTACAGTTTCGGTGATACCCGAACGGCTTCCAGGCCGACCAAACTCCCCATACTGCGGTTCTCTGTTATGATCCACCCTCTAATATAAAAACAACACTCAAAAAATTCTGCTTATAAACTTTTTCATTTCTTCTATTATCCACCAGTTTGTTTTTAAATAGATATTTTTTATTTTTAAATATTTTCCAATTTTAAATTTCAAAGGTGTTATCACGACTCTTATGACTCGCCCCACCCTCAAATTTTGCCAACCAACATTTAAATTATTTTGCAAGTTCCTAAATAAATTAAAAATAAATATAAAAAATAAAACGTTTTTATACAGATATAGTGAAGCCTAGCGTTATAGCTGTCCCAGATAAGCATTAGATTATTTTACCTTAAAGAATTTCTCACTGCTCTGCACTATTTCCTTTGACACAAGTATATAAAAGATAAATGATGATTATTGCAGAAATCATTGTTTCTTTTTAAAATTTTAATGAGAAAGAAAAGTAAATTCATAACATTATTGAGAAAAATGTGAACTATCAAGTATTTCTATATTATTATTTAACAGTTTCAATATTCGAAAGTTCACTCTCATTGAATTCCAATTACCTGTGGATGCTTTTGATCGTAAATATTATCTCGTTCGTCTGATTGATAATATGTATGTCTCTGATTCATTCTCTGCCTTTGAAAATCTCTGTCGTGTCGTCTTTGGTCTGAATATTGACGGTATTTAATAGGCGGAGCTACCGTATTCTCGGGTATAACCTAAAATAACTACTTGGTAAGTAAAATATTAGATAAACTATTATCACCAAGTACATTATTCAGAAAGAAAAAAATCACCTGGACTTGCTCGGCATGTCTGTGGATAAACCCATGCCTTTGATACAAAGGTTCTCGTTGAATATGTTGCTCCCTTGGGTATTGTTCTCTATGAGGCTGATGGTTATTTGTATGTGGGTGGGCGTTAGCCTCTTGATGCGACTGCAAACTTTGCTGAGGCTGTAATCTCTCTCTTTGACTCAGTGGTTTTTGATGATCGGATTGCTGCGAATGCTGCGACTGGTTGTCACCATCTTGCTGCGGCATTTGCTGATGACTGCCCTGCGTCTGATGTAAATGCTGAATGTTGGCGTTGGTGTCAAACTCGGCATGTTGGTGGTAGTGTTGGGCGGGTTCTACTAATTCGATTTTTCGATGTTTCCCAAACCTGAACATAGACCCAATGCCCTTAAAAATGCCGGGTTTCTTTTTTCCTGGTTTATTTTTATTGTCGATAGCGGCGTTTAACGATGATTGCCTCGGAGCTCCTCTGATATTGGCAAAACCATCTATTTCACGTTCCTCCACGGGACCGTCTAACAACCAATGTTTTTTAGCACCTATATTAAACAAAAATGTGCACCTCGTCGTGTTAAAAAATCGAAAATTTATTCTATACCTATTTCGCTTCGATGATTTGGGTCGACAACGGCAGCTCTAAAACTCTCTTCGCATCCCCTGCCGCGAATAACTTTTAAGCCACCAGTAGGTCCTCTGTAACTGTATGCTGGATCACTCTCTTCCTGCATTTGAATCTAAACATTTTTATTAAATCAAATTATTCTTTAAAAATCGAAATCCAATACGAACCTCCTGCACCATGGTCTGTAGTGATTCCAAGCTGGAAGATTTCTTCATTCCGAGCGAAGGACCAAGTTCGCCTAACTTATCAGCAGCTAAAAATAGTAAAAATTTAAATGCAACCGTAAAATTATTATCTTATACAGGGTAATTCAAAGAATATGCTCCAACGCTCGCCTGAGAATTCGTCATTATAAAAAAACATATTAATGAAAAATTTCAGGGAATAAGGAAATTTTTACTCCTTAGGGAGAAATGTATTATATATCTTGAAATTTGTTTTTCTTGTCTCTTATACTTATTCACGATATTTTTGCTACTAAATTAACATCTAGCCTATTCACCTATCTATTAAATCGCAATAAAAATGGAGGACCTTCCATATACCGATTGCAGGTCTCTAACAAAAAATTTGTTAAGCTATTTAGACTAACAAAACCTCTTGGGGTGTCGCCTCACTATATAGCTACCAGAACTATAGAGGCCCTGCTTATACTGACAGTACAGAAATTCATAAAGAAACTATGTAATTTTTTTTTTTGGTTAGTTTAGTTAGATTTAAAATTTCGTTTTCAACCAATGGCAGCTCTAATGATCAATCCTGACGTAGGACCATAAGACCTTGCGGCCCTCAACAACATGGCCGCTGACAGAACGTCAATGTTTACGGCAGTATTTTTTCAAAATATGTCGAACTCCTACTACATTTGCAGGTAAAAAAGGAATGCAGAATTGTTGCAGCCATGTCGGCATCAGTATAATTCTTTAATCAATTGGGCGTGTTTGTTCTTCAAGCCCTGCAGATACGATGGAATTCCTACATACATATATTTTTTGTGTCAGTTTTTTTTTTGTAAATCGGCGCAAAGCGTTAGTTTTCATAACCTCCATTAAAATAACTTTGAGATGATAGGATATCGCACATTAAGTGAAAAAAAAATTCAAGAAGCACCTCCTATAGACAGTAATTGATAAGGGGTATTTCTTAGGGTCGTTCTAATAAAAATTCAACTTGTAGCTTAATTGCTTTCTTATATTTCCTGTAATTCTTATACATTAAGACATATTACCTAAACATCCTTCCTCGCTAATTAAGTGTACCTAAAAATATAGGGAATTGTGTGTCTATTTTCCAGTTTGTTAAATGTCAGATATATAGGCATCACATTTGGCTGTAGTTTCGTGAAAAAATAAAGTATTGGAAGCACAAATTATACAAGTTATAAGTACAGTATATTGTCACCAGAAATGAAGAGAGCAATGGCACAGACCACAGACTGTGCTGCAACAATAGTAATTACTAAGCTCGGTGTTGCCAATTATGTTCGGAGAGATTGATGTTGCGTTGTTAATGAATTTTCCAGAAGAATTACAGCAATGTAGCAACTCAATTTTTACCGTAGTAGGCACAGTATATTATCTTATATAATTATATATCTATATTATCTTATAGCTATATGGGCCCCTCATCTGAGTCTTATCTGTTATATAGGAGATCAGGTCAGTATTCTCCGTAATTGTATTAAAAGGACAGATAAATAACAAAAGATGAAAAAAGTCAGTGACGTACATCTCTTTGAGAAGACACGAAATGACGTTGCCAAATTTCAATATTTTTTTCCCTACACTCTGCAGTCGAACGTTGGCGGTTTTTTAAACACCCTGTATAATATGATAGATCGTGAGATTTATTTCTAGCGAGAAATATGAAATATGCTTACACTCTTGATGTTCGGATGACCGATTGATGCTTATTACAGACTCCACTGAACCAACTCGCACTAAATTTGCTGTTAAATGCAAAATGAACAGATATGTATTAGCACATTAAACAAAAAAGCTGTACAAACAAAAAACAGATTGATATGGGACTGCAAAAAGCAACTAAAATGAGAGAATATTAGGTTAAAATTGGATGCGTAATGAGTATTATGATCGGAAATTTCGTATTCATTTGGAACTCACCATCTTTCCCTTTGGTCCGTTCTTCTCTCAATTTCTTCGTCTTCTGATAGGTGTCGGTGTGTTTGGCGTCCAAAGTGGCGTGTCTTTTCTCAGACATGCTTTGTCTTCCAAAAGCATCTCTTGAAAAGCCTTGCGGATTCTCGAGCGACAATTGGCTAGCATAGGTAGCGTCCGTATTAAGGACAGTGGTTTGGGAAGAAGTATCAGTGGTTTTGTCCTGGTTGCTTGTGGACATGCTGGCTTTCCCGTCAGGTTCGTGGTCTTTTCTGTTTTCTGGTGTAGTTCCGTTTAATACTTTGGGTTTGTTTATTATTTGACTATTACTCCTATGAATAGACAAAACGTTTCGCACGAACATTGCATTATAATGTTGCGGTACTCACTGTTGCTTTTGAAGGGGAATGACTCTTGATCCATACTCGTCTTCTATTAATATCGGTTCTGCGGTACCCATGTTGATAGTACTACTGGTCATATTACCAAAAGAATTATTAGTCATCATACTGCTACTCCACGTGTCGTGAGTCGCCTTATAATAACTCTCGTTTCTTAATTGCTGTTTTCCAGTCAGTCGCTCAAGCACTGGGTTCCAGGTATGCATTGGACTCAACTGATGATGTTGGAGGTTACCATCAAAACCGTTCTGGTGCGGGTTAAAAATAACCGTATTAGTAGACCCATTGGAAGTATTGGAATTGGAGTTTTCACTGGAGGGTTCCGTGGAATTTTCCACGGAATTGAACAGATCTTGAGAAGCTGAAGTATTTAGTAGACTTTCATTGGACCTGTTTCTATTAGCACCCGGAGATGATGCCCTTCTGGCGATCGTTAGCGTTATATTGCCGGGAACGGGGCCCTCCGTGTGAAGCATTGCTTTTCTTAAAGTTTCCATTGCGTCGCTGTTGGATTGTTGGAGCAAAGATATGCCGTTTACATTCAAAAGTTGGTCGTTAGTGCGCAGTCTTTTATCTCTCGACGCAGCTCCGCCATGTATGACACTTTTAATGAATATTCCTAAATCACCGGATTCGCTAGTTTTTCCCTTTACGCTAATACCTAGGCCCGCCTTTTCTGAATCGTGCACTGGTATGTTAAAAGTCAAAATTTCTCTGTGCTTCCAAGGAAAGATCATAGTGTTGTCGATTTTCTCCGGTGGCTGAAAAGTCATCATCAACATATTAATATCTAGATATTGTGGCTAATGACAGTATAATGAAAGGAAAACGCTATGAGAGAATAACAGGTTCAAAGATGGATTAGTACAGGTGTTGAAACTACAACAAGCTACAATGTGGGTTAAACCTACAATTACAAAATGTGAACTGGAATTACATTGCTTATGTTGGCTGCCTCTTGGAATTGGGAAATAATTTTGGCAACTGAACCGCCCTTTTCGGGTGTTCTGTTTTGCAGTGCCTGAAGGTGACTTTGAGGTAACGGAGGAATATTTGGGGGTACGTCCGTATTACTGTTAAATCTTTCTGCGTTCCGTTCGTCTTCTTTCTCTTCAGTCTCATCGATTCCCTGCGTACGAGACATGCATACATGTCAGATGTTTATTTAAAAGGTTAAACAAAGTATTAATTAAATATTAAAAATAATAAAAAAATCTCGATTTTAATTGGTACAGTTGTGCATAGCTTACAATTTCGAGATTGTTTAAAAAAAAATGTTGGTGGAAAATGCAACATAGTTATTATCAATCGAAGATAAATGCTGAAATTGCGAAGTGCCGATGGTCCACTTGAACGGCAATAAACAAAAAGTATTACATTTATTACTGTCCATTACTATCAACATGCATGTGCGTGGGTATTACGATATTTACATAGATAAAATTCTATGCGCAAGGGTGCCATATGAAATACTCTACCTACTGACCTATAGGTAGGACCCTATATTCAACTTTCCCATGTGATTCTATATTTGTTATCAATTAGTTCTAGGAAAAAAATTAAATTAAAATTACATTTTAAATTTCAAAACATTTGCGCGTTTACACAGGGAAATAAACTTATCTATTAATTAAACCAAAAAAAAATTGTAATGATATCAAGAACGACCGAATATCAAATAAATAAATTGAGTAAGGTTTTCGGGCATGGATTCTGTCAGGGTTTGCTGTTGTCGATGTTCGCTCGATGCCGAATTACAAATGGAAATAAGCAAAAGCAGCGTGAACGTCACGAAACACTTGAGAAAAATTTTACCATATTTTGGAACAGCAGACAAATTCACAAAGAACAGTTAGACAATGAAAAATTCGATCCTTTCTCAGTGTAATAAAAGTAGTCTTGGATTTCGTAATACATTTTTCATAAAAAAAAAACAGTAATAATAAACAATTAAATGTTTCGCTTTTTCAAAAAGTCTTGATCCACTTTTCCATAAAAAATATATTTTTTTTAAGTAAATGTAAATATAGATATGTCCGGCTTGCAAAATTGAAGAATAACTCACCAAAAGAAAAAACGAAATTATATTGACAAAAATATTTGACAACTATAAATATCATTCTTAGAAACAGTATTTTTACGTGATAAATAATTGCATTTCCTGCTTGGCAAAATATTTGCAAAAGCGATCAACGAGGCAAAAATTTCGGTAACTTGACATTGGTTTCTATTTGAAAAGGATTAGTTCTAATTTAATCCAAACATTCAGTGTAAGTAGCTTATTATACTTTTCACTAACACGGTATGTTAGCTTTCCCGATTGGTTTAAACAAATTATGTTTTCAATTGATTACTCATTTAACCCCAATCTAAATCATCTTTCTGTTGCTGATTTATATTAATGGGATGTTCCCGTTGTTTAATTACTTTATTTACGGATTTCATTCTTAGTGAAATCATTTACACATTATTCGATGATCAAAAAACAGTTTTTTTAAATATTTTAATTTACCAAAATAAGTATGTTTAAACAATATTTTTATTTTTTGAAGAATGGCAAAATTTTAAATTCTATTTTTAATTTTTTTTTAACGATTACGGCAGGTGTAAAAAATACCAAAATACTGTCATATAAATGATAAATTCAAATTAGTAATTTTTGTTATTACATATAATAATATTTATAAATTTTATTTATATAATGGCACGTTCCTATTATTTATTACTAAGTTAGTTGCTTTTGTATTCAAAACAAGATCAGAAATAGTCAATATATATTACAACCATTTCAAAGAAGATCAAACTAACCAAAAAACACAGACAGGTAGAAAAATTGAAAAATGGTATAAAGTAATCTCTTATTACAATTATCTACCATTAGTATTAATATATATGACAACGAAAATAATCCTCATTTACACTCATCTTGTTCAAAATAAAATTTTCTCATTTTGGATCAAGTATGCTGTGGATAACCAATTTTTCCTTAAGCAGATGAAGAAGCTCAAATGTTATTTTGTTGGTGATTCCCGGCCCTTACGATTTCTACTTCATAAATAAAATTCGCTTCACTCGCCCTTCAAGCAATAATTAACGCAAAACATGCCCGCAGTATAAAAAAGGCGGAAATTAAAACTTACGATAATCCTGGGTAAATTATTGTCGGGGACGTCTTCCTGTCGGGAAACTACGATTTTAACTTTACTGCCCGGCGCTACTTTTCTTAATATCGCTACCGCATCTGCTTGACTCTTTCCAGTCATCTCTTCTTCGTTCACCTGCAGAAGCCGATCCCCTATTCTTAATCTACCGTCTTCTACCGCCGCTCCCTGTACGAAGATTCGTCTCAATTGGTGACACTCAGGCGAATGTCGCGTCATTCTTACCTCAGGAATAATATTTTTAATGTAAATCGGACAATTTCCACCCGCTGGATTATCCCTGGTGGTAATACTGAAACCGAGTCCTCGCGGACCTTTAACCAGTTCGATTTCGATTTTCCTACCGATTTTCCTGGTATTCGCCGTTAGAAGACCTTTCAAATTTTTGGAAATGGCCGGCACCTTTTTCGTTGGTGATACCGTCGCTACTTTAGTGTTTGTACTTTCTAAAGAAAAATTCACAAAATTTATTTGATTTGCCGCTTCGTACGGGGTGTCCAATTTTCGACGACTTTTGCGTTTTTTTTTTTATATATGAAAAAATACATAAAATTCGGAAGCATAAAAAAAAGCAAGTCGTCTGACTGGCTGGGACTTAAAGTTAAACAAAGTTCAAAAGAAATATAACTTCTCTAAAATAACATTTTAAAAATTATTATTTTATACATACATTAAATAATCTACAGCCAACATATAATGTGTCTCTCATATAGCTACTACATAAATACAAATAGTAGGTAGTCTTTTAAATGGGATCCTTCTTAAGAATATTTGCGCTTATGTGACAGATATATCAAGCTAACAGCGTCGGTTTTTGCAGAGTCGAACTTGCTGACGTTTCGCCTATTGCCTTCTTCAGAGCTTGACTGAAACTGGCTCGCATTTTACTCTGTACCTACTTACATATTGTTTGAGGGGGGCGCAGTTAAATGACGGGCATAAACACAGTCTCGGATGACGATGAGGAGGAATCCAAAAGTTTTGTAAAAAGTATTGCAGTAGCCTATGGAAGTTTCTTTGAAAAATTATTTTAATTCTCAATATAGGATTGCTTCAATTTTCAAAATCGGTTTCATTTCCTTAGAGATTAAAATAAAATAGTAATGTAATATAATACGCATTATAATAAGTAAATAAATAATGATAAAATAATAATTAAAATAAAGTAGTCATAATTAAAAAACTTTAAATAGGAAATTGTGCTCCGGGTACTCTTCTCAGAAACATTTTTATTTTGATTGTTTATTTAAATTTAAATATAATCTAGCTTACTAACTACATTAATTTAATTAATTAATTTAAACAATAATTAATTAATAAGCGCTCGAAATATTTTAGGCTTAAGTTTTTTGGTGATTGGATTGTCTCTATGTACCTATCTATCACGCAAACAAAAGGTCACCTACTTGTCTTTATTAAATCAAATTCAATTTTCTAATTAAGAGATTTTATAAATTTACGTTAAAATATAGTTTCATTAATCCATTCTTCTACCTATCCATTAATATTTAGGTCGATTTCCATTTTTTGGTCACTAAAATACGCAACGTATGTGAAATATTTGATTATGTGCTCTTCTTAATAAACACGTAAAATAAAACTTTTGAGTTACAATTTTTTCGAAATCTAAAAATTTGTTTAAATATTAACAATATAACTTATTGGTTTCGTGTTTTGCTGATTTTTTAAAAATTAATTGGTATTGTGCAATTTTTATATTTTATGAGGTCATTTAACTTGGAACCATTATAAAATGGTTGTTACTGACCACAATAATTTGATTTTTGTGGAGCAAGTAATTAAAAATTTTCGCATATATGTTGCAAGCTTAAGGATTCGCCCTGTATACCAAAAAAATGGTAAATGATATATGAATAGCATCCAAAACTATAGTGGCCTGCTGGTTCATCATTTAAGTGAGCTTTTAGCGGCACGTAGGACCGTACTGCGACAACCCTAAAGATCTACGAGACCAGCCCTTAATATTCCACTGTTATATTTTAAACGCAGAGGATTACCATTTGCTTTTTTTAGTACGATGGCTAAAAATTTTGACCCATTAGAGAAGTCGAAATTGGTCCTTTCTTGTTGATGATTTTGGGCTTTTAGAAGTGTTTCATTTCAATTAAACAGTAATTTAAAACGGTTTTGCGCTGTGTCTGGAATAACATGAAATGACCAGTTACAATCATCTTAACTTCAGTTTCCATAGGTAAGCTGAAGTTAAGTAAGTAAGGTAAGTAAGATGATATCTCACACTATACATTGAAAACCAAATCATGGAAAATCCATATTCTATACAATAAAATTAGAAGAAAAAATGTTCAGATTTTCACAGTTATTTATTACTTTATGACAGTTGTTTGTACAATCCGTGCCTTTATCAAATACACAGCGAAACAGCTGTCATAAAGTAATAAATAACTGTGAGAATCTCAACATTTTTTATTCTAACTTAATTGTGTTAAATGAACTTTTATTCAATTCTATATTCTATAGCGATAAAGATTGGAAACAAACCATTAATAGATGTTCTTTATGTTGGTTTTCCAAATTCGACTCATTTTATGACTTAATTGTAGTGTTTTGTTTGGAAATAACGTACTTCTGCAGGCTATTGTAATACTTTTTGCAAAACTTCTGGATTCCTCTTTCGTCGGTCAGTTTCAGTCAAGCTCTGAAGAAGCCAACAGGATGATTGGCAAAACGTCAGCAATTTCGACTCGACAAAAACCGGCGCAAGAGGGATCCAGAAGTTTTGGTTTTGTAAAAATGACACCCATAACGTTTCGCTCGATTTTGACCGACTTACGTTTCTGTTCGCCACACTCCACCATTCCGGAATTCTCTTTGTCCTCCGCGAAATGAGGATACACCGGAGGCGGAGGTTTCCTTAAACTTTCTAGACCCGACGCCTTTACTACTTTCAGTCTTAACTCGGGGGATATTAGCGATAACTTAAATATTTCTTGGACTCTGGAAAAATTGACGTGTCATTAATGTAAAAAACTCTCTAGTCGGAGCGCTCACCTTTGAAACGGAATGTTTATCAAATTCTGACCGTTTATTTCTATTATCCTATCGTAAATAGCAAGTCTCCCGTCCCGATCTATCCGCCCCCCTGGTTCGATACCTTGAACCAGCAGACCCCTATCTTTGCCGGAACCGTCGTAGTCGGGTACCACGTGTATACCTAGCGGACCCGGTTGGTTTCGTATCACGATCAAATCCCCGTCACCGCCGGGGAAAGGAGTGGGGCTAGTAGAATTATTGGCCTGACCAAGAGGCTCCCGCCTTCTCGTTTCTCTGGGCAGAGAAGTGCTGGCGTGAGATCTAGTATTCGCGGCCACCCTTTCGGCGGCTTCCGCCCAGCGAAAGCCGCCGCCCTCGCCCAGAAACTGCATGGATAACCGGTTACTACCATCCCTGGCCACCCTTTTAAAACCCTGGCCTTCATCTTCTCTACAATCTTCCATCCACTCGGGGCTAATGTAGCCGGACGTGGTGGGCTCTAAGATCAAAGGCGCCGCGCTCCATCTCTTGGTATGGTCGGAGGGGGTAGGTGGTCCAGCTGGCAATTGGTTTAACGTCGGTTCGCTGCCGCGTCGTACCTGAAGACTCGGCACTCCGGAAGCTATTTGTTCGCCGGTCACCTCGATGTCCGTTCTGGGGTAGTTTGGTCCGTATTTGTGTTCACCGTCCTAAAAAAACGCTACGCTGGTGATTTTAAACTCCAATGTCATTACTTATTCTAAGGAAGTTCTGGTTTTTACCGTCCTAAAACACGTACCAAAAAAAGCTAATAATTTGGATTTTAAATTCGTTTTCTGTAGTCTTAGTCTAAAATTTCCCTTCTTAAGTCAAGGTTCAACAAACGAACAGGATGGAAACAATACTATCACTTTTTTGAAACAATTTGTTTTGGTTTTACGAACAGAAAGGGTGAGGCGGCGTTGTTAAACAACAAAATATGAAAGGCCCTCGCCTTCTTCCATACGTTTGTATGCTTATTGTGAACATGGAAAGTGAAAACATTCGAACTGAACACAGCAAAATTTGAAAGTCTGTGCTTGAAATACTTTTAATCGGAGTTCCCCAGACCTTCAAAAGATCTTACATAATTAAAAAACAACTTTCCCCATTTTCCACCGTTAATAGTATATTATGCAACAAGTGGGGTAACAGCATCGGCACGAGCGGAGAGCAGCGGAGCGAGTGTTTAATAAACGAGTGACTTCAAAAGTTTACCACAGGTGTTACATACTACATTGACATTGACATACTATTGACAAACGTCCAAATTCCAGACGTCCGAAATCGCTCGGATCCGTGGGACAAGAAACTCACGTGTAAAGTGACGCTTCCCGCACGACAGATCGGCATATAATTAGATTTTACAGAGGGGAGTGGAAAATAATTTATTATGCAACAAGTGCGGTAAACGACATTTGACTCACTAGTTTATTTGACACGAGCATACTATACTTTTTCTACGACCGTTAGTTTTTGGGTCCAATTTTGCAAAACAACACGAACTCATTCACTGACACGACCGTCAGAATTGACAAACGTCAAAATTCAAAGCGTGGGAAATATCTCTGAAAACATCCGATTTCTCCCAAATCCGTGCGGTAAAATCCCGGAAATGTCCGAAGTGGTTCGGATTCATGGGAAATGAAATTGACGTGGTAAAGTGACGCTTCCCGCACGCTAGATCGGTGTGTAAATAGGTATTTTACAGACGGGAGTAGAAAAAAAATATTTTTGACATTTCCACAACTTAACTACTTCTGGTGTTGATATACTTACACTGAATGAAACTAAAACAAAAGGAATAGTTTTTACTAAAAGAGGAGATAACAGATGTTCAAGAATATCATGAATTTGTAATTTCTGTATTATGTTTAATAAAATAAATGATGTACATAATCCTTAATTTCTATTTTGTTAAAATAAAGTTCTTTTTTTATTTTTATTTTTAAGAAAAACTACTATATAAAGCAAAAAATGGCAACTGTTAGATTATAATATGTTACGTTGGAAGTACTGGAGAGTGATACATTCGTTTCTTTTCTGTGCTTGTGAAGTTCCGATTATACTGTGCTTATATATATCTCTCTCTCTCTCTCTCTCTATTTCTGGTCGACCTTCAGTAACAATAATTGTCATGAAAACGTCAAAATATTTTTCTCGCAGGAAATTGCTATTATTAGAAACATTTAAGTGCATTTTTCGCACAGTTCTCCTTCGGGAAACAATTTATGCTTAGCATTTTAGCCGGGACCACTTACGTGAAATATGTCCGGACTTCCCGTCCCTACCGAACTTCCGCTGGCCCCATCCCCACCGCCGTGATGGTGAGATGCATCTCCGTCTTCGAAACTAGCCAAGATCTGCTCGCGATCGTCTGCGACGTCGCTAAGACGATCATCGGGATCTAATATACCACCTCCTTGGGATTGTAAATTGTGAACGGCAACCCAAGAGTCTGGATTCTGAAAAAAAAAACGTTTTTCCATACTAAGGATGGTAACTTACGATTCATAAAAAAAGAATTAAGAAAACAAAAGTAACTAAAACAGTGAGTAATAATTTTGGGTGGCTGCAAGGCCAAAGCAGAAAAAGCTTTTTCTTTAGTTTATATACAATGTGGGAAAAAGTAATGTATAGAAACGAACGAGCTATTTGTGAACTTCTTCATGGATTTTGTATTTGTGCATTTTAAGGGATATGTTTAGCGGCGAAAAATTGTTTATATTATAGTTTTAAAAAGATAATGCTAAAAACTTGTTGACCTTGAACTGACTTTGTTTAATCAATTCGCGAACAACTTCGCTAGTGTAAAACGGGCATACTTATATCTTAAGGGGACTTTAAGCTCAAGTTAAGTAAAAAAGTTGATATACAGTACTATTTGCTAATATTAAGTAAATTATGAAAGGATTTACTACCAATTGATTTGAACAATAAAATTAGCAGCTATTTTTAACATACAAAACAATTTAAAATGTGTGGGCGCAAAGTTTTAACCACAGTTGTCTACTTCTTGTAATAACATTTCTTCATTACACGTTGGTTATCGGTAATGCCCATCTGACTATACCTGCCGTTCTGAAGAATTCGGATGAAGTTTTGCCAGTCCATTATCTTAAGTTTTAACTTCAATGAAGGATAGAAATAATGTCTAATCAAAGAAGCCGACGATTAAACTATATTTAGCATAGGGGTACCACAGGGTTCAGTATTAGGTCCATTATTGTTTTTGATTTATAGAGCAGAGGAAGTGAACAGCATAAATAAGGATTTGGAAAACATTTTAATTCCATCAAAGTGTAGTTTCATTATTTTTGCCCCTAAGAGGAAAAGAAAGAGTTTGAAGTCCAAAATGAAATTATACGTTGACAATAATCTTATTCAAGTTGTAGAACAATGTTATATCAGTTTAAAATTGTTATATTCAAATAGATATATATTGTCCTACGATATGAAACTACAGTTGTGTCAAAGTCTTATCCTCTCTCATTTGTCTTATTGTAACATTGTGTATTACCCCTGATTGGACTCTGTTACATCTTATCGTCTAAAAAAAATCCAAAATACTTGTTGTCGCTTTATTTTTAACCTACGCAAGTTTGACCACACATCCGCCCCTCTCAAAAGATTGAATTGGTTAAAAATCAAAGATGTTTTCAAATACAACTTTTTATGCTGTTTCAAAGGTGTAATAAAATCCAACATTCCAAAATATTTGCATGATAAATTAGAATTTAGGAAATCCATTCATCTCTTGAATCTAAGACACCAATCATCACTCACAAAACAAAAAAATTTCAATGTTCTTTTACATATAATGCTGTAAGCTTGTTCAACTCCTTAAATAGCGGCCTCAAATCAAAGTTACTTGGTTCATGTAAAAATTTACATTTAAAAAAACAGTTACTAAACTTAATGTAAAATAATCCGTTAGAATACATGTATATCATTCATTCTATTTTGTAATTTCATACATACTTGTAATTTATATGTAGTTGTAGTTAGAAATGGGTTAAGTGTGAGTGGCGTTAATGCCAGACTTCGCCCATGTAATGCTAATAAAGCCTATTTATTATTATTATTATAAATACTTTTAAAAAGATCATTCAGTTCCATTTCTCCAAGATTATCCGATATCCAAAACCGGACAGGAAAAATCTAAGTGGAAGAAAATTTTTATTTTAATGTGACCTAAGTTAGTCCTAAATGTGCGACCATGACTCCAAATCGTTTTTGATGTTTTGAAAATCAATGTTGATCGATTTTACTTATATACATAGTTATACTTGTTATAAATGTATTTTAATAATTGAAACGCTCGAACACTAAAAACTACGTTTTATGATGAAAAGTCAAAAAACAATATTTAAAATTCATCAAAATAGTTGAACAAATTTTGTTCGGAAAATTGGTTCTTGTTTATCGCCATAAAATTACCATATAAAAATCCATGCAAAAAATACGTTTACGGGGTTTTAGGTACTCATAATATGGCTAATTTTTCTTTCTTTCGTTATTGACTTAACTCTATTGTTACTTTTGTAAAGTTTGAGGTCGTCAATAAAATATCCCTTCTGCCTTACACACCTATTTGAATGTAAATATTATTCTCTTTGGTTACAAAAGAGTACTCAAGTGTAACTTGCGTTTGCGGTTTAAAAATAATACTCGTATGCGTGCATCGGTCATATCGACCAAGTTTATTTCTTGCAAGCACCTGCCTTTAATTTTTCTATAAAGTATACACCGGATATCCGTCTGGGCAACCAGGCGGATAGGAACGTTGCAGGTAGCCGACGTCCAATGACGAACGAAATTTTGTTTACATTTACGGATCCTGAATCCAAAAACAAAACTTTGGTTCTTCACCGAAAAATCCAATTAAACGATGATCGTTTTTTTTTTCTTGCACGTCAAGGATATTCGGGGGCATCGGACCGTTGCGATTCGTTTAAAATACGCTTGCAAAACAAATTTAAGGCAAGTTGGCGTGAAAAAAAAGTTAAGGTCTGGTACGCGTGTCCTTGACGATACGAAGTTACCTAGTGGCAAAGGTTAAATTTTCAAGTGCCTTCTTACACGACAATGAGAACTAAGTAAGTCCAGGGACTAGGAAAATAAAAAAAAGAAAAGAAATAAAAAAAAACAATTATATACATACATATATATACCTCCAGGGCAGATTATTGAAGAGGCCCTGTTGAGATACCGCATTTTCCTTGGTCGGTATATTTTGGTTTCCGTAGTAAAGAAATTAATAACTTAAAATATATTTTGACATCGAAGAAAATTTTTCGTAAAAATTTAATATTTTATTGACGGTACAATGCTGGTCTACTGCTCGTCCTGGAAGTCCGGTGTTGGGGTGTGCACTGGGTTTGAAAAAACTAGTTTTTTTACCGATGTACTTATAAAAGTCCTTCAGCAGAAGTTCAATAAAACTATATAGTTGCCTTTAATGTATGTGGTCACAATGCAATTTGTACAAAATAAAACACAATTTTAGCATAACTTAACCTTTGAATGTGAATTTTTGCAAACTGCAACACCTGGCAAAATAGTATTTACGGGACTTCCGTAAACCACCATTTTCTATTCCTTACTCTAAAATGACCAATTGTCAGGCGTGCACGGTGTCAGTTCAAGCATATCCCACCCAAAATATAGGAGAAATCTAAATGGTAGCCTTTGTAAATGTGTTTTTAGAAAACCAGAAAATCAGACTGACTTACAAAACAAACTTAATATTCTGTGCTATATATTTTTGTCTATGTTGGACACATTATTTGTGTTATTCAGGTTACGTTGCCCTTAGTGCTTGAATTGTGTGAAAATTTCGGTTTTTCTTTTCCGTTTTTGATTTGCCGTTTGTAGATTATCGAGTTTGGTGCTTGAACTATAATAGAGGCTTATCGAGAAGGCTATAGAAAATGTGTGTTGCTGGTTATAAACGATGTTTCTCTGTTCCAGCAAGTTTATAATCCAATTTTCGATAACAAGAGCTAAGAATATCAAATCTATGCGTCTGTGATTTGCATTTTATGGAAAATGATAAAACCGCATTGACCAAAAACGGCTTACGGAAAACAGAGAAGCTACTTCCGAAGTCGGTACGTAATAATTACATTCAACTTAAAAGAGTGGAACATATTTATTTATAAAGAAAGACATGGTAATATTCAATAGTCCACATGTGCACTTTACAATTGTTCAGTTTTAAAAAATGTATTTATAGCGTGTACACGGTTAATAAAAGTTATAGAAAAATATGCGTAAGTTATTGTGTTTCTTCTTACCAGACATAAAATAGTTATATGCTCTACGTTTTATCTAATAGATGGCAGCACCATACCTAAAAACAGGAAAGCAGCCGTTGTATGACATTGGAGTTTTTGACAAAAAACTCTAGTGTGTCAGTCTCTCATATATGTTGGCTGGTATGTGAGGAGACGACAGCTTTATTTCCACGGTGGGGAGCGATTGGACATTTTCGATAGATCTTGGCCATGGACGGTATTTTGACGTATGTCAGTTTTTAATTTTAGTAAATGCATTCCCGTTGTTTTGCCAAAATGTGCAAATGTTGTTTACCACTCAAAAAATAAATATGACCAAATCGCTATGCGCTAGCTAATCTGTCAACTTAAAATTTTATTGCCAAGATAGGTGCGCCTGGCGGCGAAATACCTTTCACAGGAATTTTATCCACCACTCCCCGTAGACTTAACGAGTACTTATTAGTCTTACATATTTATTGACACAGCCGCTGGTCCATTGCTGCGCATTGTATTCATATTAAGACTAATGCATTGTTTCCATATTGTACAGCACAAAAATGTTCAAGATTAATAATCAATCAAATTTTCTGTAAAAATTAAAAAAAAAATAAAAAATTATGTAACGGTCGGCGCTGACGATACTCTATCAATTTAGTGAACTAATAATGTTGAGTATAAAAAATAAAGTGTAACCCAAAATATTCAAAAAATGCGACAGCAAAAGGTTTATATTTTTATTCCCACTCTCTGCAATTTGGACTACTCTTATTGAAACAATTTAACAAGGTTGTTCACTTTTAATCGCTTGTCGAAGAAAACGCATTTAAAATAAAAATAGAAGAAATAATAACTTAATTAATATTAATGGAAATAAGTAAAATATATACAACGGGAAATTCACATATTTATGTAAACTTTTAATAAGTTTTAAGTATAAATAGTGACCAAATGGAAAAAACTATTATTATTCATCCTTTACTTCGATAAAAATTGCTTAATCGAGACTTCATTGGTAGATAAAAATAAAGCAAAAGCCTAGACGTCATTAAAGAGCTAAAGTTAAAATAAAAATGAAATTCTGATTTCTCAAAAATTTGGAGCCTTGTTTCCGCGCTATCTGGTGCTTCTAATAAATGTTTTTGATGCGATGACCTGTTTTTCGAGAAAAAATGATTTGTTTTATT